GTTCGCTGGGGCTCGAATAAATCGATTCCACAGACTTGCTGTATAATGGGAATTGGGAAGGAGTGTTGGTTGAAGCATCAATACGCTTGTTATGATTAGGGGCACTATATGCTGCATCGTCAGCTGCATCCATACTAAAAGATACAGATACGCTGCCCCTAGAAGATGTGCTAGAACGTCGCTCTCTACCCATTGCAACCGTCTGGGTACCAATTGTTACCTTATTATGAGGTAAGTCATGGCACTGAGAATCCACCGATTGACGACGAAACAAATCGGTATCATTTGGGACTGTTTGTATGGCGGTGTCCAGTTGCTCGCGTCCTTTTGTTATTGAAGAGACATTTACACCCTCTTCAACAATCGGCACAGATCCTTTTAACGTCTCCATACGTTTCTGGCCCTCCAAAGCAGTGTTTAATTGCTTTACAAGCGCTACCAAAGGTTCCAAGTCGCCTGCTCTATCCACACTCTGAGACAGAAGAGTCTCTACAGAACCAAGTGACATTTTCCCGCGGGAAGCAGCCTCAGATTCTGCAGGCCTAATGCCGTCCTCATCATCATCATAGACCGATTCCGGTACTACGCATCTTGTCTTTGCGTAACTATGAGCATCTGAAGGCATGCGGACATAATCACTTGACGCCGCGGAAGAATTGTGCGAATATTTTCTTAAATGACGACCCAAAATTTCACGTTTTGCACCATCATATAGACCCAGATGGCTTATTAATGGCCTATGGTCCACATCATAATCTTTGGGTGTTACAAAATCAAATTGTCCAATGGTATCACAGCTGTTTTTGCCATGACGGTTTAAAGGTTGGACATCCGAATCCGATGGATGCAGACTTCTTTGTCTCCAAGTTAAGCACTCTTCTCCCGGTGCATCAGATGGCATTGAATAGTTGTGTGTGTACGTAGGTATACTACTATGATGCCCGTTTTTAATGAGCTTGTATCTTGAACTGATACATTCGTCACTTTGCATAGTGTCAAGGCTTCGTTGGTGCCTCCAAGGAAAAGAGTTTGTTCTAGCATCCAGAGAACCGTGCTTGAATCCACGTTCGCTGTATGATAAGTTGCTATATCTCTTAACATTAGGACCGCCAAACGTGAATAATGGCGCGAGAGGAGGCTGTTGTTCCTGGGTACTCTCCAGGTATGGGCGCACTACGTCGCCATCGAATATACCGGGTTCAATTGACGACCTGAATGCGGAATCTGGTAAGCACCCTCCTGGGATATAGGAACCCAGCTCGTCACCGAATGACATTGTAGCTCTTGAAGGCGGTGTGCCTGGTTCGCAACAACCTTCAATATGGTTTGTTCTTGTAGGTTCTCCGTCGCTGAGTTCATAATCTGCAGGCGACCGTTCTAATACTGTAGCCGTTTTTGTAAGTGCTTCGGTTTGCACTGTTGTATAATGTGTGCTTATATCCCGGCCAGTGTTACTGGGATGTTCCAACGGATCTACTGCACAAGCAGGATCCGGAAGGACAATGCGGCCAGAATCATACAAATTGACATCACCCGATTTGCTATTATCGATAACAACGTTGCATGGGTCGTCGTTATTTGGTGATAAAAAGTTTTCTGGCGCCGTTATACCCGGGGAAACTGAATTAACTTGTGAGATTTGTGAATCAATCTCGAACATCCATGATTCCCCTTGCATAGGTGTGTCTATATCCTCTTTTAGCACCCTTTCATTAGCGTAGCTCACCATTCCAGGTGGTGGTGTTATTGATGCCGAGGATATATCGCAAGATGGCGTAGCAATGGCAGTTTTGCTTTTATCTAGGTTCGTGTACACAGTGCTAGCTCTGTTTTCTGATATTCTCGACAGGCCCGAATACTCACGATGAAAATGTTTCGTACTATTCGTCGAGACTACCGAAGATCCATCTTGATATCCATAAGATTCCACCTTGGGTTTATCAGCAAACTGAATTGTATCTTCCCTTTTAGAATCCAAAGGAACACTAGAACGTCGATTACCTAGATCACCCCTATCCATGCGAAGTGAAGGTTTAGAATTTAAATACGTATCAATTTGCCTATTAACCTCCGATATACTCACCGGAGTATTTTCGGCAATTGTACCTATAGGCTCCACAATAGGAGCTGATATTGTTGTAGCTTCTATTGTCGGATGACTTGTATACAGATGTTGCATTTGGCGAATATATGGCTCTCTAGTTATACATTCCACATTATGCACCGTTTCATGGTCCCCAAACGTTTCTGTTTGTACCTCAGGTGTCCTATTAGCCATTTGTTGTCTGAAATCGCGCATTCCAGCAATATGTGGACCTACTTTCCCTGGCCGTGTGTCCTGCCCATTAGGTTCCACTCTATGCTGTCTTTCAGAATGAATTTGAATGCGCCTATCGTATGATACAATATTTCCTCCATGACCGTATGATTGTGATCTAAGTCGTTCTTCAACTCCAATTGGTGATGTGATTTTATTATATTCTGTAAACACCCCTTGTTGTGCGCCCGACTTGTAATCACGTAGAAGTATATCATCAGACGGTGTGTGTCCTAATTTTTGTATATTGACTGGTTTCCTGAGTCCCACATACCCTGGTAACTTTTCAAAAGGATGCTCAAGATCTTCCACCGTCTCTGACATGCGTCCTCGATAGAAAGGTCGGTCGTTATCGACATCGTTACTATTTGCATATTTATCGGCTGCAGTGTGTCTAAATGATAATTCCTCATTATCATTAGATTTAAAAGAGTGCGCATAGTTTCTATTCCGTGTTCTACCGGACATTGCAAAGCTATACATAGGGTCGACACATTCTACATCAGAGACTGCATGGACATTATAGTTTTTACGTGAGCCCAGGGTTGGGGAACTCACAAATGGCTCTTCAGAATTAGTAGTTCCGTATTTAGCACGGAAATCCTTTGCAAAGTTCATCAAATCGGCGGTACCTCCTGACACTAGGTTTTCGTTAGACATTGAGCGCGTTTTCATGTTATCCCAGGTAGGTCGCAATTTGTTTTCAGGGGCTTCTGCCGATAAGTATCGTTGATTAAACATCCTCTTATCCATTGTATTTACCTTTTCAGATGTGTTTATATTAATATCGAGCTTATGTGAGCGTTCAACAGCTTTTGTAACTTTGTTGCCTTTTATTTCAAGGTTCGAGTACACATCTGAAGGAATACATGTAATTGGATATCCTTTCTTTGGGGGGTGAGACGAGACGCGTTCAGAGGAGACATCATTTCCTTGGGTGCAACCTTCGTCAGCGCGCGCTCTGGGTACGGCAGTAACGGGTTGCCTCCTAGGTGTCGATACTGGTGAATTTATGGAACAGCTTGCATCTGAATGTGTACGAAAACCTTCGGAATCCTTAGCTATACAATCACGAAAAGCAGAATTGTCACGACATATTTTTCGTACATATGCTATTTCGGATTCTGCGTCACTGCTAGTCTCAAGAGATGATGAGACAATACCATAATAACTATCAGGTTCATAGTTACACTCGTCGCCATCATACTCTTGGCAGGGGAAAAATTTCTCTTCAGCAGCGGCGTTTGTGTAGCACAGGGTATATTGAGCGGAACTAGAACCGGCCAAGTATTTTACAGCATCGTTTATAACACCACTACGGTCATGCGGCGTTTCTAGCTCCTCTAATACCAGGGGGCGATCTGTATAGTATAAACTTCCACACGTAGAATACATGAAATGAACAGATCATATCATCTGGCTCATAATAACACATTATCAAAAGCATAAATCATTGAGACACAGTGCCACCTGTAGCTGTATATGGCACTATCGAAGCGCCTAGGACCAGCGAACATAACGCAAATTGTTCAACAATGGTAACACATGACGTTGTTGCATGGCAGGAATAGAAGGAAAACAGCTGCTATGTATCGCTGCTGGGTACTATTTTACCATCAACATTCACAATATAGACACAGCTGACAACTCTCATATCGACAGAAGATAACCTATTATCATTTTGAAACTTACCGGCGCTGGTGTGCGAACTCCCCTCAACAAGGGGCGGCTCATTACGCTCCATTTCAAGCGGAAGCCACCCCCACCGCAGCAACAAACCCGAACGATTCCTGGACCCGAACTCCTGGGCCTCTACTCTATAGTGGGCGGACCCCCGCATAGCAGAATATCACGATCACGCACACGACGCGGACCATCTCCCCATTGATGGTACACGACCCACGAAAGCGAGGAAAATTTATACAAAATAGCTAGTATACTATATACTATTAACTATCCACCTCTAAAGAATGCGACACTGTATGCATAGAAACAGTAATTCCTTACAGAACCGTGACCGCTAGCCGTCTCAAAAAATAACGGTCAGAATAAATGACAACGCTCGTTCGCCCGCTTCTGCGTCTCCGAGACATCAATATTTAGCCCTGGATATTCCATGGGACAAAAGCAAACGTGCCACGTGAATGCCAAGGCTTAACTCAGAACGTAGAAGGTTTATCTCGACATCATATCCGCTCTAAATGCCAGAAATGTAATGCTACCATACTTTCGCATATTCCATGGCTAACGAGCCATATAAAGGCAAATCTAATGCCCCGCTACCCGGGCTAGAAATATTAGGAATCCCCTAGATAGCAGGACCAGTATCAACATTGACCTCTCTATTTCTCATAGCCCACGATGTAACATCAAATATACACATCATAGATACATTTTGTGCAATGTCTAGCGCCCGTGACGCTAAAAACTTTCAGCAAAACGCAATGAAACATATGCATACTATGGTTTTTTTTTAATAGCTTAACCGTATTAGTTGAGTAGCGTTTTAACCGATTACAAATAGAATTGGCGCCTCAATTTCAACACCAATACTGACATCGGCAGCTATTAACCAAATATATAGCTTAGAAGGAGGTTGGCATACGGAGCGCAACTCTCCAATCATCTAAACGTTATCGCAGACTGGATATGTCGGCGATGGTACGCTGCGCTCCAAAATACCCTAGTCCAACGCAACCTCCTTCGTCGGCTGCAACTGCTGGTGCTGCTTACGCTGCTCTATCACACGAGCACGGTCTATCGCGTTTTGACGCTCTTGCTCGAATATACGGTCAAAGTCTTCACCAGAACCCGAAAACTCCTTTAATGAAAGTAGAAAGTCTTTCACATGGGTTTGGAATTTCATAGGCTGACCGTTGTAGTTCAATGAGTCGCTCTGATCCGCAATGGTCTCGCCAGCAAAGTTAAAGAGGTCCACAACAAAAGCTTCAACCTGTTTTATGTTCAATGTGACGAAACTACGACTTATCAAATCAACCAAAAATTTCATCACATGGACACGTGTTAATTCAGAACCAGGGTCGTTTACCGTACCATACTCCATAAAGCGGATAAGTATACGCAAAATCTCAGTCTGTAAACGGAAACCAGATTTGTGCAAAGTGTCTGTTAACACACTCAGAGTCTCCTTCAATAGCAAATAGTAGTAGCTTTGGCAGAAACTTAGTACTGCAGACATATGCTGCACACCAGTAGAACGATGTGCACTCTCCTGACGACGATCCAATAACATGAGGTTATTCAAAAATTCACGAACTACTGTTAGACCCTTCTCCGCCACAGATGGGTGCTCGTGCTTGAAGGCCCAAATCAACGACATCACGTAGGCACGTAAACGCTCACTAGGTAATAATAGTATACCTTCGAAGCACGCTTTAGTGCATTTCTGTAACATCTCATAAAACTGCTCACGATGTTCCGGGAAACTGTGGAAGTCCATTTTCACCATATCAAGGGTGCAGTCAAAAATCTGCTCGAAAATCTGTGGGAGGACTGGTGCCCCGTTGTTACCCAGCTTCTCGATCAATGTGGTGACCAAACATATCACCTCATGATCGCGAGTTTCAGCTAACGAGTTACGGTACGTTACAAGAACCGTCGAGGTTATAGAATTAACCAGCTTGTTCAAAACGTCGTTGTAATTGCGAACCGAAAGCTCATCCATATGATCAAGGTCGATACCGTCGTCGTCTATAGTATTCCCACCAGATACAGAAGGATCTGAGTAACTACGAGTTAACTTGTTAGGAAGATGAGATATATAGGTCTCCAATAAATGTAATATCGACCTCCTTACCAGATGCATCAAGTTCACATTGTTGTGCTTCAGACATGCCGGACCCGCAGCTTGGACCGCGTGCTGGATATAACAGGTATAGATGTTGTATAGATGTGTTATACCCGGGTACATCAATAATAGTTGCTGGGTGTAGGCAAACCCGGTACTCTTAGCAACCCGGTTATTCATGCGCAAATGCTGAATGATGGAACGGGTAGTTTCCACCTGGTATATCACCTCATTCTGAAGTTCACGCCAGACGTTAGGGTCATTGGTTAACAGGTTCGGGTTACCGCAATGTGGCATGATCTCTTGCCATTCACGGTTGCACCGCTCCATAAGCTTACTAATCGTCTGTTCACGAGCATTGATATCAACAGCAGATATAACGTTACCAACGGATTCGTAAAACCATAGAATCAACCGCTCGTCAAGTACATTGGTCATAGGATCACGTAACTGTATCAGTTCTTCTACATAAGGTCCTTTTGTAGAATTTTGTGTAGCTATAGCCTTTTTACATGAATGTGTGATTTTCAAGAGGGTTTCACAGGCCATCTGCTGTACCCCGGGAAAAGTCTCCCTCATGAATTCGAACAACTTGTTCAGTACAGTACACAGAAACCTCCAATTATTCTTCAAGAAACGTGGATACTGACCTACAACGTACATGATATCCGAAGCCACAATAGCCTTATCCCCTGTAGCGGTCTTTACCTCACAAATGTTTAGTAAACATTTGATGATCAGTACCAAGAAACGTTTCTCTACAGTTTCATTCATAACTCCAGAAATGGAACCGACACTGTAACAAAGACGGTTGAGTATTGTAGGATCCCAGGTATCATGTCTACTGCCGGAATTTGCAAGCTCCATTTCATGGTCAAGCACATCCATCATAATGCGTTCCGTATCATCCGGTATCAATGTAGTTAACATTATCAATACCGTTTTCATTCTATTGTAAAGTGCAATTTCTGCTGTATTAGGGTTATATTCCCTAGTAACTTCACAAGCGTCAGCATCATATAGAATGTATACTTCCTGTGGTTTTGCCATCCTCTTAATCAATACCTTTTGCAACTCAACCAAAACAGTACGGTATATAACTAAACGGCTGGGTTCATATGTCTGGTTCAAGTTGATATGCTGTGGATGGAAAGTTTCAATTTCTCCGCCTTCACGGATAATAATACCACGATCAGCAGCGTGTCGTCGTTGTTGATCCTTAACTTCACGCATAACGGAGGTTACAAAAGTATGCCAGTAGTCAATACAGATCTTGAATGTCTCTTCATGGTTGATATCCGTTATTTGAACTAAGCGCTCCAATACATATATCAACGATTGGTGATTGTTGTTATCTCGTTCAACAATGGATTCACGGAAGTTTTTCAGGAAGTTGGTACAGCATATGCTAAACTGTGTATAGAAAGTTTCCCAAAATAAGCGCATGTTTGGTGCTACATGGTTCGGATCGTCATAGCTCATTGAATTTTGTGGTAATGATGACATTTTAGCCACTAGTTTCGGCCACATGTTAGCTATACGTACTCCAAACAGCTGCAATTCCTGCGAAGAAAGTGATAGGCTGGCAATCTCTGTCAAGCACTTGGTACACTCAACACGATACATAATGGGATCCCAAAAGTGATCGAGTAGAAGGTCAACCAATATAACGCTTCCATTGTTGTGTGTGTACTGCTCAAATATGTAGCCGACCGGAATCCATTTCAAAAAGTGCGCCAAGCATTTCAACGTTTGTTTCATCAAGGATACTCTTATGGTATCTTGATTATTAATTGCAGTTTGCATAACAAATAGGCATATATCGAATATATTTCGAAAATCGGCACTCATACGAGCTGTTAACTGTTGTACTCTGCGGCTTTGCATATGGTCCTCCCCAAAGTCGAACAATTCTTCACTCAGCATGTTAAGTAACCTCATACTGTTTTCACAAAGGCTCTGTGAAATTTGTGATGCTCTGCAAATCTCTGGTATAAAGTCTTCCCATCGATCTGGCCATTCCCGTTTAACAATTTGTATCAAGGTCTCGTTTAATTTGGTCAAAAAGTGCTTCTCACGGTTACAAGCCTCGTCATCCATGCTCAAGTTTACAACCATCTCCGAAACGTAACGGCGTATACCTAACCGTTCTTCCAGAGGCAATATGTTCCATCGTGTCTGTATACACCCCTGTAGTACCTGTAGTGCGAAGAATTTGGTATTGGAATTGTTTGAATGTGCTAAAATTACAGTCACATGTTTCCAACTGTCAGGCATTGTACGGAACTGTTCAAGTATCTTGTGCGCGATCTCACGATTGGTCCCAGTCCCAGAGTCGAACATAGCGTCTATAACAGAGTCCAGAACTACAACCATCCCTTCGTCAAATACCCTGGAAGGGTCTAATAGAATACGTGGGTCTCCCATTTTGTAAAACGATTATGCGATAGGCCGGTGCCTCAGAACAATATGGACCTGAGCCTTCCAGGCTATCACCTGCACGGCTGTTATATAGCGGCCCTGCACCGGCTATATAGTTACTTTTAAAGTATCGAGTATAAGTGGAGATGTGTGGAAGACGTAAACTGCCACGGCAAGCTAATGTGAGGCGTCGTCGCTACCGCACACAGTCATGGGTATAAAAGCAAGATACATATAAGCGAGCGAGGGTGTCAATTTGTACACAAATATTTCAACAGTAACATACCATTATCAACGAGTAACATTGACTAGTGATATATCGAGCACATGTTTTGCACAATGGCCATCGTGTCTAACGCTTGGCCTCAAAGAATCACAGCCATAGCTTTATGTGTCGGAATGTCTAGCGCCTGCTGCACCATATTTTACAAATATATGTGTGGAATCTGAGTATAACACAACCACAGCCAACGCATGAACAAATAGTCCACAATTAGAGACTACCATTCAGGGGCATAATTGAAGTTGAATAGGCCCACTTAGCATGCTTCTTAATTTAATAATTTTCGAAAACAACATGGATCAGTGGTTGTTGAGGGATGCTACAATGCTGTGTTAAATGCGGCACTCACATGGTGAGTGAGTCGTTCCGGGGACGGAACATTGAGCCGGCTGGAACCTTGAAATAGAGCACGGCATGTTTACGTCAGATATAATTATTCTAAATAATCTGCGAACATAGAACGTTCGAAGTATGGTACGTATATGCATCCTCCGGAGCAAATGCAAACCAGTAACGGCTATAAAAAGGACTTCCACAATATATATATAGAATATAATCGCACCACTCATACGGACTTGGTGTGTAACTGAACGAATTGCCAATATTATGTTGTCAGGTAACACCAGAGGATCTATGACTTATATAGTTTAACATTAAGAAAGCGATTGCGCAAAGATAATCGTCAGATACAGGGAAGTTGAACAATATATATTAATACAGGTCACCGTATAATACAGGTAAAATTGGGATAGAAGAAATGGTCACCGGAATATCCATAATTCACAAGATTCCGACAATTTTTGTAAAAATAGCAACCGTAAAACTTCAAATTAAATATTAATAATATATAGATGCACTATAATGGATATCTGTGGCTGGTGCACGTGACACAATGGACAACGTAACTCGCGCGTTCAGCATTACAACCACCACTTGCGGACAACCCTACTGGAAGGTCACAAAATATTACAATCAGGTTCACACCAGAATATTTTAAACACAAAGTATAACATTATTTAACATGTGCAATTTATTAACACACCATAATTTTATATGTTGGACACGAATTATGTGACAATAATTTATATACACAGGCGATCGCCATAATTCTATCGTCCAAAGAAATCAAGACGAACGACAATTTATTTTAAATAAAAGACAGGATAGGTCTACGTCCATCGGGATAAACGATTTAATATCTGGGAAAGCAGCAGATTCACACGCACCCATGATATAAAGGAAGACCGAAAAAGTAAGCCGTCAATCGACGCAAATCCCGTAGACTAATATATCAAAGAGTTCCAATTAACAAATTGGAATGTAGGATATATATATATATATATATATATATATATATATACTTAGATATATATTGCTACCATCCTACTTTATATCCATTTTAGACAACAGTTTTTCAAAGACATATGACGAAGCTGTCAAATATAAAGAAAACGTTGTCCCAGCCACACACTCAATACAAAATATAAAGGCCCTAGGAGTCATACGCATAATTTAGACATAATCACGGAGTGTAACGACCTCGCCACAACGAAAAACGGTTGCCGCTCTCGGCGTACGGCGCCGAACCCGTTACCCAAACTCCATTTTAACAACGAATTTATACATAAATTACAAAAAACTGGGACCTCGGGGTTCAACGGTTCAGGAAACAGACACTCTAACCTCTATGTCAGTACACTCCACTGCCCTGTGCTCTGAAACCGCCGTGGTGAAGGTCGTGGTACGCCGAGGTGGAACTTTGTGTCATTCTGGGATATTGGCAACGTGATTTTAGGCGATATATGAACGGTTGGGTCTAACGAAACAAGTGGAACGACTTCTCAGTTGAAGGGGGTAGTGGTATACACCCCTCAAAGGAACGAAAAAAATTCAGCGATGGTTTAACCATTGCAAAAAGAAAGACACATTAACATCATTAACGCTATATACAGCGTTATACACCATATTTACGCCATAAAACGCAGTTCAGCAATCCGCCGGACAATAGACGACACCCCCCTATAGTACTGAGGGGCGCCAGATAATATAACTCCGCCATAACAAGTCGAACAATTTCTGAGAGACAACGCAGATTGTTCAACAAGCGAACGCTTTGGTTTTGTATGCTGACTCGAGACACTTGAGTCTACACGCAACCCAAAGAACTAGAGTTTCTACAAAGGGAGGGTTACATACACCTTCCTGGCCAAATAACGACGGGCCTCTCATAATAAAGAGGACCAACTTATAAGGCCGCAATACGACAACGGTTTTAACCGTTAAAGTGTCACCGTAACACGTTTCACGAACACACGCAACGCGAACGCGAAGGGACACTACATACTTGTGGTACGTCGAAAATGTCAGCAACAACCACTAAGAAATTACTCAGGTATGAAAGCATCTACCGATCTTCACGCTCAAATTGCACTCACAACAATCAAGCGTCGATCATGACTGCATATGCAGAATCGAACGATGCTACACCCTTGGTGCAATGCAAAGATAAGAAAAAGAGGAAAATGCAGAAAAATGGGAAAAATTGTTATGATGAACGAGGTACACTTGCAAAATTGAACCTTAAGTTCAATAGATTTACACCAGTAGTCAAAGGAGGATGGGCCACTTACAGGAGAAAATACCTGGAAGGACCCGTTATTGGTAAAGGCAGCTTCGGAGTAGTTAAAGCTCTTTTCTCGTTAGTTGATCTAATCAACTTGCAACAGGCACTACCAGTAAGAGAACAACTACCCACAAACCGATTAGGACAGGCAATTAAAAGAATTGACAATGATCATTATGAATTCTACGGTAAGCCATTACCACCACCAACGAGGGCTGTGAAAATCATGAATGTCAAAAGTTCACACAGGATCAAAGATTTTAAAGATGCTCTACACATCTTAAGAGAAATCACAATTGGCGCATGGTTAGATCACCCAAATGTAGTCAAAGTGTCAGAAATATACACCAATAGGTTTGAAGATATTAGCGAACTGTCTAATGAAGTATTCCATGAAAAAAAGTTTAAAGGTGCAATTCCAACGAATTTCACAAAGGTCTACCTTGTTATGGAATATTGTAGCGGAGGTGACCTGAGCTCGAGGAAAATACCAAAAGAATTCAGAGAAGAAACAGTAGCACGCATGTTTGTACACGTGTTCCGAGCATTAAGCTATATCAACACACTTGGGGTAGCACATAGGGACGTGAAACCAGAAAACTTTATGTGGGCCAACTCATCACCAGATGCCGATGTCAAGATCACAGACTTTGGACTTGCCAATTCACCAATGCATACTCTGACTACACGCGCCGGAACAGCATACTATGTAGCACCGGAAATTGTCAGATATGCGCCGCAAAGGCTTTACTCGGTCCAATGTGATTCGTGGTCAGCAGGTGTCATGCTACATAAGTTTTTACTTGATTTTTGCCCATTTCAGGCGGATACCGATGTAACAACACTTTTTAAAGTTGTTAACGAAGATGTTAACTGGACGGATCCAAGATACAAACTATTGTCGCCGGATGCTTACGACCTATTGAGAAAATTACTTGTAAAGGAACCCACCGAAAGGATATCAACCTCGGAAGCTCTTAACCATCCGTGGCTGCGCCGAGCCATTTTCGAAGTCACAAATATACCAATGACTGTAGAAGATGCTACCGGTGTACTGGATTCGCTAACAGCGTTCTACCGCTGCCCAGTGCTGAAACAATTGGCACTCTCTATAATGGCACGGCAGACGCGAGATGAAGAGCTGCAAGAGTGGCGTAGGAAGTATCTATTCCTATCAATGTTCTCTGAAGACCAACATTTCTGGATCAACATTAACACCGTAGAAAAATGGCTCACGTGCACCCGAGAAACTACGGAGGCCTCCCCAAGGAGAAATGTGCCTGGAAAAAGGTCAATTTACATGTGTGCAGAGTGTATGCAGGAAGATGGAAACGAGTGTAAATCGAAGGATGGGGAGAAACACCAGTTTAAAAGGAGGTTTAGTGTACGCCAATCTATGCTCTGGAAGGCCGTCTCACGATTGACTGATTTACTCACCAATTTCAGCGATCACAAAATGACAATCAGCTTCACAGAGTTTTTGGCTGCACAAGTTATGGAGAAAAATGTACACAAAAGTGAATCTATTTTAGACACTTTTGCAGGATTAAGAAGTGAAATGGCAGGGAGAAGGTCGATACTTATTGACGCGCAAGATCTTAGACGATTATTGAACCCAATGTACAGTTGTACTAACACGGATTTGGACGATGTCCTGAGGCAAACTGAGCTTATAGCTCTCTCTACGTATCTCAACAGTCTAGCAATGGAAGAGGAATCAATGCCAAGGGTATACCACTTGTTGAAGCACCTGCTAGACCCCAAGACAGCGTTACAGCCAATGAATCTCACAATTGACGAATTTTTCGTTCTTATGAAATCTTCGGAAGATGTAGCGCCGGTAGAAGAGACGCTTAAATATTACGAGGGCAGCCCTTCGGATGCTTACGAGACTGTAAAGCGTAAACTTATCTGCACGAAGTTACGGGAAATAGAAGACTACTGTGAAGACAGCAAACGCCAAAAGAAAGTGCGTAGAACTACTTCCGCACATAGCTGTAAAGCGGAGCATAACAGCAGGATCTCCACACCACGCCGTCGTATAACTTCACGCGGGCGACCACACTATGTGTAACTCGTATCTCAGGGGCCAATAATCACTTAAGCCAGTTCAATGTATCGATCTAACCATTTTTACATATGAAATGTATACACATGTAGGATGCGTGCCGACCCAAAGAAGGTGGCACAGCTCCTAGGTGACGAGCGTCTAGAGCTCATCTACCTCGGTACAGAGCACACACTTAAGGATTCCACTGCCTACGTTCGGAAACAAGCACAATGCGCCGATCAAGGTTTGAAAACGCGGGATGACGCGGCCTGGCAAATATATGGAAATATCAATCTTGTACTAAAAAGCCTTCAAGAACAATACGAAGAACCAAGGAACATTCTAATAGACCGAATAAGGTCAAATGGTCCAGAATTTGTAACTCTTAGTCAACAGGCTCGAGATTATATAAACGGAAGAGGGACCAAGGAACTTGAAAGCGATGATACAACTGGTACAACACAGTTATCATATCTAGATAGATCAGTTAAAGGGTCGGTAGATGTTTTGTTGATACCACTGTTGCGAATACTCCTACGAACAGGAAGATATGCCAGTACCTCTTGTTGTTCTGGACGTACCGTACTGTTCGAGTGTAATGCAGACTATGCAACACCCGCTACGAAACATTCTAATGAATTCGGACGAGCAGGAAGGTTCCTGTACTCTTCACATTGTCATGTAGATCAGAATGATGCCAATGAAGCGGTAAAGACAGTAGATGAGCATGTCAGTTCTAAGGGAATGTGTTATCACAAAAATGATGATACGTCACAAGAAACCAGAGAAACAAATGTGCTACATGTACAGCCAACCAATCAGTGTGAAGTAGTACTGAAGTTTGAACCCTTTCTAATACATGTAGAGTGTGCCTCGATGCAAGACGGAGCCGAACTACTGCAAATTGCAAGAGGATGCGGGCTCAAGCAATCCGGCATCATCACGTGCTCAAAAAGGGTCATTGTTTCCTTAAGGGGGTCTAATAGTTTGGAAGCACCTGTAGCGATGCGTCATTATGGAGTGGATACACTGGCAAGTAATGACACTGACAGGGGTGCGGACTGTGATAGAGTTGTTGAAAAGGAAGTGCATATCAAAACTACATGGCTAGTTGACGATAGCTATTTCATGTATCTTTTGAGTACATGTAATAAAAAACTAACAGCAAGCATACGGCAGATGCTACGACTGTATTGGACAATCGCGCAACACTTTGCCATTGATATCACCATGCCTTTTGCAATACCAAGGCTAGGAAACCCATGGGATAACACAGACGGGGCATGCGTTGGACCTTCAGACGCAACAACGTCGTGTCAATCGCAATATGATCCGAATGGTTGTAGAAATTGTAGTGGGCACCAAAAGTCCCCGAGGAGTAGACACGCAAACAACCCTAACATTTATGTCGCTGTCAAAGAGTACAATTATATCAAACGGATAAAAAATCAATTGGAAAAGGCAAAAATATACGATAAAACAAGAAAAATAGTGACTATACCACCATTTGAACCGTCGGGGGATAACGTTGATCACGGAGCGGAGGAATATTCACAGAATTCGGACTATCAAGGTATACCCGTTGAGGTGACAACAGACATGCTACCCACGTTGAATATAGCGGCCTTTATACCAATACTATATACGACACGATATGACCTCAGAGAAGAACTAGAAGATCTTCCAGAGCTATTGGAGCAACTGGTAGTCACTGGCGGTTCCATAACCTACCTGCTGGATGCTGCAATCATCTCTATGATACTATCGTAAACATACGGTTTTCATAAACTCGGGAAATATACCTATTGATTCATTTTTCTAGTGCTTTGGGCAGGGGTGGCGGCCAGGCGTTACACGCAGTCGCAGTAACATACTATTTGCAACACCGTCAGGACAATGGGTTCCAAACATCATCCCGATTTGATTATGTGCAGGAAACAACCGGGAATAGGTATGTTGAAGTCTAACTCAGAGAAAAACCGGGGAAAATCTGGCACTGTAACGTGGTTGAGATTCTAGCCTATTTCAGCCTCAAAGTGGCCTCTTCCGCAACCAAATATTAATGTGAATACAGCTATTGGAAGATTGTGTGACAAGTGCGATGGAAAATGTCCTATATGCGATTCTTACGTGAGACCCTATACCCTGGTACGGATATGTGACGAGTGTAACTACGGCACTAACCAGGTAAGATAGCCATTTTACATACACAGAGACCCCTTTTATACCTATAGTTCGTAATAAGATGCACCGATGCTCATATTTAACACGCGTTCAGGGACGCTGCGTCATATGCTCGGGGCCCGGTGTATCAGACGCATACTACTGCAAAGAATGCTGTCAATGTGAAAAGGACGTAAGTTATTGCTTTCTTGTGTAAATAATCGAGTCTTTGTAACGTGATAATGACAATACAGCGTGATGGATGCCCAAAGATCGTAAACCTAGGCAGTGCCAAAACGGATCTATTCTATGAGCGAAAGAAGTACGGCTATAAGCCTACATAGCCAACGCAAATTAGGATTCGTCTGCTTAATAGTACACCGCGGATTCCACGATACACGTGTCGCGGCCTAGGTGGCGGTGGTCACTGATACACACGAAGGAAGCCGTAATTAGCCATGCTATGCAGCGACGATGTGTACTTATCGTAAATATTAATTTATAGCTAAGTGTGTTATGAGCGGATGATGTAGCGAAAATGTACTCTGAGGCGACCTACGAGTGTATCACTTCCGGACGCTGATGCCAATTGACCCAACGTGGGCTGATGTTCGACAACAGTACTGCGACAGACGGTTCTACTGCAACTGATTTTTATTCCTTGTAGGTATCTAGCTTTGTATCATAGGATACGAGCCAGTTACCACGCTAATAGGCTGTCGAAACAGATATCAACCAGCGATAAGCAACCGATAGCCAGACCACATAGGTTATCCAGTGTCACATTTACATATTTATAAGGCATAGATATTGGGAAAGTCGATATAAAAATTGAAGCATAGAGATACCGGAGATGGCACCGAAAAAGAAACAAGTCGTCGAGGAAGATGACGACGAACTAGCCCTTCTAGACGAATTTAATGCGGTATGTTTACAAATTATGCAAAATTATTGACCATACATCAACAATATAAAGGACAATAACTCCTAATATAACTTTTAAGAGTCCTCATATGCAAATAATGAAGAACACCCAGTAATGACTATACAGGATCGAGGAGCCGTAATCGTAACACCCGCAGAAGAGACTTCAAAGTCGAAGAAAAAGGTATATGCAAAGTATAGAAGTAACTATAAGACCATGCAGAAAGGAAAGGGTCCCAAAAAGGTAGAGGAAGATGATCCCGAACTAGACGAACTGCTAAAGGATCTAAATGCACTGAATACAAAGGTAGGTATAATCTTAATCCTTATTGTGAACAACCCCTAGGCCAAAGAAGAAGATACTGTGGAAGTACAAGGCACACTTTCAGATCCAAAACCGGATGACGATGACGATGATGATGATGATGATGATGAAAAGGACGGTGATGACGAGGCGCCAGAGGGTGGACAACTATCTGCCAAGGCTCTGAAAAATAAACTGAAGAAGGAAAAGAAGAAACAGGCAAAATTGGCTAAAAAACATGTAGAAGAACAACCAGAAAAGGCACAACCTGCCGGTAAAAAACCAACATCATTGGCCGCAAAACTAGCCGCGGAACGACAACGACAGTTACAGGAGGTACGTCTAGAGACAATTTTGAATCCTGGATAAACTCCATGCAGCTTGAAGAAAAAGCCAGACAAGAAGAGGAGGAACGAAAACGTCTGGAAGAGGAACAGCGAAAGAAGGAGGAAGAAGAGGAACGGATACGATTGGCAAAATTAGAGGCTAAGCGCCAACAAAGAAAAGAGAAACGTGAACGACAAAAGAGAGAAGGGAAACCAATGACACTTAAGGAGAAAATGGCAGCCGAAATGAAAAGGAAGTTCTTAGAACAACTGGAAAAGGACGGTGCACTAGATGTCAAACAAGATGGAGAAACCAAGAGACCATCCACTGCATCATACCGCAAAAAGAAAACAGTAAAGAGTGACGCTACTCAGGAACAAGAGTCTAAAGAACAACAAGAACAGGGTAGTGCATCAGAAACGGAATGTGAGTTTAGGGCAGAAACAATAATCATCACCCGTTCAGCATCACCATCATCAACGGATTCAGAAGACGTTATAGAAAACTGGGAAGAACTAGACAAACCTGATTATGAAAAGCAAGAAGTAAAGGAAAAACCAGTTGCCCCAAAACCGACACCTAAACCTGTAAAAACTAGACTACCACAACCTGAGGAACCAGAAGATGAAAGCGAATATAGGTCACCCATTTGTTGTGTTCTAGGACACGTCGACACGGGGAAAACCAAACTGTTGGATAAAATTAGGCACAGTAATGTACAAAATGCTGAAGCAGGTGGTATCACGCAACAAATAGGTGCAACATTCTTCCCAAAGAAGATGCTTGACAAACATTGTGAACTTATCAACCCGGAATTCAAACTAAAAAGTTCAGGACTATTGATCATCGATACACCAGGTCACGAATCGTTCAACAACCTGCGTGCTCGTGGATCATCACTATGTGATATCGCAATCCTAGTAGTAGATATCATGCATGGACTCGAGCCACAGACAATTGAATCTATCGGGTTGCTGCGTGGTAGAAAGTGCTATTTCGTCATAGCCCTTAACAAAATAGATCGACTTTACAAGTGGAACACAACACCATGGGCGCCATTTCACAAAACATTCGAAAATCAAGCAGATGACACGAAAGCAGAGTTCCGGGAAAGAGCAACAAAGATCATGATCGAGCTCTCGGAACAAGGTCTTAACAGTGAATTGTATTGGGAAAATGATGATATTCGTCGGAATATATCTATATGTCCAACTAGTGCAATCACCGGAGAGGGGATTTCAGATCTCATTTGTCTGATCTTACAGCTTACACAAAAGATTATGGTCAAAAATATTACCCATAAAGAGGAATTCCGATGCTCCGTTCTTGAAGTGAAGGCAATCGAGGGACTTGGTACTACTGTAGACGTTATACTTATAAGCGGCACTATCAAGGAAGGAGACAAAGTGGTAATTTGCGGACTCTCGGGACCCATAGTGACCACCATCCGAACCCTACTCACTCCACAGCCTTTGGCTGAACTGCGTGTCAAGGGTGAATACATGAAACACACAAGTATCAAAGCCGCCATGGGTGTGAAAATAGTGGCACATGGGCTTGAGGAAACGGTGGCGGGTACAGAAATGCTACTAGTGGAAGACGATGACGATATTGATGCTTTATGTGAAGAAGTTATGCAAGATATATCTTCTATATTTGACAATGTCAACCGCACCGGTATCGGTGTTTACGTCATGGCATCAACTTTGGGGTCACTAGAAGCCCTATTGCAGTTCCTTACAGATAAAAAAATACCCGTGTTTGCCGTGAACATAGGGACGGTTCAAAAGAAAGATGTCAAAAAGGCATCGATCATGCGTGAAAAGGACCATTCGGAGTACTCAGTCATTCTGGCTTTCGATGTCAAGTGTTCATCTGAGGCGGAGAAGGAAGCTCAAGTCCTTGGAGTGAAAATTATGTCAGCTGATATTATATATCATCTATTGGACTCGTTCGTCAAATACCTCGAAGAAACTCAGGAACAGAAAAAACAGGCACGCATATCAGAAGCTGTATTCCCCTGCGAACTTACCATACTGCCACACTGTGTTTTCAATAAAAAGGACCCATTCGTTTTCGGAGTGCATGTCGACAATGGTATCCTGAAACCCAACACGCCACTGGTGGCCATGGCAAAGGGGAATCAGCTTATGTTAGGCCGCGTGGCGAGCATGGAACACAACAAGAAGCCTGTAGAGAAGGCAGTGAAGGGGCAAGAAATATGTATCAAGGTGGTTGGAGAACCCAATATAGCGTATGGACGTCATTTCGACTGTAACGACCGTGTATACTCGCGTATAACACGTGAATCTATCGACGTGCTTAAGGACTACTTCAGGGACGAAATGACAAATGTAAGTTTAAAAGGTAGTGATTGAAATGTGTCTCCAGGATGCCTGGAAGGTGGTAATCCACCTCAAGAAGGTGTTTGGCATTCTCTGAAAACAGCTTACGCGGCAGCAGTCGCCTTCGCCTCTTTCAGGAGGTCAGCTATGTTCAGCCGGCATATAGGGCAAATTCTACTGCGTTTGAACCACTTCTTCAAGCAGTCCCTGTGGAAAAAGTGGCGTATGTCGCAGGGCATGATGTAGACCTTGTCGCTATCTTCGATCTCCTATGTAACTGTGAAAGTCGACGGTGCAGAAACTTACCATAATGCAAATAGCACACAAGCGGTCGATATCACTCGTGGTGTTGGGTTGAGACTCCCTAGGAGTGACGTTAGCGCTTTCCGGAGCCTCGCCGTCACCGTCCCTCACAGTAACAACAGAAATCGACCCGTTAACCGCACTGCGATCTTTGGTCTCTGTCCCGTTGCTCTTAGAGAGTTTCGCTTCGCCTTTTCGTAGTCGAGCGACGACAGCGTCGAAACGGTCCACATCAATCATCTTCAGCACTTTTTTCCCCAGTCCCGGGGAAAGGCTGCCATGGTTTCGCAGGCGAATAATGTAAAAAATCACAGGGTATAAGATCAAGCATAACAATGTGTACGTAAGCATAGGACTGATGTAACAGGCAATAGTAATCCAAATGAGGAAAAAGCACATCTTAGTAGAAAATGCGCTCATGCTCTCACGTGGATTCAGCACTGTATAGTAAAGTGCGAAAATCAGCCATATACAACTCGCAACATCGTAAGCCTTCACTAAGTGACCCAATGTAGGCGGATCTGACATGGTTCGCGAGTGGTAGTGTATCGACCATACATTCATGCAAATCTTGAGCAGTACACGTACCAACCAGAAAAACAACAAGCATTCTGACGGACGTGGCTGCCACTCGTATAGCCTTATTTCATAACCTACAATTGTCCAGGCAATCAACCCTGAGACTAGCAAGGCGGCGAAAAGGTGTGAATAGATGATGCACCGAATGAGGAAATTACGATTGGATATAATGCGCTCAATTTCTCTATCCTCGTGCATACCCGTTGGCGCTGCAACCACATTTTGTAGCGGTGTTGAGTTTAGGTATTGCAGCAATGTGAACGTCGTCGGTGACGTCGTCTGAGTTGATTGCGCATTTTCTCCCAACTCGGGTGCGATATCCGCCTCAGATGGCTGATACTGAGGTTCATAATATACGACAGGCTGCGCAGGGCCAGAACAATTGTAGGACGCTTCCGCGTCCTGATGGTCAGGGCGAGGGGAGGTCATCGTGAGCGGAAAAAAATATCCTAATCAACTTACATCCCTCATCCATCAAACAGCCATGGTGTCGTCTATAATACAGTCGAAGTTTTTAAAAACGTACAAATCATCCAGGTAGAATGTAAGGTCTACATGACCTCAAAAAATCGTCACACCACGACTCAAATGTGACACCCCAAGACAACGCGAATATTTGTTACAGAAAATATGGCATCGATGTAAAAAACCAAGAGTTCCTACTCTGGAGCTCAATTATGTCGCTCTATACAACAAGGTTACACCAAGTTTACAATAGCATCTGTGCGACCGTGTACGCCGTATATAGGGCTAAGGAGGCACAATGCGGACAATTGTCGCCTTTAAATATTATTAACGTATTTTAACGTGGCTCCTGCCATAGAGGCCGTCGCCCAGCGACGCTAGCTTGGGCGCGGCTACCGCACACCCACGCGTTAAAAATCAAACAACAAATACCAAAATATAACACACGAGGAGCATACACATGCCCATAAATGTAAATGGTTTAAGAAACTGTATACAGATTAGCCGTCTTAGAAATCATACCTAACCCAGATATGTGACCCGTAAAGACCTGATAATCCAAGTAACAATCTAACTGACAAGCTGTGATCACCCAGGGGGCTCAAAGCTGCTCGTTAAGCATCTTCATCTCCTTTACGATCAAATTCTTGCAGTTGTACAGCTTAGGCACCCACAAAGCCGTACGGTACTTGTAAGAGTTGAGCAAGTGCTCACTCTCGAGACGGAATGTGACCCACTGACAAAAATTAAGGTGACGCTACTGACACTTACCACCACACGACGAACTATCTCAATCACTGAGACTATAAGACTCACAATATCCAAAGAAAGTTCCTCATTTTTCAACAGAGAAAATGGAATTGTAGTAAAAGCCCATGTGCAGCGACACAACATATTAAAGAAAACAGCACAAAAATATGCCTCACGACGATACATATGACGGTTCTGACGTCTCTTAAAAATATTCCAATTTAAATCCAAACCCCAATCTATCACATAATCCCACCAACATTGGAACAAAGTAGCAAACACATAAAATGATACAACCAAAAAATGACGTTGCCACTCTTGCATACCAAAAATATAGACCCAATCAATAGAAGAAACAACAACACATAATATACCTGAAAGGTATTTAGCCATGTTACCAACATGTAACCACCGTTTCTCCTTAATATAACGACGAAAACATTGAGAAAAACGAATTATATAGGGATAACACATCACTGCAGGAACAATCCATGCCTGTATTACAGGAGATGGAATTTTGTGATCAGATGTCATACCAAACAAAAAATATGTAATCATAAAAACCATGTCACGTAAAGGACGAGTTAAGGATGTCATCACATCAGCAATAATACTGTCACCCAAAGTTATCTTTTCACCAGCACCGAAAGGTGCCCCTAAAACCCGAAATATAGCAAATAATAAACGTTTACGAAGCTTCAATTTAAGGTTACGGTTAGGCCACATCACAATTATCAAATGCAATGCCACTAACGTAATAGGATACAAAAAGTAAAGGTGATGCGGTGGCACAATGTGCAACCTGCAATCTAACAAAAATAACACAAATAACAATAAACATGAAAAAGTCTGACCTGCACCCAGCTGATAATAATCCTTATCAGTTGCGGAGTAGTTACTACTCAGGCCAAACTGAAACTGATAGTTCACGCCATAAGTCTCGAGGTAATTCTGACACCAACCAAACCCCCACCATAGAACTGACATTGTGAAAAAAAATCGAAAGGTAGCAATCTGAGATAACAAAATGTTGAGATCAAATGGCAAAGGAAAACTAAAAGAACAGAAAAACAATGAATTCACTAATAAAACAGTACATAAGCCATAAACAAAAAATAAACCGTGCGCTGGCTTCGAACGCAAGCTGTCTAAAGTCGTCTCTATGTCAGTCTTCAACACACCAAAGTCGACCACAGGATTATCCATCAGTAAATTGTATATCTGGATAACGTCTTCTAACACACCTTGAGAAGTCTCAACGGAAAGCATAATGCTCTTGTACATAGGGAAAAGGTTGAACACATCGCTAGTTGATAATAACTTATCCTTTTTTTTAAGCACTTTAAAAACGGCAAGTGTGTTCAAGTTCAGGTAAAGCTTTAATTTATCGCAAGAGTCCCAAAAAGCTGTACAAGCTTTACGAATAAGACCAGCATACGAATCGTCCAGCTTGCCGCCACGACGGGCTATATCAGCTTTGAGGAACCGCACCAAGGACTTAATGTAGTCAAGCTCGGTAACGTAGTGGATCATAACCACGCGGATGTCGTCCCGAAGAACTTTGTTAAACACGGAAAGTGATTCGTCGTCCATCACATTTGTGTTTTTACGTAAGTTGAAGCGAGATGTCGCGCCTTTACTAGCGGAACAAAACGAACAACCCATGGAACAACACCAAACGTCGCGCGACACAGATTTACGTGAAGAAGCATTGTCCTTCAAAATGTCCAACACATTGATTCGGTCAAATTCGGGCTGAGTATCACCCAGTGATACGCCATGTTTACCGCTCTTTTGAACGATTGGGCCCTCCGAGGGACCAGTTGAAACTCCATCGACAGAATTTATAGAGTCATCTTGACCATCACTAGATGGTACTAAATTATCAGTATCGACTGTACAGGAATACGGAACGCGTCCCAGCTTTTGAAGCTGAACATGCAAATAGGTCAAGGCCTCAGAGCTAGGCTCCAAATTAGGAGAAGACACGTGTCCATGCTTCTCATAATGGTTTACAACATCTTTGACCGCACCACTATGATCTGAAACGTCTTTTGGCAAAGGCGGGAGGTGGGATGTCCTTTGCTTTCGACGCTCACCATCATCAGTGTTGGAAGCGCTGCCGGAGCCATCTTCTTCGGGTATACTCACCACGATTTGCTCACTGGTATGAAAATTAGCAGACGATGATGGTCTATGGATAGGGGTAATATCATTGGGCTCAGACCGACATTCACTTCTAGATCGACCGGACAGCGTAGTACTTCGCTGATAAGAGGTATGACATTCTACGTTGAAAAGCTTTTGTAACATATCCCGCTCAGTATCGTCATCTACACCGGGGATTTTTCCCGAATTGATACGACTGGCACGTTTGGCCAGGCGAGAGAGTTCCTTGTAACGGATATATTTGTCCGACCACTCAGGGACGATGAAGGTCTGCAGTTTCGCTCCGAACTTCATTGTCCTATAAGGTATCACAAGAGATTATATAGAAATAATGCCATGAACTGCAGCAGAAGAAATATCGTATATCTAAAAAAATCCAATGATCTTGCACTCGGGAAGGCCACAAAGTTCATATGTGATGACAGACCAGGGAATGGACTGTAAGATATATACACCTTTTTAACATCACACATATCCCGTCATAATCAGAATCAATAGATGCCAACGGAGAGGATGCTAGCGATATCTATGGTGCGTTACACATCGCTCGCATCAAACTTCACACAGCCACATTCGTCGTCTCACTAAACAAAAATACCCTCGAAGAATACCAAATAACAGGTATTTATGAAACAAACCTAGTTGTGTTTATCCTTTGGTGACGCGTAGATACACATACAACGAGTTGACTCGATGTACCTTAAATGACATTAGGGGTACATACTTCAAACGGCGCCAGCATAGCTATGGAACTTGACCAAAACGGGGTATTAATACATAAGATTGACACCAATGGACAGCCTGATTGTCTCAAAGTCTTTCCTCATGACCTATTTGAAGGTAGTCCTTCTTCAGAAATCTTCAATACACTGCAGATGATACATTAAAAGGCACCTTTCTTGCTGCAACATACAACTACGACTCAGCTTCCAGAAAACGCAGCGGCAGTATAATCGCATTCAAACCTTGCCGTGCATTGGAAACGTACGGTAGACTTAATATCATTACAGTTATGCTAGGTTGTTGAAGAGAGATAACGAACACGATAACAATGCACTAAATTTTTCGATAGCACAGCATGACCTACCAGGAGTGCTATCATGCTCATGGATAAGGACGCAAGATGTAGGCGCCTGCAAATCCGATGAATATAATGCAGCATTACGCGGCAGCTTGCGTCACGGCGAATCTCTCGATTAATACATTGCAACTTGCTACTGATACAGACGAGAATCTCTCTTTTAAAGCTATCGATGAGATAAGTCTGGACCCTCAGAGTGACGCAGTTGGATTGTCGCTAAGTTGTCACGATGACGGCTTAAGGTAGGTCTATTCAGTATAAGTCATCTAACACCCTTATACAGTTTGTGTTCGGTAACGGCATCAGATGGAAACGTATACATTGTTGAAGATGGTATTGTGACGCAAAAATGGTAAAAGTTAAAATCATCAGGCGTCAGCTGGCGCAGGAAAGCACATGATGTGGAAACGTGGATTAGCGTATTTCAACCAGACAACACAAATATACTGATGACGGGTATTATAATGTCGTTGTATAATTCACGAAACATGCAGGGGCTGACGATAGCTCAATTAAAGTCTTTGACAGAAGGGAAGGTACAGCGCCAGTTCGTAGACTCAACCAGTGAGTCCAAAGAGAGTTGTTGATCAAATCAATGTAGTAATTCATCCGGAGTAACCGCTCTGCAGTTTAACAAGCGGAATACCAATCTACTTTACACCGGAAGGTGAGATATTAATACACATCTAAAAAATCACACAACAGCTTCGACCGTCAACTTATGCGATTCGATATGCGCAATATGAATATGCCAATATCGACATCTCAACTTGACGGAGCAGTGTGGTTCATGGATTTTCTCGATGAGGATACCGTACATATCGCAGGGTGTTACGATGGAGCATTTGCTTACACATCGGACGAACAAGGTGAGTAAGAATCAAGACCTAGCCTCTTCATAACGAATCTCAGGAAATCCCAATAAACTAGTAAAAAGAATTGCACCAAATGACGCTTTGATATACGGAGCAGCCCACATAAAGCTCTCTAGTACTACAGTGTTCGCCTCCTGCAATTTTTATAAAAAGGAAATATTATTTTGGTGCTAGTTTAGACAAAATTGAGCTAACTGCACTCTTAAAAATACTTAATATTTTCGAAGACATCAGTGTAGCAACATTAATCATCTAGTGTTTTAATATTTCGTTAGATTTTTCCACGAGAACAATACAGAGTTGGATGGGTTATTAAGCTATGTACCTATTAGTATTCTCATCATTTGAGAAATTAATGGCTGTATTTCTTGAATAGAAAACATGCTTTATCGAAACGTAGTAGCAGAAATGCTTTTGCAAAGATGTAATGATTCAACATCAGAAATTACTTAGATTTAATCGGCGTAAAACTTACGCTGCACAATTAGCCAAACATGTCGCATCTGATAGACATATATTAAACATAAGCTTCATGGTAAGGACATGGTCTTTCTTTTAATACGCTATAATGTATGCGCACCGTAGGACCTATCAAATTTTCACTGTGTTTTCCACCCCGCCTAACCGATATATATTTTCTCAACTCAGTGCCATTTAGGTTTTTATATTCATTTTTGTGTTTAAATGTGCGACGTCATGATCCGTTTGACAGTGCTACACCCTTGTAAGAAACTTATTTCTTTTAACATCGATTTTGTTATTCCCTAATACTTTTGCTGTATCAAGGGAGAATGAACCCTTCAACTATGGATAACAAACATTGCCTATGGCTATCTTAACCACGTCTGTTGACATACAAGTGATTATCATGGAACCAAACTTGCTCATAGAAAAGTTTTAATGCTTGGTTGTGCCCCGCAGCACTGGCCGTAGTTGTGGGATGAATAAGAGATTTTCAATGACAGTTGAAACTAAATTGAGCAACTTTAATTATATGAAGAATGCACATAAGCTATTAAGTTAAGATTATTATCGTTTTTTGCCATATTCTTACTAGATGTTGATGATATTGCCTACATCAAATAGCCCCCCGATGTTTCAGGGGTCTCACATCATGATTATTTTCATAACTTCGAAAAGAACATGATAACGAAGTTCCCTTGTGTCTTCCAGCATATAGCAATCATAGACGATGTGAATAATCGTCTGAAGTAACTCCAATACCCTTCTCCCATTGTCGGATCATATGCCACTTTGGGTTATGAATCGTGCCCTTGCATACTCATTTCACAAAATAGTGGGAACGTTGTTTATACTTCTGGTATGCCTGCGACAGCCTTTTGCAACTAAAATGTCCTTTGCTGCCATCTGGAGTATAGAATACACGTACCTATAAGTTGTTTAATCACAAAATCTGCGAACGTAGAAAGGGCCAAGTCTCCTATCTACCTTACGCAAGCGATAACGGACCAGGTAGCCAAAGATATGAGAGTCGGTTTCAACCAAAGAAGCTGTGAAAACGTCGAATAGTTGTTAGCCTTCATGAAATAACTAAAAGATGACCTAGAAAAAAACAGAGTTACACAAACGACATGTTTTCCGTCGTTTTAACCGTTCCTTCAAGCCTTTTACTTCATGATCAGGATAGATTCCTAGGTATACTAGTCATGAAATCAATCCAAAAAATTTTTGCGTTGATGAACGTCATAAAATCAACGAACCCCAGATTATCTTCACCCTGGTCGTCGAGGGGTCAAAGGTACTACTCACTTCTACTGACAGCGATGAGAATGTCTATACCTTTCATCTGACAATCACAATAGTCAGTAAGTTGTACCCACTCTTGCGTGTATGCCTAAAGGAAGGTAAATAAGTGACGATGCTAGACACGTCCGTTGTTCGCATCTCAGGTGTTAATCAGAATGTTAATTTAGGCGTCATGATTCCAGTTACATCACTAGTTATCTAAATAATTGTGCTGGACCTGTGTTTTGTAAAGCTAAATTTAAGTAGTGCCTTGTTTGCCGAGTGCCACAAGCATGGTCACCTGGTGTATAGATTCAATAGAGCATGATCGTTAAACGAAGAATATACTCACATTTTGTAGTAACTATGTGGATATAGTGGTCTAGTTGAAGTACATTTGGCTATAAAAATTTGGGGCACTGTGTCTCCTATACCCGAGCCATACATCGTTATACATTTGCCTCATACTGTAGGTTTCTGTATTCCTTACACTAATGCTGTATTCTAGATATTTGCAATATCTAAAGGTGATAGATTGTACGATGGTGATACCACTTTACTCAAGTGATGAGTACTTTTCCATGCCTGTTTATCATTGCTTAGTTACTTGCGGACGCATGAACCAGGGTATTTCGTCAGATTATATCATTGTAATATTACATATGAACAATTTACAGAGATAATAACAACGACAAATCGTAAATCAAATGTCACTATGCTGAAAGCCATTGTTAACATGACTACAAACGATAGTGAGAACTGGTAAAACGGCAGTACAATCCGGTTTATACAAGCTTCATTACAGTATTTTAATTCCATTTAACTTCCGAATTTACTTATGCGTTCTGTATATTGTGAAGCTTCATCGTCCTTCTGTGGTCACCGTTGTGTGTGAGGTTATGTGTACATGTTATATGGCATAGTGGCATCCACTTTACTATCTCGGATTAAAATTCACACATTCCCCTGAATTATTATCAGATAAAAGATGTAGACAGCCATGGTTGCTGTTGCTTCTGTGTACACACTAATCTCAAGTATCGCAGCATACAGTTTGCGCCTAGTTGGCTGCAATGACAATCCTGAAGTGTCCCATTCATCGCACAAACTTCAAAATGACGCACATAATATCGAAGAACCCACTGCGGCTGATATAGAGTCCGAGATTCGCGACATCACCAACGACGTCGCAGTGAAAAAGGAGCTCTCGGCAGCCGCTGGAAAACTGGAGCAGAGTGCAAAGACTAATACTGAGTCACGTAAGACCCTCGATGGCATAGTGAAGTATGTTTTGGCCACCTCGCGACGGAGGTTATGCTGCTCAGGGAAGAGGATCGAATCCGAGAGGAGATAGGCCACGTAAAGCTCGACAGGGTAAAAGAATTGAATGATAGAAAGCGCGAATTGTTGAAAAAAATCGCATCTATTGGAAAAACACTACGCGTAGAGCACGACGCGCGCTTCCCTCGTGAGTTACAGTGTTCCTAAGGTTCATTATTTGTACAGATTTAGCAGGTCAGCCGATCATCATCGTAGCAAAAGACGATGACGATACCAAGCGCACGGCTAATACGTTAGCTCACATGGAAGGTGGGTGTCTGCATCACGTATGCTCTATATGAATAATCAAAGGTTTGAGTGACGCAATGAACAAGATACGTTCTCCGTGCTCCAGTCTCGAACGAATTCGCTCCGACACTCTGCAGCGTGCCAAGTACGGTGACAATCATTCTTATAAAATAATGTGTAGGAAAAGTAACCACGATCGCTTTGCCGTCGTTCAGAAAACGCTGGATTCCATGTCACTAGAAGAGCGTTTGCACTACGGTAGGTCTAGAAACGGCACATCATTCACACTGCAGACCGAAACATGATAGAACACTATGAAGGAATCATACGCGAGCTTGAGGAGGGCATTGCCGAAGCAGACGCAGAAATTGACGCGTCTTGGCAGTTGTACAGACAGTGACTGGTCGCTTCCTAAGGCAATTGGCGGGCTTACCTCCACAATTCGTGTGGTTATTTAACTTTCCTCGCCCCCCTGTGCTTCCTGCTACTGTTTTGCGGCCACGGCAACCACGAAACGTCGATGTGTGGGGTGTCTGGCTCTAGGCTAGATGGGTTGAACGGCGGTTACAAGTTAAAACCAACACAAAAAAATCGATACACAATCACACCGCTTTATACATTGTCAAAGTTCCTAGAGTCGGTAACCACCGGTGGGCATGTAAAGGCACCACCACCCTGGCTTCTGGGAACATTCGCGTGTCGCCACCGTCTCAAAGTTCATTTATATCACTGCCGCTATTATCACCGTATTTTTAGCGGTTCGGTTCCTTTTATTTGCGTGATGTATTGGGCGCCACAGCCCAATTCATGAGCATCGGAGGATGTTTCATCCTCGGCCGTTCGGCGGTTCCGCCAATATATTTGCCAAGTCCTCCAAGGGCGAGCAGGAGAACCGCAATGATGGTCAGTTGACTTCTATACCTGAACCTGGAGCATCTCATCCCACCAACCAAGAGCGGAGTGAACCACTCCGTCGTCACGCACCCAGTGATGGAAAAGCCTCCAGCTTTAACAGGGGCCAAGAGCACCGACGATCCATGGATGACAATCAGTCTTTCAGGGATTCGAGAAGCTTCGCAGACTCCAAGTTACCTGCAAAGGGGAGGTTATTTTCAGATAGAAGATTATTTTCTGGTTCGAGGCCATTGGTAGATCCTAAGGATTTTTCGGACTTGAAACCCTTAGCCGAACCAAAAGGTTTCGACGATATGAGGCTACAACCACCTAGCACAGGTGTGGAAATAGCTTCTGCAACTAACGATACACCGGAGGAGCTGCAAAAAATTGTTGTACCTCCAGATGCGCCACAAAAAGCAGCATCGGAAGGTGTATACGACAAGACTTACCTCTTGCAACTCATGATGCATTTCCAGAAGCTCTACCAAGAGAAGGGGGTTGCGGCATGTAAAATGGACCCTCCACGATTTAAGTTTGTTGATTCACATCCACCCATGCAGCATAACGCTGGCATCCGCGACTTCGTCAATGGACCAAGGGAAGGCATCATGGGTGGATACGGCGGCGTTCCTCAGGCTATGTTCGATCACGGTGACCCGCATCGCAAGTCAGTGGACCTTGTTTCGGGTCAGCGCCGCTCCTACTTTGACCAGCGCATTCCTAAAGGAAAGGATGCTTTCAGGTTAACTCGTGATGGGTTCGATGGATCGGACTACCCCAAAAGGGGTGATATGCAAGGCCTCGATCAACAGATCGCTGAGGCTCACGGCCGTTGGAATAATTACGAAGCCCACTCCATGAGAAACGAACGCAGGTTCATGTATGAGAACTACCAATCTACTGAGGGGCTGAGCCTTCTCGACGACGAGCGTGCGTTACAACTTGGAAGGATCGACCATATGAAACACGTCGTTCCGCCGTTTCATTCCACCCCCGGGGGAGCAGGATTGCACCACGAATCAGATGTTGGACTGCTCAGTTCTTTACAAAGTCAGAGGCGACCAGAACATTACAACATGCACGACCGCTACCCATTTGATGCAAACCAGGTCCGCCACGCCGAAAGTTTGATGTCGCTGGGTGTCGACCCTGCGTCGTACCGCCGGCCTGCTGGTGACATGCGTTTTGTGAAAGGTGGAATGATGGGACACGGAATTCCAACAACTGGTCCTTCCGAACAGACGTTATTGCAGTACACCGCACTTGCAGCATCAGCTGCTAAGGCCCCCCAGACGTGGAAGACAACTCGAGAGCTTACGTTATGGCAAGCTGATGCACCGCCTGCTGACGAGCCAATTCCCGCTGATGACTCTGGTGTTTTTGATTCGCCTGTACTGCAGGGTGCCAACCAACGCGTGTCGTTTTTGGAACGTTTGTTGGACAAGTCCTTCGATAGCATTGAATCCAGTTTGGATAACCCAATTCTTGACACTGCGGCACAACTCCAGAAAGTAATGAATTTGGTGGCAAGCCAAATGCGCTCGCAATCTCAGGAGCAAGAACAAGCTGAACCACAGACGCAAGAACAGGATCAACCTCAGGAACAACCAGATGTACAACCTCAGGAACAAATGCAGATCCAATCTCAGGAACAAAAGTCGGTTCGACCACAGGAACAAAAGCCCTTACAACATCAGACACAAGACCAGGTTCAATCTTTGGAACAAGAGCCAGACCAATCTCATTCCCAGACAAAACCCCAGCAGCAGACGAAGTCTAAATCTCAAGCGAAGCCACAACAACAAGGCAAGAACCAGCAATTGCCAAAGTCTCAACAACCGGGGAAGAACCCACAGCAACCCAAGTCTCAGCAGGGAAAGAACCAACAACAGGCAAGGCCTCAACAACAAGGAAAGAATCAACAACCGCCAAGGTCTCAGCAAGGGAGAAACCAACAAGTGTCATCCCACCAGTCACTGCAAGGCCAATTGCAATGTCAACCTGAGGTTCAATCACAGCCCCAGGTCCAAACTCAACCTCAGGTTCAACCACAGCCTCAGGTCCAAACTCAACCTCAGGTTCAATCACAGCCTCAGGTTCAAATTCAACCTCAGGTCCACATTCCGTCGCCTCAACAGATACGTCGGATGGAACCACCTGTCTTGCAGACAATCAGTCTACAATGGCAGTACAAAGATTTTCACGGCGAAGTTCACGGTTTCTACTCTTCTAGCCAGATGTACACGTGGTACATCAACAACTTCTTCGCCCCGAATCTACCAATGCGGTACGACGAGAGAATGCCGTGGACTTTGTTTAAGGATTTGTATCCTCCGAGCTACACCCCTTTTGTGGATCCTCCATTGGGTTACATTCCGGAAGCGGCTAACCAACTCACATTGCAGCATACGCCCGGATTTATCCCATCGGTATCTGTAGGTCGTCCTGCTGTGCAGGAGGTTGAGACTCCGGCCGCAGAAGAGAGGGTACAAGCTGGCGACCCTGTTCGTGCCTCTGGATTGCGATGGAACAAGCCCGACGACGTGAAGGTGGACTCTTTGCTGGAAATAATGGAGAAGCAAATGCGCCAAAGTGCTCCTAAGTCTGAACCACAGGTACCCGCATCTCCTGTGACTACCAGGCCGTCACCCGGATGGAAGGTTTCCGATACTACATCAGGCCCTGTTTCCGTTGCTTCAGACGATTTCCCGTCATTGGCTCTTGGTGCGGAGAAAATTCCCAAATCACGCAAGAAATCCGGCGGTGGTTCTAACCAACCGCAACACCAGCAAAGCACAATGTCGCTGAAAGCCTTCATGAAATACCAGGCACAGCTCCCCGACTCTACGCGGGGCCAACCTAAGGACTCATTCGCACGGAAGCTTATGGGTGACAAAAAGTGATATTAAATGTCTTTATTATACTTTTGCATTACTTGTCTGAGTCGTTGCATGGAGCGTAGATCCTACGTATGGGTGACTTTTTGTTAGTGTTTGTCACCTACCGCTTCGTAGTCGTAGGTCCTTGCGACCGCCACTTCTGGAGATGTGTCCTTTTCCCCCTCTACGATCTCTGCGAATGTAAGATGTATCACCATTCCGATTTAGTACCTTTATCTTCCTCGGGTTTCTGGGTGTATGTGATTTCTCTAGAAAGTTCCACTTACCTCCTCTGGCCAGGGTATGACATACCCGGACTTCTTAGAGATCCGTACTATATGAGTGTCAAAAGGATGATTTTCACTGACTTACATGGCTCATTTTGACGATTAAACCTGATGGCTACTCGTGTTCCGCATCTGCTTTTTGTTGCGTCGCCATTGCGCTACTTACTTGAGTAAGGGATCTATCAGCTGTACGTTTGAGTAATGCATTTTCTTTTCGATATGCAACACTTGTCCGTCGACAATGAGTTTGCGCTGTGTTTGATTGGCTGATTTAAGTATTATAATTACCATATTGCATCCCTTAACCTTTACTTGATTGCGCAGTTTATCGCAGGCCAGCACTTCTCCAAGCTTTCCTTTCTCCTTACCGCTGATAACCACGACCTTTGTCTTATTGGTTTGTGTTACTTGGAACATACCTCATCTCCGACTCTTATTTTCCAGAATCTTATGATATCACGTGGTTTCGCTAGTTTCGGCCCCCGCTTCTGGTTCAGTATCCAAGAATAGCAGGATAGTTGGTTTACCCAGCCTTCATATGGCGTTGCTGGTGAGGTATTCCAACCAAAACCTCCGGAGAAAGTAGCTGTATGCGATGGGTTGCGATAGCTGGTGAGTGCGCGCCCATGGAGGTATGAGAACTTCACGTTGTTCACAGTGTTACTCAACCTAGGATAAAGGTACAGACGTGATACGATATGCTGCCGGTATAGTTGCATCTATTCAGGAATATATTCTATTTTCATGGTACTGTGGCGACGCCTCTCGCGGAGCATCGTATCCCCGCATCAAATGCGCAAGTGTAGTGTATAAAACTGTTGTCTAATGTTACACATCGACGAAAAACAAAAGATTAAGTTCAGTCGTGTTTTTTCGACTTATTTTTAATGTGGTCAGGCATATATTTCTGCCCGTTGTTTCGAGATTATAATGAGCTGCTGCGAGTTTCCGACACCACAAACGCTACTTTTCCAGCGCATTTCTCATTTTCTACACGGTTTGGTGGTTGTGCATTTTTTTTTGAGCCTGAGCACAAACCCGTTATAGAGTGTTTGATTTTTGCCAAGACGTTTCGCAAGGCGGTCTTCAACTTTTGAAAACCTCGTTTTATGCCTCCTGATATACTTGTTGTTGATCTATTCGATCCATTGTTTCCGTTATTTTCACGGTTCGACGTTGAGTTCGTTGAGTTTGATGAATTTGACTCATCTTTCCCCCCAGGGTCTTGCCTAGGTAACCACGCTACGAAGTCGTTGCTTGTAAAGCATCCATCTGAACTTTCTGATTTTGCCAACTGTACATTGTTGTGCGTCACCTGCTGGGCCTGTGTCGCTGCACCGACGTCTTCGGAAGAGTCGAAAGGGTTATCGGCAGCGGAAGGTCCCTTTCCGTTCATTTGTTTGCCATACATTGCTAATATCGGAGATACAGGTGGCTGGCATTCTCTTGTCCCAATAGTGTTATTTGATTGTCTTTGAGCAAAACCCACTGGGTTCGCCGCATGTTTTACATTGGTGCCACTGCCTCTTAGGTTGCCTACACAATTGGAGTTAATAAACACACTGGTAGACATATGGGTAGGCCCGACCCTTACACGGCCGTTGTAATCTATAAACGGTCGCCTTGGTGCCATATTAGCCTTCCTTACTGGAACGGCTGGTATCGATACACTTTCCACTCTGTTGCCACCATCAAGTTGTTGTTTGCTTGTCATCCACAGCCCTTCACTTTTTTTAGTGAAAACGGCCGAATAGTGTCTGCGGATGTCATCTTTTGCTGAGCCATGCTCCTCGTGACGTTCGGCAGAGTCCGTCATGATGGCAGATAATAAACATTAATTAAGTACAACATTTGGTACTACTTTATGTCAACATAATTTCGTTGACATACGCTAAGCGGCCGGCTTTGTGCTCCGCGCGTACTTGATTGCTAGCGGACGCCACTACGTTTTACATGCGTCGTCTAAGAAGACAAAACTGAAGTAAATCACCTATATATATTTTGGAATCATATATGTTAATGTTTACTAACCTACAAGGCTTACATTAGGGGGGCTTCGTGCTCCACCCACCCCGCGACGCGTTGAAGATCGAACCACACCATCTATGTTCACCTACCATCTTCGAAGACGTACAATAACATCTCAATCAATATTTGATGACTGAACTGCTCAGTAATCTTTTGTCTCTGTTACCTTTATATGTCCTCGCACATCATTACACATTCCGAGGTTATTTATGTACGCTTGAAGCTAAGTTATGTCTGCTGTGTATTACTAGTAGTATAATATATGGGTTAAACCCACGAATTCAATGTATAAATAGTTTATTTCGTTGGAATTAGGCAGCATTGCCTATTTTTAAGTTTCGGCATATAGACAAATCCCGAGACGTAAACTCTAGAGGCAAGGAATCTGCAATCCAAGTTGGGAATCATGCGTCGCAATACTAGCCAAGTAGACGATTACACACTGTCTGAATTCCAGGAGTTACTAACCGACTTACGTTTCACGTCGTTGAAATCTGCCAATCTCTCTACCAATGTTGCTGTTGCTTTCCTAACTGGTATCCCACAAGTGAAGCCGAAGGAGGTCACACTGGATGAACAACAGTCGCCGAACGATTCGGAAACTTATCCATACAGAACTCCAAACGAAAGTTATCCACTCGATCAGGATCACATTATCGAACTCGAGGAGGAACGCCTCGATCTTCAGTTGGCTGCAGATGAAGGTGAGGCCACGCGACAGGCGCATTGTTTGCGTGAAGCTCGTAATCAAGCGCTGGAATCTGAAGCTTTGTCCCTCCGTGCGCGAATGTCTACTTGGTTTTCACGGGTTTCGCGCTGCATACGGAGGTATTGTGACCGGCGTTCAGATATGCTGAAAAGTTCCTCCAACCACACAATTGGTATGGAGGAGCGTGAAACTCAACAGCGTAGGAAATTTTATATCAGCTATGCTGAGCTTATCATTCCAAGTCAGGACACATATGACCCCAACTTCATGAAGATACCTATGCTTTACGGCCTCATGAAATCTAAATCAGGTGGCTCTATGACCCTGAGTACTACAGATCATTTAGATAGTTACGCAACTTTGGGTGCGGACCCGGCGAATTTCACAGAACTCAATGCTCGTTTCCGAGCGGCTAACGAGTGGTTGCACCCGTCACTATCGCTTACCAAGTTGAGCCGTATCAAGCTCACGTTGTTCATGGCCCCTCGCAGTGTACCTCACCTGGACCCATCTACTGTGTTTTCTGCATGGATTCTCTTTGAACGGTATGTCCCACACCTTATAACACATGTATGTTCAGGTTGGTAATAAAGGGCGTGGTTACTAAACAGAACCGAAAGCTATATGCTGCAACGTGTCTTATACTTGCTTACAAGTTCAATCAGGATGGTGAGCACGTGGTGGTGAACGATATTTTGGGGTATCTATGCCGTGATCGCACTATAACTCCCCGGGCTATTTTTGCTGTAGAAATGCGTGTTTTCAGACAGCTCGAGTTTTCCTTGAAACAGAGCTACAGCGGAATGCGAGGTCATGTGCAGGACTACCTCGACTTTAACCATATAACTTTTATGGACCTTTACGAGACAGCTGAGTCAACATACTTGCAGCTGGATACTCCCACACAAAGAACATGACTATTAAGTTGTTTTTGTTTACTGTATATCTGAGCACACCCCAATCTCTTGGTTCCTTATTTGGTTGAGAAATACGTGCGATTTGTACCTTTCTGCGTTTCTCTGGCACAGCCATGGATGTCGCAGTAGAGTCTCAGCGTCTGCCCGTTTTTGTGCATCTTTTTCGAAGCAGATATCACAGAATAAGCGAAACTCTTCGCTAGCTTCGTCAAGTCTTGATCGGCCATGTTTTGCCACCCAATGACGATGCCACGTGTAGGTTTGTATTCGTTCGAGGACTACGTCGATGTCCTCGGATGTGGTGGAGCCAAAAGGAGGTTTACCAAAAAATAGTTCGAACACTAGGACACCGATTGCCCATATATCACTTTTATGGTTGAATTCGCCGAACATCCCTTCTTTATTGTATTTACATGCACACTGTTCCGGTGACCAGTAATCGTATGTTCCTCTCATATGGCTGACTTTATCACCTTTTGCACCTACATGTGCAGATAGCCCGAAGTCTGCCAATTTGCAATGAAAGTTGTGGTCTAGTAGAATATTTTCCGGTTTAAGGTCCAGATGTGCAATATGTTTGTCGTGGCACGTACGTATAGCCCATGTGACTTCAAAGCAAATCTCCGCAACTCGCTGTTCCGGTAGCCTTCCACGTGCATTCAAGTGACTATAAAGATCTCCATTAATACAATATTCTAGCACTATATAGACCATTGATTCCGACGCAAACCACGTGAATATGCTGTAGCTCTGTGTTGTAACTTTATCCACTTCCTACCTTACGATATTTGGGTGACGCAGGTGTCCATGAACCTCAATCTCTCGTCTGAAAATCTCTTCCTGTTTGCTGCTGAGGAGGCATTAGATATCGCATATCGTTTATCTCACCCGATGAGTAGTGCCTTGGAAATACACTTGATTACACATATGAATCCCGTACGCCTCTCTCGTGCCAGAAAAACCTGCCCGTGTGCGCCATCACCCTGAGGAGCTATTACCGATGAAACCAAAGTATACGCGTCGTATCAATAGATTTACATTGTAGACGTACCACTAATCCTCCGATATCGAAATCATCGATGGTATACCACAGTGCGTGTAGAGAGCTGCGACCCGCGGCACAGGTATCCTGAGGCTGCCGCTCCTGCGGCATATTTTCTGTGTCTTGCCTCAAACAGTATTCAAGTTTATGTTATTCCCACACATTGTCTGTGCCAGCGCCAAGTATATGGGCGAGCTAACAGACTGCGTGGTGTACCGGCTTTTAGTGTGTACGTTCTTTGGCACTCTATCCCCCTAAAATACAGTCCTGGTTGTTCGTTTGCTTATATAAATTTATAGTTGTACACTTAACACCTTAGCTGTTCGCGTATTATATGAATATGACTTAGACGCTTTACCTCCCGCGAATAAACGCGGCCATGTCAACTTACTTTCCTAAGAGCCTTAAAAATAAGGCAAAAAGTACACTGCCATTAGTTAGGCAGAATCTGCTCCAGCCGTTATTGCGACCGCAAAAATCGCTCTATGATACCGCTAACGTTCACCCGGTACTCCATCGGGGGTATCCCGTATTCGACACAATATTCGATACGTTGAACGACAAAGCGAGCGGTTTACGTAAATATAAACGACGGGAGGAGCGTGCCACCGTGCGTACGGACTATGATGCTAGCAATATGCATGAAATGAACCACCGCTTTAGGTTTAAGCTGTCCGGTACATTTAACGGTATGTTACAAATATTTTACAGTCATTGTGCCGCAGCTAAGAGTTTTGAGAGCGAGCTTGAGTCTCACTGCAACCAGTTGTTCCTAGTGGGCTGGATTAAGTGCCGACGTTCCTTTGCCATCGGTCACGTATGTTCAGCGTCATTGCGTGAAATATGTCCGCAGCTGCAGGGAAATGTGATTGCCACCAGCTATATGAAGCGATGGATGGAGATTTGCGGTGCGAAGAACGCACATTTTGCCAGTGCCATCTTCTTTGACGAAAACTACGCCATTCCCAAACTGGACTACACGGAGTTGACGGTTGTTCGCGACTACCGTAAACCTCAGAAGAAGGCTCAACACCAACGGGCGGTATGTTGTTACGTTTCAGAGACGATACGTACAGATCGAGGAGCGTCGCGAGATGCGAAGCCTGCTAGCATAGCCGCTGTGCCATTCTCAGGACCCTACGCCGAGCAAAGTATCGGCGAAGTTCTGCGATCAACAGTACGCCTACGATGATGTATAGCGCTATTATTGCATTGATAGATGTGACACATCGTCTGAACCATGATATTTGTCAAATAAAATAGAAATTACCCTGTGGAGGGGTCCAGCCGCTTGAATGCCCAAATGTTGCATGATGGTTGAAGGCAATGGTTGAGTTCTGGCACGTAGTGTTGATCGCCGCTGCATATTGAATGATTGAGGCATAATGTATCACTCACACGCACTGGACAGGTTTTACACAAATGTCGTTGGCTGTGTCCGCAGATTGCTTGTGCACGAACCCTACCCGGTAGCCGTTAGTGTCCACTACTACTTGCAGAGCCTCCAGGACCTTGTAACCAAACTTGATGCTAGGACGGTCTGTAAACACCGGTGGAACGGGTGTATCTTCGTCGGGCACTATGCACAGCGTTGGATTGTCGGTGTTGTCTAGTAGCAGATTTTGCAGCGGTATGCTTAAGATCAGGTCATCAGTCATTTGTCTTAGTTTAAAAGTGAGCATTGGAAGTTTTTTAGCACCATCGAGTCTTATTGCGCACATTTTTGGCGACTCTTTGAGATAACACCCTTCTACGACTGGCAGTTGTGCCATGAGTGTGAACCAGAAATTCTTGGGGAGTACCAAACACTGTGATGTAAGGTCTATGGCAACTTGCCAGTAGCTTGATGTTTTCCCAAATAGGTTGACTCCACACATGGACATTTCATATGCGGAGAACTCAATTGAGGCGTCTGTAAAGATGCCACCGACTTGGCGTTTTTCTGCCCACATTACATCCTGTTTTTGGACGAAGTCAAGGCCCAGCCTTATGGAATTAACCTGCTCAGAGGGATCTACAGTATCCGTAACGGCATCTCCGTATATATCTATGGTGTAGAAACCTTGGTACTTTGCTAACATCTCTGCCCACAGGGAACGCTCTCTACAACTGACTGAATGTCCATATAAACCAAAGAACCCGCCAGCTCCTTTTGTGACCGGCAGGTTGGCTCCTACCGTTACATTTTTAGCCAGTTTCACCGGCATACGTTCGAATGTGACGGGTAGAAAGAGTGACGCATTGCGTATGGAGATGTTTTCGTATCCCTCAACGGTTTCCATATGGTGTGCCACCCCTTCGCTACGAAAATCTGTTGTTGTGGCGGCATTGATAGATTCGGAGGATTTTACTTCATTACATTCGAAATCGTCCTTACCAGGTATGCATACCTCCGTGTTGTCACACCAGATGGCTGTTGACGAGAGCCTTGGGTCGTAGCAGAGCGCATTTGTTGTTGCCTTCTGGCATGCGGAAGATCCATCATCAAACAATACTATCCCTTCTACCCCGGATACAACTTTGAGTGTGATAGTTTGGTTTCCTACCACTACCGGGAAGGAGTAACCACTTCCTGGTATGTATTCCAGTGCGATGGCCTCTCCCTTGGAGACAGCTTGAGCTGTAGACTCTGGTGTCTGCATAGTTTCACCCTGCACATTGGCAATCATGAGTATAGCTATGATTGTTCAAAATATACGAATGGTGGATTTTCGTGCAAGTCTCATTTTTGAAACGGCTTAAAGATATCTTATCAGAGAATGTTAGACTTCCTTACGCCGTTGCGTCTTATGTGCTATGCGATAACGTCACAAAAATATTGTTATCATGGGCTCTTGATAAGTACCATGAGCTTCGACATATACAATACCCTGGTGATATCTTAGCAGTGTGTAGACGCTCTCATCTGTCTAGATTACTTTGCATGGGTTTCTTTAAAAATTGTTGTTAATTGCGCGTTCTCGTTTTAAACTCCGTTTATTGCGCCTATCCTTTGAGCCATTGGAGATGGAGTACGAACATCAAGACGTTGCGCATACATCGTTCGACACATCGGGCTACCTTTTCACAACTATGTAATATATGATTTTAGGGGCTCAAATGCACGCATCAACTCCGTTCAATAATGTTAGAATTTTTTCTTGTTGTTTCAGGTGATGTACTTCATCCCGTGGTGGAGCTTCGCCTGCCACGAGACTCTGTACGCAAAAGAAGGTACCGTGGCAATAGGTTACGTGATGCTGCTGCCTGTAAATCGAATATGTAAGCACTATCACCCCACATATAGTTAACTTGTCCAATTTAATATTTAAAGACCATTAATTTGAGTTTTGCTGATGTCTTAGCGTCACCATTTCCACCATGCCTACGGACGTCGAGGATCCTGGGAGTCCGTTGCCTCGAGGAGGGGTTAAACTCTCTGCCTTGTACGAGGCGCATTACGAAGGACCTAAGACGACGTTGGTGAGGAAATGTGACCTTTGTACAACTCCTATGAGATACTTCATAAACAACTTTAGCGGTCTTCAGGCCTCTGTTGCAATAATCCTAATGATGTGCGGTCCCTTAGGTGCAGCATTGCTCAGCACAATTGTCCATGAATACGTGCCAGAAAACCCTACGCACACCGCAAACAATCCTGCAATGTGGATGCTGTACTATTCGCTGGGATGCATGACAGCTGGTTTTATGATCTTCGGTGAAGCAATGCGCATCGTCATGTTGGGTGACGCAACGCTGTGGCGTATATACTATAAGAGGGTAGAGAAGCGTGAGGAAGAATCTGCACGCGCCTCGCAGGATGCTGCGACAGACAGCGAGCTGCCGAGCGAAGAGTCCTCCGGTGATGTCTCGAAGTCTCAGGCTTCTCGGGAACCTAAATCCCCATCCACTAGATTCCGCGGCGCTTTGCTTCGTAGCTTGTTCAAGTTTCGCACGAACAACGTTATGGTCGATGGCGAGTTCCCCCGTCTGACTAGTTGGCAATGGATTAGACGTGCCACGTTTTTGGAGTTTATTGCTCATGTGATCATTCCACTACGATGGATTGGGGCGAGTTTGATATTATTGTCTTTCCATATCTTCAACCTCGTTGACATGTTTATGTACACTGACGGCAACTTCCTGAAAAGTGCGTACCACGTCAGGGGGGGTCACTACGTGAATGGCATGGCGCATACTACCATGGTATACATGGGTTGGCGATTGTTCGTTGACGTTGCTGAGTTGTGGCGTAAATCTAGAGCTCGAAACTTGCGCGAAGACTTCATATCTGAAGTCCACAACTTGGACGGAGGCAAACAATACATCAGTGATGCCAAGTTCGCCTTTGTCATGGATGGCTGCCCATGCACTTACACTGTGCCACAGCTGCTAGCTCTGCCACCGGAATACGAGCAGAGTACCAAATTCCACAGCCTCCACACATATACATTTAAGAAGATATTCTTTGGTGCTGCTCTTATTGTAATTGCAACTTCAGCGGCACTATCACTAGCATGCGGTATTATATTTGCGTTCATTCTCAATCAAACCGTGCAAGATCGTGTTCGGCAGATTGTGGAGTAATATGTCAGGGCGCAGCACGCTGCTCAAACGGCAGCCGCAGGCGCCGCCTCATCTCAAGCTTAACGCAAGCATTCTTTAGGGATTTCATCCCTGAGTGCGTTATTTTCAAATAGTTCTTTAATAATATCATGACCTCCAATCAGTGATCCCTTCGTAGTATCATTCATTAAAACATTTAATGCCTACCTTTACGTATAGTTGTGGATAAGTAGGCCAATTTGAGTATATTTTGAGTTCTTCGCGTAGTTCTGGGTCTTCGAAGATGTTGTACCCTTCGAAAATCACCCCCGACTCGTTTAGCATCTGTACTACCGCTCGACTGAAGCGACAGAATGGCTCATGCTTATCACCTTTCATGAATAGAAGTACTGGATGCGTAGTGATCAATCTTTTGATGCGATCTACGGTTGTCTCTTGCGACGGTGCTTTATTCCAGGCCCTAACCGCAGTTACCAGCATTGACGTTGAGCAGCCTTCTAGCCTGTTGACTTCCTTACCAGCCTGATAGATACTGTTTCTAAAGTGAAGCCTGGCCTACATCGAATAAGACGAAGCAAGGAGTACCTGTCACAGCTAAACTGTCCTTCACTGAGTTGCGATCTATCGAATGGAAGGCCACGCCAGGAAAGTCCTGTAAAAGGATAAATCCACAAGCTGGTTGTAAGCGTAAAATTACCTCTTTAAGTGACTCTATAACAGTACAGAGTTGTGCGTGTCCTGGGAATTGCTGGTCCTGAAGGTAGAGGACCAGCTTTCCGGGGTTACTAGCGAGTATAGCTGCAAGCTCTGAATTCTCTGTTATTGCCATTCTTATATTGTGGATATGATGTGACTCTGGAGCAACGAGATCGTTGATTTATTCGTTGTCGTTGTGCAGCTGCACATCGGGTACGATTCTGTAATTTACATTATCTTTAATGGCCGATTACCCGAATCCAACTGTTCAACGGTATATTCATCTGGGATGCTGCGCAGCGCAATATCGTCCTTTACTGCTGAGCTCAGAGTCGCACAATCAGTACGCCGTGCACAGTGCTTCTCATCTTCCGGGCATTTTGGTTCATTTTCCGAGAAATGGTGGGACATTGACGGTCCTATGAGCGTCTTACATGATTACAACTACGTTCGTTTGCCTTTCATTGCAAAATCATACGCACTACTGAAAAAGGGATATACTAGAGAGCCCGAGCCGCTAATCAACGAGAGGTTCTTCGGGGACATACTGTTCAGACACGCCGAGGAACGTTCGAAGATCCATTTGGAAGGTATTTTAGGCGGTGTCCGAATTTTGGACGTAGGCTGTGGTGGTGGCATTCTCAGCGAGTCCTTAGCTAAGTGCGGTGCCTACGTCGTGGGTATTGATCCGTCGAAAGAACTAATACGAATAGCCGAACATCATCGCGAAACTGATTTCGTCACATTCAGTCGTAGATTTGGACTTAGGGACGACCGTTCTCGTAACGTCGAATACTTGGCAACAACTCTTGAGGAGTACGCCACAGGCAACCAAGCAGACTCATTTGACATAGTTGTGGCTTCCGAAGTTTTGGAGCACGTACCTAACGTGGATAAACCAACGTTTATTAAAACATTGCGCAAGCTCACTCGTCCCGGAGGCTTGCTCGTTTTTACCACACCAGGCAGAACGCTGAAATCTTGCCTCGTTAACATAATCTTGGCAGAGAACGTATTCCGACGTGTCCCCCGCAACTCCCACAACTACGGATTATTTATTAGTCCGGACGGGCTCTGCAGATTAGCTGGAGAGTGTATCCTCCGTGAGGTACATCGGCAAGGCGTCTTTTATTTGCCCTTTAATAGACGTTTCATCCACCTACCAACTTGCGACTTTCTGTATATGATAGCATTTAGTAACGATAACAACGGATCTTGAACACCATGTCGTTCATTGCGCATCTGGCGAAAGAGCGCCAGGGGGAGCCCTTTGACCCCGGCCGGGACTCACGTCTAGCTTCACGTCCAGTACGTGCGAATAGATTAAGTTAAAATTATCTTCAGATATACGCCGATTTCATGAAAGCTCTTAATACGTTACAATGCGCCTTTTGCTCTATGGATTTAGTATTCTTGATGCAACTGGCCACGCCTTATAAAGATGCAGTGCGACGTGTTCTCCTCGTGTTCTTTTGTCCCAACCATGCAGAGACTAACGAGGGATGGTACATTCAGCGTTACACCGTTGGTGTAACGGATACTGCACATACCACAAAAGTTTCCGCTTTCGATGAAATGAACGCACTATCCAGTTGGGTGAGCGACCTGGAACTGTATCCTTCTAAGAAAAATGATACTGCGTCTGCGGTTACCGACTCTTTTACAACTACGACGGTTGACAATGATAGCGCACATCGCATCATGGTAGAGGAAGATTTTGTCACTCCTTCAGCACCGCAGCCAGGTTAGTTAAGGAACCATTTGCGTATAATCTGTATCCAGTTGATGGAGATACGGAGCGTCTTTTTGCCGCTTACAAGCAGCGCAGCCGCGAGGATGTTGATGAAGAGGATCATCTGGATATCGACACAATAGAGTATCATTGTGATCCAGATGCCAGTAGCGATTCATCTGCTGACGAATCAGATGTAGCACGGGTGGATCCCATGCTGTTAGAATTTCAACAGTATGTGAGCATGCGACCTAAATCGGTATGTGTCAATCGATTCCGTTGGATGATTACACCACCAGGTGTTGCGCTACGATTGGAGCGGCAGACCATTGGTTTTGGAGAGTGGTTTTCACTTCGGATCGCACTGCTTCGGGTGCGGGGGTGAATGCGTGTTCGAGTTCCAGCTACTACCTGCTTTTATGAAACACATGTAAGATGTTAGGTGTATGTTTGTAAAAAGTGCAGATCGCGACAAATGCCACGACGAGTTTCGATGCACATAGCATCGATACTATTTTACACTTGTGAGTTCGCAGATAATGCCAATAGACGCAACGCAGGCCGCAACGACTGCGACACCGGAGCCGACGGGCTCCAAGAGCACGCGATCGTATTGCTCTACGTCTAGAATATATAATCTGCGCTAGCGTACATAGCCCACGGGAACTTGACCCGTAAACTTTTGTTAAATATCTTTTCAATTGGTACTTCATACCTCTTACAAAAAGCTACTGTAATGCGTGGGTCCATATAGTTGATTTTGGAAGTACCAAGTGCGACCGTTTTGTTATCGTCTTTAGTGCGCATTTTTATAGCATGTACTTTGCTACGCTTCATCGCGGCCTCCAGTTTACGTTGGCATACCTCTAATTTCATACCTGGCCGTGTGGCTGATTTTCGGGGGTTACCTTTTGCATCAACTGCTTTAGATTTGAATGTAAAAGGCTCGCTCTGCTTGCTCTCCAGGTATTTCAGGTATGCCTTAAGCTCGGCAATGTCCTCCTCTATGGCTTCCGCCTGTGCCTGCATTTTAGACATTGAGCTCTCGTGCTGTTTCGGCACACTACGTTGGTGGTTACACAGTATTGCCACACGACGATTGGCCTCGTTATAAAAACTGATCAGCTCAGTGACATCGCTAACATCTACCAATACCGGCTTCTCCAGCTCTTCATCACTCTTACCGGGCTCCAGCACTATACCTCGCTCGAGCGCCTTACGGACCTTTAATCGTCGCAGCTGACGGCACAGCGTCACCGACGCGTTGTAAGTCCTAAATACCTTCGCTGTCAGACCCACCATGAGCTCCTTGAGGTAATCGTTGAGCTTGACGGTTGTGATTTTGTCGAAAATATCACAATTTGGTTTCTTTTTACAAAATTCTACCAGATTTTTGCACGCCATCTCATCGATGGTTACGGTTTGGAAGTACCTAATAGAGTCTTTCCCTAGAAAATCTAACGTTATAGTGTTTGGCTTTTTATCAAACTTTACATGCTCCACACGGAGACTACAACAACCGACAGTATCGGCTTCATCAGCGTCCTTTTCTCCACCTACCCTAAGTGCTAAGAAATCGATAAGGTATGTGGCAGTACCCAGTTGCCTCTCTACAACATCTGTGGATCGCATTTTTGCGTGATAATCTTTCCTTATAGTTTCTATGTGTTTTTTCAGTTCACGTGCTTTATTATACTTGAGAAAGTCATGTAGACCTTTAAATTTAGATTGTGCTGACGGGTACATGTACTTAAACTGGTCGTTAACAGGATCTCTGTAATACGCCAGCCACGTGACTGAGTTATCGTGGAATATATCTGCCCAACTATGGCCATTTCGTTCAAACATTGTCACCTTCGGCACAGGTGCATCTTTAGATAGATTAAGAACTACACTATTTGGAAACATGCGTGATTTCAGTAAGCCTTGTTTCGGGTGTAGTCCACGCCCTTTGAAGAGCCCAGGTGGCTCCATACGATTGGACCCCACTTTTTCTCGAATCCAGTCGACTAGAGCATAGTTAAAGCGATATTCTTTTTTAGCGACTTCTTCTTTCAGAGCCTTATAGTATTCCTTATTTTCCTTTTTTTTCTCTTTCTCCCTTTCTAGGTGTTGCCTTATATCGGAGAAATCACAATCCTCTAGCTTACCACGACCCGTTCGTATTCTGTGACCCTTTGGCAGCATCCCAACGAACGTTTGCCAGAAATTACGTCTGTATATTTCACTTTCTTCATAGTTTGTCCCAATAGATTGTGCCCAGAAGGTTGCTATTTCCTCTAAATCTGGTGTTAGTTGTATAACTTCACCTTTAAACTTAATTGGTATCCCATGTGGTCGATACTCTGGTGTGAAAATCATGCCATTATGTTCAAGGTAATCCCAATGGGAACTCTGATTTTCATATTCAAGAATTTTTTGTAGGTCGACATCATTGTCCACCTTTTCCCACCATCGGTCTATAGGTTCTACTATATCCTCTGTGATGACGGCTTTTTCTTGCGGGTCTGATTTAACTCGAGCAGTCCGTTTGGTTGATTGTGGAACAATATCTATAGGTACAGGTTTGAATGAGGGATCTTCTGGTTTGAGTAGCAGTAGTTCCTGTGTAGGTGCCTCTTCTGGTTTGATAGCGACATAACCATTACGTTTTTTACTAATATCCCAGTCTTCTACTATTTGTGTTGCAAGTAACCGTTTTTCACTGGAATTACTATCTTGGCTAGAGTTTATTTGTTCTAAAGTTTGAGTTTGCTCCATCTGCGCTGATAGGTCACTGGACGACCTCGTACCTTTAGATTCAATTACACATTGGTGTATCTTGAACAACAGTCCTAATGTATGTCTCTGAGTCCGACTATCTATCGATCTGTGGGCAGTTAGTGGGCGCGTTGTTCATACGTAGACAAACACATGAGAGTAAGACAATTTCTAATAAGTTGGGTATATTTATGTTAATGATAACGCGCGATAATTTTGCGACTAAGCACACAAAGCGCGCCGATCCATGCGCCCTTCTCAGTTGTGTTCCTATCGCGTACTGCAGTCAGCCACCTGCCCGATGCCCAACGCCAGCAACCTTCTTTACCCGCCATAAAAAGTCAATTTTTAGAAATGATCACTTACGATGGAAGGCGGGGAAAAATGGCGTCAATTCTGCGTCCAACAGGTAAGTAATACAGGACTACTCTGTTGATTACGCTTTGATCGCATACTTTTCTTTTCATTGGTCATAGCTAGCTTTAATTTTTCATATCAAAACGTTTAACTCGAAATATATACCGTTATGATTTTTGTATAGATCCTCAAAAAAATGCGTGGAGATCGGTTTGGGACGCTTTTCGCACACCCGGTACTGGAAGCAAGCGATTCTGTAATAACTCCGGCTGTGAAGGCATCGTACAAAGCTACGATCGAGCACCCAATGGACTACAAAACTGTAAAGGTATTTTAACATTTCAATATTTGCATTCTCTGCAGAGCAAACTCGACGCTTCCGCATATCAGACTCCTGATGAATTTAAGGATGACATGCTACTTATCTACGATAATTGTATGAAGTTCAATCCACCTGTCGGACCTAGCAAGTGGATATACGACGCAGCTGAGAGCAATAAAGCTAAATTTGAAAAAATGTACGTCCACTGCCAATATTACCGTTATATAATTATTAGATGGGAAGCGGCCCAAGATAAATTAGCACGGCTTTTGGCAAAGCCCAAAAGCCGAAAACAGCAAAAAAATGAACAGCTGACTATGCCAGAATTAGGTGAAACGTCTTCAGAATACACTGTGGAGAGCGTCGATACCAAGGTTCCAACTGCGTCTGAGGAACCGACAGCGGCACATCAGGGCGACTCAACCGTTACATCCAATCCCGCGATTGTAGAGCCCAAAAATGTACAAGAAACGGAAACAGGACCAATATTTAGGTCATCTTTCCGTCTTAGTATGAAGGCTATCCAGGAATATAGGGCACGGCGTGAAGCTATGGCCGTACACGTAGTGGCACAGCAACCACCAGCGCAAAAATTACCAGTCACGGAGTCACATGTCGCTGAGCCTGTAACCCTGGATATACCTCTAAAAATGGAAGATTGCGAACCTGTACAGCCCGAATGCCACTTGGCGGATGAAGCTCAGGCGTCATCCGAGCCAGTGGCAGTCGAAACAATTCCTGAAAACCTCCCCTGCGAAGAAATTACGCAAGTGGACGACGTATTTACCGAAGATTCTGACGCCGCAGCAGATATTGACGGTTACGAACAACCGCCCATATCAACGCGACGCGAGGAGGGGATACTGCGAGTCAATTGGCTTACTGAAAACGAATGTAACCAATTATTTCCGCACTGCAGCATTATTGGCTTGGAACAGCGTAAACCGCAGTACAACGTCAGCGATATTGCGCTGCGCTCCATTTACAACGAAATTTACTTGGCAGGCCAAAGTGAACCAAGGAAACGCTCTTCAAGCGACCTCCTAGAAACCGCAGTTGGCAGTGACTACAGAGCGAAACATCACAAGATGATCACCTTCTTGCTTGAAAAACCACAAGAACCAACTACGCCCGGACCTTGCACGCTTCCAGAGTTTGGTGACGGAGAATCGACTAGCATGACTGACGATGATCGTTGGGTGCTGTCACCTTATGATCAAGATACAGTTCGAGACGGTACCGAGTCGGCGCCGTCAGCTTGGTCCGAGGACCTTGAAGAACCACTCTTGTCCGATAGGAGCCAGACGCTGCGCATCGAGCTCAAGTCGGAGGCTACGGTTGGTGTGGATCCAGAAGCAGAATCTATACTACTTAAAAGCGGTTTTTCTAAAGTTCCATCGGTTAACTCTATGGTTAAGTGCAATGCGGAAATATCTTTCGAAAGTGACAATCGTGGCTACTACAAGACGGAAGAGGGGGTGTTTCTATACTGTGGTTCTGTATTACGTCACATTCGCCTATTCTTGTTAAACTGCGGCGATGTTACCGTAGAGATCACTCGACGGACACTGCCGTTGGCTCAACTGGTATTCAAACATGGGGTCACGTCTGCAGTACACGAGCTTTACATTGAGTCAAAGAAACGCAATATGCCGAATATTCAATTTTTCCAGTTGCCACAAGCTGGAGCCGTATCGTACGCCCCTTGCGTCGATGCGTTGTGGCGCCTACAAACGGTAAACAGCACATTGCCGAAACCGTTCATCGTACTTCACGCTATATGCAGAAACATAAACTAAATTATGTAGTACGTTGCTTGATAAAGTCCACGAGCCTAGTTGCGTATTGCTGTGGCGCAACACATGAAACGCCTGGGTTGTTGAATGTTTGCAACCGGCGCCATACACTTTCCGCTTTCTTGCGGAAGTCCCACTGGGTAAGTACGTCCACCAATCCTACGAAGTATAACTTGTCACGATGTTCACCCATGATACGTGACAACTGGCTGTTGTCAGTTTCTACATTCCAATCTACCCGATCTCCAGAGAAGGCCTTGTAGTGTATTCCCAGCAGGAGTGAGTAGTCCATGAGCATCGAATCTGCTAGAAACTGTACATCCCGTTGTAGTACCTCGAACAGCGCTTCTGAACGCTCGTCCCCAAGTTCAATGTACTCGCCGAAATCCACCATATCTACATCCTTCAAAGCAACAGTATGGTCATTCCTTTCTGGTGTCGGTAACGATCGACCAATCCACGACCCTTTGAGATCGTAACGCCTGTGGATAGCCGCTGATGAGAAGAAGACATTATTCATGACAATAAAATAGGTTGTTGCTCCTCGTTTCCTACACTGTGACATCGAGTAGAGTCCTACAAATCTCGTGATTAGGCTGTTTGGGTACTTTTTAAGATGCTCGTAGTATTGTGGCAGCCATTGTTGCACAAACTCGGCACACTTCTTAGTAACCGTTTTCAGCACCAGCTTTCCGTTGGCAGTAAAGTAAAACAGAGCTCCACTTTTCCCTTCTGAGAGTAGTTCCGATAGTGTGCTTAGGTTTCCCAGTACCATGTTGCCAACCAGGTGTTCTGGACCCACTGAATGTATATATTCTTCCTCGGACAGGTTCATCATGGCACGCAAGCGTTTGAATACCATTGGGGCGTGTTCCGTGAATACTACCTTGTTTGGATCGTTACACTGGATGCATTTTCCATCATGCATCTCAACAAAGTTGAGTGATGGCGTATTTCCCGAAGCGTTATCGGGAGATATTGAGAAGGTGCGTTGTTCCATGAAATCCTTTGGTGTAATCTCGTGGGTGAGTTCTCCATATTTTTTTCTAGCAGTGAGACCTAGGCATACCATCATGTTGATTACATCATTCCATCGTTCGTGGCCGAAATATACTGCTAACCCGCGTCTTGAAGAGCTATAACTTCCCAAACTTTTACTCAATCTTCTTACAATCGATTCCTTAGTATCAATTGCATGAGTCTTTCTTCTACGACGTGTAGTACGGTTAATGTATATCTTGGATTTCTGGTATACCATGCAGTCTGAGCTGGACTTTGAGATAAGGCGGCCTGATGCCACAGATGAACTTGGCGTCCCGCTGCGACAGACCACTGATGCTTCTACTGCACAATATGTACGGGGTACTCCTAGAAGTTCCATAAATTCGTTTGACCATACTAGGGCGCGTTCGAAATCCTCAGGTGTTATCCTTGATACTCCGTCGATACAAATGGTGGCGTTGTTCCTGAAAACCTTCTCAATGTGTTCCGGAGTATGTTTAACCGCTTCTTCCCCGATAAGTACATTTCGTGTCATCGCGATGTCGTTAACTACCCTGTGAAATGCCTCCATATCAATTCCGATAGATTCATCGGTTGGCTCGTTTTCAGCATCCATGGAGACTATAGAGTCGCGATGTGCAGATATATGTAATATCCGATAGCTAAGTTCTCTTCTACTTTTATCCGACCCATCAAGCATGGTAAGTACAGCTCGGGCGTATTCCGCGAAGTCCAGGTAACCATCGGCATCTCTGTCGAATGCGAAGAATAGATTTTCAGCGAGTAATTTTCCAAGAGTTCCAAGAAGACCCAGTGATTCCTGAAATTTTCGTAAAGGCAAAAATCCCGAAGGCGCTACGTGTCGAAACCTGCACACTATAGTCGTAAAAAAATGAGACCTACCTTTCATAGATTCCTTTGATATCAGCCGATGAACAATCGAGGAACTTCTTTAGCTCTATGAAATACTCCACAGGTACACGGACTGGAAGTCCGGTCCTGCGAGGTCCGCAAAAGGGCATGTCAACTGATCATTAACAGAATCCGCGTAAAAGGGTGGAGCGTGTCTTGTTGGTATAACAAGGTATTAATTGTTACTGAAGCTATTTATATAGTTGGGCTAAAAAGATTTATCGTGCTGTGAGATAGACTCAATGAGGCACGCGAGCTGAATCACTAGCGGTACATCTACACCCGACGCCGGCAACATGCGTAACCACATTGGCTTAATTATAACATTTCCACCGCTAGCATTGCACCAAAAGTGTCAAGAGAATTATCCTTGAGCAACTGGTTAACTTGATTCTCAATGTGCATCTTGGCATTAAGCTTCCCTACGTTGGCTACAGCGAGTTCCTCGGGGGTATGCGTTAGCTCCTGTTTAATCGATTCGTTGTATTTTTCTACAAGTTCCTTTATGTTCTTAACAGTTTCACGGTTCTCTGCTCTGCGTTTCGCAAAGTCCTGACGGCAAATTATTTTACTAGCGGATATACTAACCCGTACTTGTAGGTCTTCGGTCCATTTATTGCGATGGTAGTTCATCAACATATGAGTTTCTTCTACACTCTTGCGGTAGTTGATCACTATATTGTAGTAGTTACGGTTTAGACCGTGTACCAGCGCGATAATCGTCGGTTTGTTAAGGTGGCCAACATTGCTCGTAGTTTGGCGAGCTTCTTGACCCAGCATTACAAGATGGGGGCTTATTAATCGGAAACAATCAATTACAACCTTTCCTTTTACTGATTGGATGGGATCGATAACAATACCAACAGCCCTTGTATTCAGTTGTTCAAAGCTTTGTTGTGTGTTGATATCAGTACCTGTGTCAAGTTTACACATCAGTTTATATATAATTACCTGAAAACCAACATCCAAAACCAGGATGAGAATGGTACCATCCAACAACTACTTCGGGTCGTCCGGTACGACGCAGCTGATCCTTCATTTCAGTTTGGTATACGGGATCCACAGCTTCGACACTAACGCTGTTACCTAGAAAAAATGACTAAATTATGCGATATTTGATACCTGACTGTGGCATAGAGAAGACATCGACCACAAAGATTGTATACTCGTCGATAAACTCCCCTAACATCAGACCCATGACCTCCATTGGCACACCTGCCTATATCGAAATGAGACCAAAATAGTTAGCTCATATGCATACACTTGTACAGACAACTTACTCTACCATGTTTCAACATCTTGAGAAGAGCAAGGGATGAAATATAGACCTGCTCAGATGTGTCGGCTATTGGTCCGAACGCCTGCGCGTGCCGCGTTCCGCCAAACGAACTGAGTAGGTTATGATAGTTCCTACCGGAGTCTCCCATTATTTTATTTATAAAATAGATTATGTAATGTAGAAAATGGGAGTTGGATAGTGTGTCCACGGAGGGCGGATACTTAAGTGTCCCATTGTATGGGTTCAAAGTGGGCTCTATGTACCTAGGCAGAACACATTTTATGTATGGCGCCGTGTCGGCTAACACATTATCGTTATTTCAGTACCAGTGAAGTTGTTGAAAAGGGTCTTCGTGCCTTAGAGATATTGAAGGTTGACCCGCAACGCCTTCGTGACAACCGTGACGTAGTAGTTTACACAAGGAACCGAGTCTGCCCAGACTGCAAACGTGAAGTGTGTATTCGTACGCCGGAATTTGCTGAAACTATTTGTCCAGCTGCTTGGCGGTATCTTCACGGTTTCTCTCAGAAGTGCCAATGCCCTCTCATAGGGGTAATGCGTTTCACACGTTTTGGGAAGTTACGAGTCGAGCTTCGCGCACGTTTGGAAGCAACTGGGTCTAACTCTGTCACTGAAAATTAGGGCTAGATTCTGTTAAGGAAGAAAGTCAGCCTGTCTCATACAGTGACTCCAAAAGGGTTCGAAGTGCAAATGATCGCTGAGCGATCTTTATGCACTCTTGTATTGTATCCGCTGAATTCAATATCTTCACTAAAATTCTTTTCTGAACATATATAAAACATAAGTCATGACGACCGTATCTCGAGAGAAAATACTGGCCAAGCGCAAGCGTCTAAGATGCGTAGACTGTGGAGACACAGGTCTTATAGTTGTAGATCATAGTGAGGGTAACCAAATTTGTATCAACTGTGGAAGAGTTGCTGAAAGTGTATTAATCTCAGATGAGCAGGAATGGCGTAGTTTTAATAGCGAGTCTACCGGTGGGTCCAAAAACGACCGTAGCCGTGTTGGTGATCTTAACGATGTGTGGTTAGAAAACGCCAATTCAACAACATTTATCGGAGGATCGCGAAAAATGCAACAAATACAGAACCTTATAGTGAACTCTGACAGTGCAGATCGTTATCTAAAGAGTGCCTTTACAGTTTTACGGCAAATTACAGATACCATTAACCTTAACGACCTTGTTATTGAGCGTGGTAAAGAGATTTTAAAGGAGCTTAATGATGCTAACCAACTAAAAGGCCGGAGCAATATGCTTAACATGTTAGCTGTTGTGTATATGGCGTGCCGTGAGGTCGGTGTGTCTCGTACTCTCAAAGAGCTTGTGATATGTGACAGTAAGATAACGGAGAAGGAACTTGGTAGAGCGATCAACCGGATGAAGAAGTTGTTACCTAAGCGTGGTGATGCTACTGTTGAGGACACATCACAATTACTGCCACGTTTCTGTTCCAAACTTAATGTTCCCAACAAAATGGCATCACTTTGTGAGTATGCCGCGGGTAAAGCGGCGCTTATTTTGCGCACCTCCCACCGTACAACCTCGCTGGCAGCCGGTACTATCTACTTCATAACTCAAGTGGCATGGTTACCAAACATTGAAACCAAGCCACCTACTGCATCTGAAATAGCTACTGTGTGTGGTGTCAGTGAGAACACGCTTAAGTCGGTTTACAAGGAACTGGTGAATGTCACCCACCGTATACTACCAGCAAATGCCATCGTAGAGAAACAAGCGGCATAAAAATATTACGCTTTTACCAACTTTTTAATGTGTTCTAACGCACATAGTGATTCTTCTTCTGTATTATTTGGTAGCTCTGTCACCCGTTCTTCTCCGAACAGGTCCACTGCATCTTGTAGGCATACCTTAAATATCTCTGCCTCTATATTAGCATCAATTTTTTTATCACTGTAGCTACGGTCAGTGAGCCTTTGGCTGAGGTTCTCAATCTCCACAGTGAGCACAATAACGTGATCTATATCGTCCTCATCGATCCCTTCCACTGAGTGGAAATCCAGAAGGTATCCACCCGAATTTAATTCTTTTTTGGCCAATGCTTTTTTCAGAAGCTTCTCATCGTATATCGAACAATCTAGCTCGTCATCCCATTCTGAGTGCAGCTTTTCAGCTTTAATGAGATCGGCTATATTTAGGTACTTGAGTCCGACGTCATCCACGACGCGTTTACACAATGTCGTTTTACCCACACCCGGAGTACCCGTTACCAATATATTTACTCCGTTCTTCCTCATTGCGATGTGTAGTGTTTCTTGCTCTTAATACGCCTGAGAACTGCCCACTTTACGACACCCTACAGGGATGCCGCTCCCGTGATTCTTTGATCATATCACGAAATGTAAGCTTAACATGCTAGGTATTAATGCGCAACGCGCTAAGTACCTCCAAAATGCCCTTGAAGTATACAGCAAGATTAACACCGGCAACCTTCCTCTGGACACATTCCTACGGTACTACTTCCGTGTAAACCGTGTTGCTGCTGGGAGCCGTGCATGGATCGCCGAACATGTGTACGAGGTACAGCGGTGGAAGGGTCTTATCGCACATCTGAGCCCCAAACCTACTACATGGACGGGTATTCTCAATACTTACCTGTTACATCCCAGATGGAGATATATGACCGGGCACAAGGGTCTACCCGCTTACTTACGATGTTCTTTTCCAGAACCCCTCTTTGAGCGTATAGAACGTCAGTATGGCGTGGACAAAGCCTTGGAGATATGCCAGATTTTGAATGAGGAGCCTGTTACATTTTTGAGGGTTAACACCCTACGTACATCTCGGGACAAAGCTTATAAATTCCTGCTACACAAGGGTGTCCCTGTCGAAAAATGTTCCGATTCGCCCTGTGGTTTGCTATTGACTAATAAAAAGTTACTACTGGAATCTCCAGAATATCACAAGGGTCTTGTTGAAATACAAGACCTGTCAAGTCAGATATGTGGTCTAAAGGTTGAAGCTAAGCCTGGGGAGCACGTGATGGACTACTGTGCAGGTTCTGGTGGTAAATCGTTAGTATTTGGGCCCAAAATGGAGAATAAAGGCCGTATATATCTTCATGATGTTAACGATAATTTGTTGCTAACGGTATGCTTCATGAATGGCGGACATAGTTTTTGCAGGCCAAAAGGCGTCTTAAAAGAGCTGGTATTCGTAACTATTTTATTATGGACCCCAATTTGATAAATATGCGCCAATACTATGGCAAAATGGATTGGGTAAGCTATGTGGTATCTATACTTCATATTTCTATCAGGTGGTTGCAGACGTCCCCTGCAGTGGCACCGGTGCCTACCGTAGGAATCCAGATCGCAAATGGACCTTTTCTGTTGACCAGGTGTGTCACTTCTTATTGGTTAATAACGATCATAGATCCCTGAGTACACAGCAACTCAGCGTTCCATAGTAGACAGTGCCCTGCTGTATCTTAAACCAAATGGACGTCTTGTATATATTACTTGTAGTATTTTTGAGGAAGAGAATGAGCTACAGGTATGTCAACCAAAGGTATATCTTGTATTGATAAACTTGTTAGGTGAATTACTTGTGCAAGAAGCACGGTCTTGTGCACGCCCTTCCTCCCACGTTTCAGCTCCCTGAATCACGTGGTATGAATGGCTATTTTATTGCCATTCTTCAACGCGAACATGTGCATTGACCTACCTAATATTTGTCTAATTAACTATGAGCAAACTATTTCGACTGGATGAACCTGTGTCGACTCATACGGGTGTGTATCACAACTCGCTATACCAGTTACACCTCGACCGCCGGTATGTTACAGAACATGGATTCACATACTTCTCAGCACATTACCTACAATTGCAAAAGCGGGATGGTACGCGGTGTTAGTCTCATCGTTTATTCTTGATGCTCTATCCATCGTCATCACGCTTCTGCCCTTCCTAGACAAAGGGGTGGTAGGAAGGTCGATATACGCATGCAATTATCACAGGTCGTTGCCCTTAGAAGACTAGGTGAAAGTGTCGATCCTCGATGGGCACATTACTTTTGTGCCCAGCTGCTATTCATATCTGCATTGTACACAGTACTCCCACTTGCGTTGCTAAGCAGGAGATTGGTTGTATGTTTGCGTGTCGTATTATTAATGGTTATTGTAGGTATGGCAATCTTTGCAGAGTTGGAATTTGGTTGGAATCGTGCTCCAACTGGCTTCAGTGTTTTATGCTAGGTAGGCACACTTTAGCGAGATTCACACGTTACAGGAGCTTCAATGTATTTGGGCTGGCAGCAAGAACAGCTCTAGGTATTTCTATATTTATATACGGACAAATTTGTTCAGCATTGTGCTTCAGAGCTACAATATCTGACCTCACTTTCCCCAACCACCCCGAGCCCGAGGCCCTCAACGCACCTGGTGGTTGTAAAATTTCGTCGGAGTCGGAACAAAATTAGCATTCCGCCCATTTTAATTTTTGTAAAAAAGCTCGTTACAGCTATGAGCGACCTCAAGTTTTGCCCCGAGTGGTAGGTCGATGCAATTTTTGAATGAATTCTGCTGCAGCAACAACATCCTGTACACTAAACCTGACGCCACCAACCTACAACTTATATTCGTATGTAGGCAGTGCGACTATACGCGCTTAGCTGACCCTACGAGTTTATCTGACAACTGTGTTAATCGCACTACATACAATTACCAAACTAAGTATGTTTAGCTATATTGTGCACTATTCCGTACAGGGAAGACCTCATAGTATCGCCCCTGGTAATCAAAGACCCTACTCTTGGGCGTACGACAAATTGGACGTGCGTGAGATGTGGTTGGAACCAAGCTGCGTTCTTCCAATTACCGGAACGTGTACATGATGATGCTATGATGCTTGTCTTCGTATGTTGTAATCCTGGTTGCGGCTATTGGGAGAAACAGAGTCATGAAGATGACGGTACGGCTATGAGTGGTATAACCACCCGGGCACCATCTAACATAGCCTTCATGCCACGAATCGAAGAAGACATATTCGATGATATGGCAGAACTTTTTGGTGAAGACGAGTTATGATCACTAAAAAGGGCGCACTATTACTCAACTACTATCGTACACCATGTAATATCATAAAACTATATAGGATATACATATCCGTGGGACGTAATCGAATAGGCTGTCGGTAGTGGTATTATACTATCGTCTTTGTTTGATTTTATGTGTGCTATGAATTTCAAAATACATTAAGATTTAAATGCCAAGTGACACGTGTTATTGATTTGTTATCTATTGTTCCTATTCACATGAACAGTTTAGTTAAGGTTTTGACATCAGGTTGCATATTTGCGCAGGAGATCCTCGTACGTCGCATCAAACCTTGGATATGATAGATCTGCATTGACTTGGTTATGCAGATTAAATGTCCACATAAGAAATTCCTTCCTGCTTTCAGTCACCGGTGGCATACGGCGATATATATCGACCAATCCTTCCTTACATATGTGACATGGATATAGTTCTGCGAAGGAATAGCAAAACGCCTTTACACGTAGGCTATCTAATGTGCTCTAAGAATTTTATGTATCGATTAGGTCATCGTACCTACCGGTTCATCGGGGAAGTCTGCTGCCATGGAGTGTAGGTACATCCAACCAGCTCTCCCCAACTCCCTGCGGTTAGGGGGGAGTGGCGTACCTCCACGGTTGACATTTAACGGTTGTTCGTTATCGTCTCTGCAAGCTGCATCTTTGCAACGCTTATAAGCGTCTTCTACATTGTTGACCATTGTTATCCGGGGCACCCGCAATCGAGTACACCGCTACTCTCGACGACCCTGCATAATATGTGTTACCATCATATCGCAACATACCTGCGATGCTTCCTCAAGAACTCTGGTATAGTAGTATGGTCAGGCTTGTGTGTCATGAGACGTTGTACCTATTAAGGATGGAGCTATGGAATATGTATCCTAACCTCCTGTGTAAGGACCTTTGCGTTATTCTTAATATTATCTAAACGGTGTATAGAATGAAGTTCGCGTTTCATACGGTATAGTTCTTCCTGTAATTGTGTGATTTGGATATATTTGTCATCATACTTCAAAAAAATCTCGAGTTCCATCATCACTATAGGTTGCAACTTCTTCAGCGTTTTTGACAACATCAGTAGGATTCTGTATCTTAGTTGAGATTGTATATATAAACGACAATACCTCATTCGCATCTACAGTGACGTTCGCCTGTGGAGGGAAGCTGACCGGTTGCGTGGCATACAATGCGTTCCTACGGTGATTTTTTTATAAGATATTTCCATTGCTACCTTATCGATTCCGATACTACGGGTTCAGTGGCTTTCAATTGGGTGAACCGATCTGTTTTGTAATTTTTTTTTGGTTTCGCGATGCTGTTGCCTTCCAGATGAATAGTTTTTACCGGATCACTTTTTATATTTTGTAGGTCCAAAGGCTTGTATTTGTCAATCTCTTGCTTTGATCGTTCCGCGGCTTGTTGGAAAGCCTACGACATCGATGATCGAAAACGACGACGTTCACACACCTGGAGTGCTTCCGTTGACTTCGATACAAGTTGTGATAGATTAGCCAGTAGGTTGTCTTGTTCACTGGCCGTCAAAGGTGCTTCTGAACTGTGCAAAACATGAACGGTTTCGAATGGGTTATGTATGAGTCAGAGGGAAATACGACAACATACCGTGTGCCAGAAGGATAAACAAGTGTCAGGCAGATAGCGACCGTATTTAATAGGATTCTACTCCATCCCATAGTTCCATTGAACAACACCTAAATGACGTTTGTATGTAGAAGTGTGCTACCAAATATTGTGACTGTCAGTGTAGTCACGAATGAGGGCGTTGATTCATTAGGGACATTACTATATATGTGTAATGTGTAAATGACATTAATTTAATAATTATTTGTATATTATTTGTATACTCGAGGGTTACATGTATGATGTTTTCGCTGCTGCGAATCCGCGTGCCAGTGTGTGGCATATCTGGAGTCTCCGTTTGGTCGCATGAACCTTAATTAGGTTGTGATATTCGATATTTGTATTTCTAAAATTAAAATATTACATAAATTTAATGTAACTTTGGTTTAGGTTGTAATGCGAATTTTTTTTGTACAAGCGTAAGCTAGCGTATGTCGTTTTTTGCTGTACTTTAAATGACACTTGTGCTAACCATGGTTATGCGTCAGTTATATAAAAAGTAGCTCTTTCGAGCCTGTAGTATTGAAAAAAATGGAGTTCAAGCGATACAAAGAAATTCGTTCGTTGAAATATTGTTTCAAGAAATGTAAGTTAACGACATATTTTTTTAATACGATGCAGTATCGTCCAAGAAGTTATTTTCTACCACCTACGTATTACCGATAAGCTCTATTTTTGGGTCATCGAACTGCGTGTTGGAGATTAATATACCTCGTTCCTACCCTAAGAATTATGTGGACTTGAAGCTTGTTAATCCCATACCACATCCGTGGGCTGGTGAAGACGGTGTTATAAAATGCCCGAGCTGGCTGTTGCAGCTACCGTTGGTAGAAATTGTCGAAACGGTGCTTTATCAGTTTCAAGATTTCGAATTAAGGAATGATTCTGGATTGTCGAGTCACCGTAATGCGGATTCACCTGGTCATAACGGTAGTGCAACTCCCACTGAGTGGTCTCCCAATAGTGGTTCCAGTCTGGCTGCTAATGTGGATTCCGATGTGTTAGCTTCTGATGAGCGGAACACTCGACCGACGTGTGCGGTCCCGAAGTATATCCAACTCATTGATGAGAAGGTGATTAAGGTTTGCAATAGTTGGCCAACTAGCCCATTGGTTCCACTAAAGTCTGCAAATAAAGAAGAGGTTATGAACATGTTAGCAAATGAAGACCTTCGTTGGAGTTTGTTGCATCGCTTACCTGAAGTATCTCCGTTGATCACAGATCTTCGAAGGACCGTCTTAGACAATGAGTCCAAGTCGCTTGCTATTATCGCCACTCTTAACAAGCAGCAGGAACTACTGAAGTTTATTGATAATAAGCGTAGGGGTATGCGTCCCGCTGATGCCAACGCAGAGGCGGTCGATAGGATTGTGAAAAAGCATCGTGAGTCATATCGATGTTATGCTAATACATTAATTCAAGAGTTACGCGAAGAGATTCACGAGAAAATTCGTGCTATACGTGAAGGTCAAGAGTGTTTTGAAGAGTGTTACGACGCCCTCGCTGATTTATATCATCAACGTAGCGAGCTAGAGGCCATTCAGATAGCACTTTTCGGTTGACTGGTATATATGTTAATTTCTGCTTCTGTCATATATCTTTTTCCTGGCAAGTCTCCTAAAGCTCTGTCGCGGCCGTATTCACTCCATCGTCCGGTGTAAGCATCTCCAAAGGTACGTCCGATTAGTGATCCACCATAAACGGCAAACGGCATCACCAGAACCTTCGTCTTTATCGAATGGTACCTTAATGAGTATATTGTGAGCAGTCCGATACCGACCGTTCCGAAGAAATTGAACGTGCGGGCGCAAACCTAGGTACACATTCCTCTTAAATATTATATGAACTAACCTGTTTGCGTGCTGATTCCTGTCGTGCGAGCAATATTTGTGTAATTGTGTCGTCATTGTCGCCGTAGCTCTTTGTAAGTATAGATTCTAGTTCTTTACGTCCGTTTTTCGTGAATGTCAACCTCCATGGGTTTGGTGTGAGTAACAATCCTAATCGTTCCATAAACGACAGCGGTCGTGATCCGGTGGCATACAGATGTTCACATATTGTGACATCTGAGGGCACCAAGACCGGATGTGACCGGTTATTATCCATTTGTGTATTTATTACAGACGTATATCGTCTAAGGTCTTAGCAGGTCGCACTATAGCCTTACACAGTTCAACGCTACCCCCATGGTCTCCCTGGGCGTCTTCATCGTCATATTATATATAGACACTAAAAACAATGAGTTGCGAGTTGTTGCAATATTGGCGTTGTATCGGTAGGTTGTCGATCGTTAGAAGGGATCATTATTCACAGCCACTTTCGTGGCTTTGGATTGCACCGCTTTGGTGCTCATAGGAGCCATGATATACGCATTATTTGACCGTACTAAGTTACACATCGCTGGTGCGGTCCTCGTAGTAACGTTCGTAGTGGGATTATGTAAGTTTAAAAACCTGGAAGAAGTTATTGGTTGCAGGTCTGCGGAAGTTTAACCAAAGGAAATACGACCGTTTGGCCTTCTTCCGTATAAAGTTTTACAGCAATTTCAGCTTGTATGCAGGGATATATAGGCGTCACAGTGTGTTTTCTTACATTACTGCGCTGTTGTTCCCTATATTTGTCGCGAGTGTGACGTACGGCAAATACTCACCCTTGGCGGAATCACTGCTGATAGGATCAGTTCTTTGCTGTATAACAAGTATATTTGCTTTCGATTCTAAAGCATTGCTTTGTTGTGCTGCTATTGGCTTTTACTTGGCAGAACGGCTTTTTGGCGAGGTTCTAGGAAAACAGGTGATCATTTTTGCACTGCTACAGGGGTTATACCATGATATATTACGTGAAGATTTGACCCGGTAAGTATATTTTGTTTTAATCATGGTTTCCATAACGTGAGTGTGTATCGTTGTTCACCTCTACTTATCTCATAGATTCTCTATATCCGCGGTATTTTTGGTATTATAAATTTGTGTTTGAAAGGATAAACGTTATTTTTGATTGTCTATTCCCGGTTTTTACATTACTGATGCGCTGCAGGGCACTTGATATTGGTGATGCCGTAACTGTGTCCCAGTTGGCAGTAACCGTTGCGCACGTTGTCATTAAAAGATACTCATTCACTTACAACACCGCCCTGCGTCCAATAGTGGAGCTTTGCGTCTGTTTGGTATGTCTCCATTCTTTAGTTTTTGACATGTGTTATAGGGCTTCGTTTGCGTGTTATTTATCGCCATAATGCTGGGTGAGGAAATTTCTCATTGGTATGCTCCAGGTTGCATTAAAAGAAAATTAACCGACGCTGTGCGTCTACTCCTCATGGGAGATGCCCTATACCGATATGGATACTGGGCAACTCACGAAGTGAAGTACCAGGTGGGAGTGACTCCGCTCGGCGCTCTAATGAACGTAATAACGGCGAAGAATGCGCTGATTACTATCGCTACATGGGTGATCCATTCCACTATGGGTCTATTGATATTGTACTACCGATCACCCGCTTTTAACAAGGACGGGAAGGACTACCACCCCAAGGACCCTGTAATTACGATTCTGAGGAAAGGTATACACGTGGTACTGTTTGCCAATGCGTTAACTGCCATCTATCTTGGCCAGGTATGTTACTGCGTAAGACTATTAACAATTTGCAGCATCTACTACTGGCTGTGTCTCTGTACCTCACATTCATCGCTACAATGACAGTTGAGATGTTGCGTTACTATGGGTACATCCCCCGACGTTTGAGCATGTCGATCAACAATGTATACAAGGCTTTTGGCGAGTCATCTAAGCTTAGGATACTTGTGCTTCCCCATGCATGGGTAGTTCTCGGCGTTGGCTTGCCTTTGTGGACCGAGATGACACAGAACCCGCATATTGACGTTACGAAGGCCTATATAGGGTTGATCGTGGTTGCTCTTTCTGACGCTACGGCTGCTTTTATTGGCAGTCAAAAACCAAAGCTTCCGTGCCACGACAAATCTCTAGCTGGTAGCGCTGCATTTTTCGCCTCTACGTTCTCAGGTCTCATATTTAGTATGACCATTCAGGTTGGTGAGGATATCGGATGGGCGCGCGTTATAGCTGCCATCGCTGTTGCTCTCTCTACTACCTTGATTGAGGCTGGTTGTCCCGGAATTGACAATGTAAGCATCGCATTGATTGCTTATTCCGTTTACACCGTTGCTGAGAGGGTGCTGAAGTTTTGATAACAGCGGCGCACACAGTCGTGTTTGACCGGTGGGGGCTCACGCGGTTCCCCTCATTAAACGCTCAATAATCATAGATACATCAAAGATCGAACTAGCCGTAATAGATAGCTATTCGGCGTTATTAACGGTGGTATTAATAACAGCGGTTGCATCGCCGGGTTACACCGGTATCAGTCGTGTGTAAAGATGGACTTCACGGAACTGGAGTCTGCCACCGGTTTACGGTTTAGCTGGAATGTATGGCCATGTTCTAGTGAGGAGGCTGCTAAGGCTGAGGTGCCTATTGGTTGTCTTTTCACGCCTCTGAAGCCTGAGAACCCCGAGAGTCAGACTAAAATACCTCTTGTGGAATATGCACCAGTTCGATGTCGTAGCAGTGGTGTCTTCTTGAACCCATATTGCCATATTGATTTTCGAGCTAAAACATGGACATGTCCAATCACGTTGCAGCGGAACCCGCTGCCACCGTCATATGCGGAGCATATATCGCCGGATAACCTACCTTCAGAATTGGTGAACCTTACCATGGAGTATATCATTCCTACATCTGTTTCTGGCGGCATTTTCCCACCTACGTTCATTTTCCTGGTCGATACTTGTGTAAGTGAGGAGGAGCTGGAGCAGTTGAAGGATTCACTTCAACAGGTATGCTTTATAACTCTTGTTTACCCAAATGTCGCAGATTCTTAGTATGCTCCCTCAGGATGTTCAAGTTGGTCTCATAAGTTTTGGATCTGTAGTTAAACTTCATGATTTGAGGGAATCTGATATCCCCAGGTGTTACGTTCTTAGGGGTACCCATCATCATGATGCTGAATATCTGAAAAGGGTGATAAACTTGGAGCAACAGCAGCAGAGGTTTGTACAACCCCTATCTCAATGCGAGTTTACGCTAAACACTTTTATTGAGCAACTAACTCCTGACGTATGGCCTGTTGCGCAAAACTGTCGTCCTAACCGTTGCACAGGTTCAGCTCTTAGTGCCGCAGTTGCACTTATGGAGGTCTTATGTCCCAACAGGGGTGCTCGTGCTATGTTATTCACCGGTGGAGCTTGCACTTTCGGTCCCGGAAAGGTGGTAGACAGTTCACTTGCTGAATCCATCAGGCATCATTTGGACCTTCAAAAGGAACATCACAACGCTCGTTTTGTAAAGGATGCTCTATCATTTTACTCTACGATTGCCAACCGTTGTGCTAGTAACTGCCATGCTATTGATATTTTTGCTTGTGCGCTTGACCAATCTGGTCTTTATGAGATGAAGGTCTGCTGTGACAAGACTGGTGGTTACATGGTTATGAGCGATTCATTTTCTATGAACGTGTTCAAAGATTCACTGAAGAATGTATTTAGCCTTGATTCCAATGGCCATTTGAAGCATGGTTATTGTGCGAAGGTTGAGGTCTTTTGCACTAAAGAGCTGCGTGTGAGCGGTGTAATGGGTGGTTGCAGCAGTAACAACAAGAAGGGTCCTAATGTTTCGGACAACGTTATCGGTGAGGGTCGCACTACTGAGTGGAAGGTAGGTGCATTGGACCCTAAATCTACGCTTGCATTTTATTTCGATGTTGTTGACGGTTCAAGTTCCGCGGCATCTGTGATAACAAATGCTATAACGTCGCTTGGTGGTAATTCTGCCAGCCGTAATAAGAACAAGCCGCCTGAGAATGCTGGGAAGACCGCTTTTGTACAATTCCAGACGGTTTACATCCACTCAAGTGGTCAGAAGCGTCTGAGGGTGACATCATTCAGCTGCAAGTATGCGCAACCTAACATTGCTGACCTTGCTCGTGGTTTTGATCAAGAGGCAGCTGCGGTACTTATGGCTCGTTATGCATTTTACAAGGGCGAGACTGAGGATCCGTTATCGGTACTGCGTTGGTTAGACAAGAGTCTGATTAACCTGATATCTAAATTTGCGGATTATCAGAAGAACGACGCTCATTCATTTAGATTGGCGAGCGAGTTTTCGATTTACCCTCAGTTTATGTACCATTTGCGTAGGTCTCACTTTTTGCAGACGTTCAATGCGAGCCCTGATGAGACTGCTTTTTACCGTACGGTGTTCATGCGTGAGAATGTCATCAACAGTCTTATTATGATTCAGCCTGCCTTACTGGAGTATTCATTTGAGAACCCTACCCCTCATCCCGTTTTGCTTGACGCATGTTCATTGAAGCAGAATGTCATATTGATGTTGGACTCTTTTTTCCATGTCATCATTTGGTATGGTGAGATGATCCATCAGTGGCGTGAGCAGGGTTTCCAGGATAAGCCTGACTATGCTCATTTCAAGGAGCTTTTACAGGCTCCTGCGAGTGACGCGAATCACATTTTAAGTGAGCGTTTCCCTACTCCTAAGTTTATTCTGTGCAACCAAGGCGGTAGTCAAGCTCGGTTCCTGCTTGCTAAAGTGAACCCTTCTCAGACGCACAAGTCTGGTTTCAGTGACTATTCAGAGGATGCTCAGGTGGTGAACACTGACGACGTTTCTCTGAAGACGTTTATGGAGCACTTAGTTATGCTGGTAGTTCAGTCGTAGGCCAGATGAGGCCCCCACTGCTTTAGCTTGATATGGACAGATATTAAACACTTTGATTATACGTACCTAAAAATGGCTGGTTGCACTACGGCTGGCCCAGACTTGCGTCGTTACATGGAGAAGCGTTTAGATGGTAGGTTTGTTTCATTGTATATTATGAGCGTTCTTCCTTTTGTCGGCTTGGTTAGGTTGAAGTAGCGCTATGTTTTATTGTTAAAAAAAATGTGTTTATCCATATTTTATGTATTAATGACGTCACAGTGCATCTTAACGGATCTAGGCACGTGGTTGGAGTGTTACGTGGCTACGACACTTTTATGAACATCGTTTTGGACAACGCGTTACAAATAGAAGGTGAGGAGCAGATAAAATTAGGAATGGTGGTTATCCGTGGGAACTCTATAGTATTCTGGGAATGTCTGGACAAGGTCCACACGCGATAGGTATCATGTACTACAGTCGTATCGCAACGATCGGGTTTGTGTTCTCCCGTAATAATTGACTTATGGTTAATTTCTGTATGATTTGTATGCTGTGTAGAATGATCGTTTTCGACGTTTCAGGGTGCTGTCAATGCGTGACACATCGAATTTGCGTACCATAGCGTTACGGCATAATGGTCATTCTGCGCATCGTTTAATAACGATAGAATATGATTTTTAATGTGATAAAATAGCAATATATCAGCAGACAATAAAATGGTATCTTTCTGGAGGGAAATTGAGTGGGCGTGTTCGTGCCGGTGGGATGGGAAGGTCGCCTGATGATGCCGTTCACACAGTATTAGTATCTACTAGACGGTCACTTTGCATTGCACATGTTGTGTTTGTACGAACTTGAACGTTAGACACCCTCAGTATAGGGGAACATTACAATGACACGCGAGCACGACGCTATCGAGAAAGCTTTTCTAGGTACGTTGTGCTAATCGTTGTTTCATTGTTTTTAGAGTACAAATGGGAATCATCTGAGTCTTGGCAACAATACTACAGTAATCTTTACCCAATACCACCTTTGAGCAAGCTTTCTAAATACAAGCGCGCGTGGTACCGACGTACGGTGGTAAGTGTATGCGAGTAAAGTCAGTTCCCATTATGATGAAGAATCCTAATTTACCGGAAGACTCTGCGGTAGGGGAGGTTGATCCAACTACTTACAGCGGGCAAAGTGCAACTAGAGTTGGTGGGTGATTCATTGTCTATTACTTCATAAAAATATAGAAGCTCCACCGAAACCGCCGCATCATAACACACATATGCCGTCAATGATGGTTATGAAAATTTTAGTGTCGATTGAACTTGCCGCCAGGATATTTTTCCTGGCGGCCACGATCATGATGCTCGTGTTCCGTTTGACAAGGTTGCTTCCTCCGCGATTGTTTGCTGTGAGTTTTGTATTACCAATTGTTGTTAATATATGTGTAGCCTGTAACAGCTCTTTCCATGGCATGCTGTTACCTTTTCCTTTTGATCGCACTGTTTAAGGACAAGGGCAGGCCAGCTTTATCATTGGATTACGGTCGTTCTATTATGATGGATGAGAATTTACATTACCTTACGTATTCCGTGGCTGTGATGAATGTTCCGAAGGCCTTTGTGTTATTCGCTCCTCAAGTGTTAACCTGTGTGATAGGTATGAGCCGTCTCTACCTATACTACCAGAGATACATCCCTGGAATACTCAGGTAAGTGTACTGTCCTGTGTACTTTGCGATAATGAATGCAACTTGTGTTATTGATGTTATTGCAGGTTGGATTTCATAAATCACGCTTTACGATTGGTTGATGCCCACAGTGTGGACATTTTCAGTGTTCGTGCGGCCCTAGAAGTAGCAGCTTTGATCCACATGATGCTTGGAATGTTTATGGGTCTTTCTAATTTCATTGGTTTGATCCTTTACGTCAATTTCATTAGGGTGAAGTAAGTTTGTTGCTCCAGGTGATATAATCCGTACAGGGTCGCTGTTAATGACGTGTATCTTACTGGAATCTTCAAGCAATTCCACGGTAAGTGTAGGGTTACATCGGTTCATCATTTGCAGAAACCATCACTAGGTTCCTGACACACCCGATTGTTCCTCCTGCAATACAGAACGGTTATGGCGCTGTGACTCGAACTATCATGAAGTATTTCAAGCCTGCTGGTAGATACTAGAGCAACGTTGGCTAATGGTAGTGAGGGCGCCACTAAAGTAAAGCTACAATTTAGGCCATATTTAATGCGATACTTCGTATATTGAAATGTAAACAGTTGTGTTCATGTGTTTGAGTTTTGCAACTGTTCAATTGCCAGTAGTAGTTGCTGGTTCCTGTTGGCAGGTTATTGTTTATATTGCATGAGCTTACTTTGATTTGTATTCATCATATTCTTGTATAAGTGTACGTATTTTTGAAGCCCATTCTATATTGTTAACTTTGCGATCTTTATTTAGTTGTTCTATTTCAGCTTCTAGTTTTGCCTTTTCCTTTGAGAGTCTAAATCGGTTGAATTTGTGTTTAATATATAACACACCTTGTTTTGAGCGAAGATATATCATCTAGATGACTTAACCATGCATTTTCTTTATATCGATCGAGTGCCTCTAGATTAAGTTGCGCGTCATGGGCGTACTCTGTTAAGATTCTTAGATGATCTCTACGTTGGTTGTGATCCTTGACATGTGTATATGTCGTATATTTATCTAAATCCAGAGCTTGTAAAGGCATGCCTATTGGATATATGTTCAACTGATATGTTTGTATCTTACCCTGCGCCTTCCGCTCTACTTCAGCATGATACACATGTGTTGAATCGGTGTGATCCGGTGTCGTAGCAATTGGTTTAATATAACTGTTTAATAGTGCATCTTCATCGCCGTTAAATTCTTCGAGAATTTTTCTCTTTTCCTCAGCTACTAGATCGTGGATGCGTGATTCAAGTTCTATAGGTACGGCGTCTACGAAAGTGAGGCTATCAACCAAATAGTGGTAACGATTCCTTTGATAAAGTGGAATATCTGTATCCGTCGTGGAGGCCTGTGAGTTATCCATCTTGAATTGTGATAGTGAGTCGTGCCCGCTTGTAGGTGTGATAGGTATTGTGAGGGAGCACACCCATTGAACATTGTTTGCGTGAAATAACGCAAATGTTACACATTATCGCCCTTATACTTGAGACATGGGAAACTGTTGTACAACTGGTGGTAAATTAACCGGAGGATTCGGTCAAGGTACCGAAAATTCCGGTCGTATAAATTTGAAAGACAGAAATCGTACAAGTTTTTACGATCGTATGTTGAATTGTGAGTATATTCGACCTAAGATATGCGATGTATTCAATGAAAGGCTGGGTCAACCTGTATGGGTACATAACGGGAATGCTAGCATCGCTCTGGAAGACCAAAGTTCATCCCCAGACAATGATTCCGGTTATTCTAGTGATTGGGAGAATGATACTAGGAGTTTTGTAGTACACTGCCGGTCAGCTCGCAGTAGCGATCCGAGTGACAGTAGTACTCCCACTAGGCTCTCATTTCATCCTAAAATGTTTGATCTTATGTTATCTAAGGACATTTGGTTATCACGTGTTATCACTGAGTACAAGATGAACACTCGTTATAACATAATTGCTGATGCCATTGGCTTTGGTGTCGGAGGGTCTGTACGTCAAGCGGTTGACAAGAAATCACACCGTACCTTTGCTCTCAAGAGTTTAAAAACCGATTGTACAACAAGGAAAAGGGTAATGAGTTCATTTAATGAAGTTATTATCTATACACAATTGGACCATCCTAATATCGCGTTCCTTCACGAGGTTTATGAGGAGCCTGGATTCTGTCACATTCTTATGGAATATTGTACTGGAGGTGAATTATATGATCGCCTTGATAGATATAAACGTTTTGCTGAGGGTTACGCTAAAAGGGTCACTGTACAAATGTTACTTGCGATTAACTATCTCCACTCTAATGGTATCTGTCACCGTGATTTGAAACTTGAGAATTGGGTCTTTTCTACTCCAGACATGGGTGCGACGCTCAAAATGATCGATTTTGGTTTTTCTAGGCTCTATGAAGACGGTGTTCCCATGGCTGGTACTCATGGTACTGTATACTATGTTGACCCCGAGGTGATAGACGGTTGTTACAGTGAGAAGTGTGATATTTGGAGTACTGGTGTTATAGTATACATGTTACTTTCGGGTTCTCCTCCTTTTAACGGTGAGGAGGACAAGGAGATATTGTGGAAGATAAAGAAGGGCATCCTTAAATTTGAAGGCGTCCGGTGGTCAAAGATTTCACAAGATGCCAAGGACTTTATAACACTGTTACTCAATAGGGACAGTAATCATCGTGCGTCAGCTATAGAAGCGTTGAATCACCCATGGTTGGATGATGAGTTGCAAAATTTTGATTCCAGTTCTCTCACACCAGAGGTATTGAGACATATAGTGGAGTTCAGTAAGCGTCCTCCCATGTACCGTGCGCTAATGGCCTTGTGTGTTTTGGAAGCAGACAGGCATATCCATCAGGATGTTTATCGTCTATTTTTTGCCATAAATACATCGCTGAGTGGAACGATAACATTAAAGGAATTTAGCGATGTTTTGGCTGAGTACCTTAAGCTTGATGAAAGTGAAGCAGCGGCTGTGTTCGACGCCATAGCATTCCGCGGTACAGCTACAATGCATTACACTGAATTCGTGACTGCCGTATATGGTTACCACGCCGAGTTGGATATGAATCTGTTATGCCAGGTATACTGCAAGCTGGAAGCTTTAGGTAATGGTCGTTTAGATGAAAAGACACTGGTGGCGTACATTGGTGAAAGATTCAGTGGCATCCCCGTTAGCAAGTTATTTCGCCATCTTGACGTCGACAATAAGGGTTTTATTGAACTGTCTGAGTTGCGTGACTGCCTCGTGGGCGTACATTAGTATGTACCCGTGTGGCAGCAACGAGAACTTGAAAACTCTAGCTAGGTTATAATGCCAAGATGGAAGTGATACAAGACGATTCTACCCCGAAGCGCATAGTGGTCTCCAAAAATTGTTTGATCCATAACCCTAGGAGAAAGGGCAGCGCCCGAACCACAAAAAATGAATCGGCACAGACTGATTCTACAACTACAGATCAACCATTGAGTTCACAGGATCATCCTTCTGCGAATGCTGATAAAATTGATTTTTTAACCTCTCCTAAGCCTGTCGTTGAAGGCGAGTCATGTATCGATGGTCGTACCGAAATATCGTGCCATGGGACTATAGACGGTGTGAAGATATCCGGAGACAGCGTGACCAATACATGTGTGTCGTTCGATGAAGAGCCCGATTCGAACAAATGGTTGGCAGCATGGAGCCTGAAAAGTCTATTGTCGTCTAAGGCTCCAAGTGACCAGCCTGATGATATATTTTCAGCAGAGCATGGGAATGGTATCAAGGTGTTGGAATATAAGCTGGATCGTTCTGATCGTCAGATTGGTGTATTAAAATCGCAACTTAGTGAGCGTGATGAAACTATTGGGAGACTGTTAAAGCACGTGAATATGTTGGAGCAATGGAAATCTGAGCTTGATCGTGGTAAAACTCTATTAGTTGTTGAGCAGAATCACGAATTAGGCGCAGCTATTAATGTTATGGAGAAGTATAGGATCAAGGTGGATGAGTGCAAGACGCTTGAATCTAAGTTGATGGATATGGAGCACAAGCATAGTTTAAAGGATAATGAGATGAAAGAGATATTGTGTAAGTTGAATGAGCATCGAACTCGAGAAACGCAATTGATGTTGCAATTGGAATCTTTTACGGCAGATCGTTTGTCTTTTGCGAAATCTGTAGAGAAACTGAAGCGTTCTTTTGAGGTTCAGAAAGCTGATGCTAAGTTGACTCTAGAGAAGGAGTATGCGAACAAGATATCGTATTTACTGGGTCAGATAGATTTGCATAAGAAGCAGTTAGAGGAGAAGGACGGTGATGTGAAACAGCGTAGTCAGAAGATTAAGGATATGGAGAAAGAGGCATCTAAATTGATGTTTAGAATTGACCAATTGCAACGATTAGTGCGTCATAAGGATTATGAGCTTCGAGTTATGCGTGAAGCAATGTTGAACCTTGAGGAGGAGTCATTTAAAGAGGGTCAGAACGCGTCTGCGCGTATTTCTGCAGTTCTCGCATTATTGGAGAGTACCAAGAGTGATAATTCTGATTTGAAATCTAAGAATATCGGTTTACAGAAGGAGTTGGACAAGTGTTTAATGCGTCTTTCAACAGTCCACGCTCGGTCATTTGATGGAAAGGAGGTGAAAGATGCTGTGTAGTGACCATCTAAAATGATGGTTTTTGTGTGGCCATGTTTATTATAATGTCATTCATTATTCAAAAGGCATGGCACAGTTGGTTAGCGGCGGTGGTGTTATGCACCAACCCATATTCTGATCGTAATGACATCGCCGTAATTTTTTTTTCTATATTCTATTATAACTTGATATTATATATGTTGCGATATGTGGTCACCGTGCACCTGGCGGTTACTTGTGGCACGTCGTCGATTACCACGTGCTATATTGAGAATCTAACAGTTTCCAGTGCACTTTCCGGTGTTTCTTGCTGTGTTCCGTGGTTAAATGTTCTCTCTATAGCTTGCCATATTAACTCTGTTGTATGACTGTCACATTCATCCCTTTTAACGGTGACACAGTCCCATGTTTGCGTGGTTCTGTCATCAGATTCAGATAGCAAAGCGAGTTGTACATGTGTATCGGTTGCATTTATCACGGTGATATTGAGTGTCGACGTCAAGAATTCATACATAATCCTGAATATGTGCTTTAATATATTTGGAAATTTGCATACCTGTCCCGCTTGATCACATCAGCTTTGGCTGCCTTTTGCATTTCAGCTGCATCCTCTAGAAGCTGCAATTTATGTTTCATGCTCTGTACCTCGAGCAACAGCTCATCTTCAGTTCCCCTTAGTTGGCTAAGTTTGTTCTTCAGTTCTTGTTTCTCTTTGGTTGCCGCAATGGCGTCATCACCGCTGCCTGGGAAAGTATAGGCAACGGTAAATGACCCACTCACCTATTTTCTCGTTGTATGTTACTTTCAGTTTCCGTAGTTCTTCAGATAGCCTTTCATGTTCATCTTGCAGCATTTTAAGTTCCTCGTTTGCCCCTATGAGTACGATGTAACCTGACCAGTTGGCACAGTATACTATTGGCGTACTATTCAGAATAAATAAAAACAAGTTTACATTCGCATTTAGTATAAACTGAAATGTAACTCGTTTTGGTTTGTTTTGTGAATATTGATTTGTAGCAAAATTTTAAATGGATGGAAATATGGTTGATGTACTTTGTAACATCTGTAGAGTACAGAGAGAGTACTGCATTTTTCGTTGAAAACATGATCACATAGGGTATTCACAGAGTTTTATGAACATTTTCATGTAACTTTTTGTGTATAAACTTACTGTCTAACGAAGCATCGGCAGCGCTTCTCTCGGCAGTGTGTTTGAGGCATATTGCCTTATGCAGGTGTTCGAACTCCTGCAATAATGCTCTTTCATCGGAATCATCTTTTATAAATGCAGCAAGCGCATCTGCTGCCTCTTCTACTTGCGATATGAGTCGGGAATTTCCATCTTTGTTCTCGACATCGAATCGAAGGTGAGAGAGTTCGTTGATTAAGGTATCAACATCTGGCATTCTTTGCCAATGTAAATAACTTGATAAAAATGGTATAATAACTGTATATTATTTTCAGGTGTAGATAACCGCTGTTAGTATAGATCCATGCGCAACGCGACTCTATAGGGACCGTCGCGACTAACTTGAATGGTTGCTTGCATACATTTCATAATGCAGGCATCAAGATGGTTCGAAATGATGGGATAACAGATGTAATGTTGTATGCCTTCCCATATATACGACATCGGCATGATGGCTGAACCAACGGAGCTTGGACTTAGCGGCAACGCACCAGAAAACAAGAAATGTGCGCAACCGAGACCGAAAGCTACTCCACCTCCTCAGGAGGAGGAGTCACCATCGTTACTGTCGATGTTCAATATCTTCGGATTCGGAGCAAAGAGCGTTATGGGCCATACAGCAACATATGGGATGATGCCTTCTATGCCTCAATGCGAATGTGTCCGTATAGCCTTGAAACCACCAAAAGCTAGTGATCAGTCAACTAATCCCACGGTACAAAAGAATATACCAAAGTATATCAGACCGGAACGTTGTGCTCGATTTAATTACTGGTGGTTGAAATGTTGTCAATCTGCGGTGCTTCGTAAAGCTGGGGTATACTGGAACGTCGTCGAGTTGTTAGATGAGAAGGTGATTGTCGATGGTGTTAAGATGCCAGTGGCGGACCTAGTTTTAGGCCAGAAGACTACAACAGCCATTTTACTCGATATAAGAAGAACATACCCGTCGCTTAAGTTTTACACCCGTTATGGACGTCTGATGCTACGTCGGATACTCTTGGCTTATGCATTTTTCGATCCTGAAGTTGGGTATGTACAAGGGTTAAATTTCATTGTGGCTAATCTTCTCTGGCATTGCACTGAGGAACAAGCCTTTTGGGCTTTCATATCCATTATGTACATGTACGATTGCAGATGCATGTTTCTACAAGGTTTACCTGGAGTGTTCCGGCGTTGTGATGTAATAGAAAAGTGTATGGAAGACCATGTTCCAAAACTCACGGAACACCTGAGAAACGTCGGGGTCCACATACCAATGATCGCATCTGACTGGTTAATGACGCTGTGCGCCAACTCCATCCCTATTAAACCATTGGTAAGTAAGAAGCGTTATAAATTGTCAGATTGATATTAGGCACGATTATGGGACTCTTTTTTTGCCGAGGGCTGGATTGTTATATTCAGGTTCATTCTGTTCCGACTGAAGCAATTTGAACCATATTTGCTGACAATGCATGACGTTGCGGATATAATGAAGGTCATAAAATATGGCCACGCAAATCAAGCTGAGAGTTGGAGTTTTATCGAACTTATCCCAGGTTAGTTGCTACAGTTACTATTTGTTATTATAGAGTAGGTTTCGGTCAAACTGTTGAGAACAAGGGCATTAAATTAGTTCAAGGGGCATATTATTCAAACTGTGAGAATTTAACCAACGATCCCAATAAAAATAGTAACGACCATGATTGGATGGAGATTGTCATGGGTTCTCTAAAGTTCAACCTATCATCCGATTTTGTAGATAAGCTAGAATTACAATCTACAGAAGATTTATATTATGAGTGCGCTAATGCACACAATCTATTTCCTAACGACGAGACAGATTGCAAGAGTGAGGGTTTAGTCTCTGAAACAAGTTCAGAAAATGATGTTCGAACCACCCTGCTCGAAAAGGATCACCAATCATCTGAAGAGCAGGAACACCTGCCGCAGAACATCACGAAAGATACGCCTGCCTACGATTTACTACGTAAGCATGGGTGTGGCGTCATTGCTGATAAACTAGAAGAGTTTGCTGATACCTTCCGGAAGCAGCTTTCGGACATCGGCCTAGCTAACCCTTATGTATTGCACCTCAAGGCGCTTAGAGACGAGTAATATTTGTTTTTAATGTATTATAGCATGATGTGCGATTTCCTATGTCGCTTATTGTATGGCACGCCTATATTTTGGCTTATCTGCCAATGTTTTTGGATTTAACTATCTTTCTGCTTAGGTTGGAACCCTAACTTCGTGAGTGCCTGTGTTATCTGATTCCATACCTCTTCCTTGGTGCCTGATGCATCTAAAACTGTACATTTGCCAGCCATCATCATGCAATACATGATGGGTATCGTATCGTCGAAGAAAACCTTCATTCTATTATCTATGGCTACAGATGCATTATCGGTACGCTCACACTCGTTTGCTCGTCCTAGTATTCTCTGACGGCATACTTCTATAGGGCAATTTAATGCCAACATGTGTATTAACTCAGTACGTTCGGATAGTCTCTCTGCCCACCCTTTTACATTATCGGCATTTCTCGGGAATCCGTCAACAATAACGACATCGCGCCCCCAACCTAACGACTCGATCTTTTTGATGAGCAGTTCGATTGTGACCTCCACGGGTATCACCTTTCCCGCATCGATGTAGCTGCGAATTAATTGTTGATTCTTTGAATTAGGATTTGACATTTCTTCCCTCAGACATTCACCGGCAGATACGTGCTTGAATCCGTAGTTCATAACCATTCTCTGAGACATTGTGCTCTTTCCGGACCCCGGGGGGCCGGCTATGGTTATCTGCAGAACATGATCGTTATCCACACACAGACTCACAATCTTCTGCCTAAGTGACATCTGGCGGGTAAAAATAAATCCGGGTGATAACGTCTCTGAGATGCCAGGTGTTTCCTGGACGGTTGATCAACCGAGACGTAGATATGTTGTCAAAGAGCCCTCGCTGGCATGGTATGTATCCCCGCGCGGCCCTTATGGGGACCGATCATGGTTTGGAATGTGACACATGAAGGGAATATGGCTCTGTTTATCGCATGTAACTTCGATTTAGCTCATTAGAACCCTGAAAAAGGTGAACGGAACATCTGGACACATTTTTCCAGGACCAACCGGTGTGCGTGCTGCGGCAGCTAGGCCAGGACCGTGAGACAGAATACCGAGTATCCTTGGCGTATGCCATGAGCAACACAGAATGTAGCGCGGAAAGCCGCGTTCGATCTGATGAGGTAAATTTAGATCACACCTCTTCAATATTGACAGGATGTGTGCAACCATGTCAAGGTAACATACGACCAATGTTTCGACTCATGGTTGAAAAATTATTTCCTCAAAGGTGGGATGGAAGACAAATGTAGGAAGGAGCTATTGGCCTACAGAGCCTGTTTGAAGGTGTGAGGATGTCAATGCAAATCCACAAACTCATTGCAGCAACATTTTTTAAGCCGTGGAGAGAAAGAAGTTGTACGTTGTATAGAAGAATATGAGCGACGATGACTAACGACATCAAAATAGATTTGGCAATCATTCATCGCTATAATAGCATGCTTGAATCATGGGAGAGAATACAATCCAAAGTTGATACTAACCTCAGGGCCATGGTAATAATTCTCGATAAGTTTCTCCTTTTCACAGGCGCCGACCAAGGCTCCTGTGAATCGGACGAGACCACGGTCGACAGGATTTTAAATAGCCATGCTAAAGGTTTTACTGCGCAGAAGTTTCAAGACGTGAGCTACGATGAAGCGATTGGCCTATTGGCAGGGGCGAAAAGGGCCCATAATATTGACGTCAATAGCGTCTCTCCATTAACTGCGAACCTTGAGGTGAACCTGCCTGGCGCGATTTCTTTGTTTTTACAACGGCAAAGTGACAAGTTATATCAGATGATATCTGAGGTACGTTCTGAGTGTGAGTCTTTTAGAGACGGGACACTTCCAAGAATGGAATCCATTTGCGACGTGGCAGTAGCACACATCAACCGCAACAGCGTCTCAATAGAAGAGAAATGTGACAATACCCCCATATTCTGTTCTATTTGTGACACCTTCCAAAGTATCACCTCCGAGATCGACGCCTTATTAGGGTTAATGGCTTCTGTGAATCCGTACCCTGAAGGTCAGGAAAATATTCATGCTCATATTGAGCAAATAAGTTCCTTTAAATTATGTCGACTTAAGGAGTTTAACAATGTTTTGTCTGACTCAACGTAGAACACAACCTTGACTCAGCGTGGAACGCGAGCAGCATTTGTCGCCCGATTCCATTGCAGCCTGGCATATAACAGCTAGTTGTAAATTTTGAAAAATTTAACGTAATAGTCTAGAAAAATTTTACTAATTGTGGTATATAGCTTAACATTCTTTAAGGCCTACAAGCAAGATGGATCTCGACGGGCATCCCGCCGAGGTCGATACCGACCTATATTCTCGACAGATTGGCACTTTTGGAATAGAGATGATGGGGAAATTGCAAAAGCTGAAAGTGTTGATCATTGGAATGAAAGGCGCCGGTGCAGAAATCGGTGAGTGGATTCTTAGACGCATATATGTATAATGCAGCTAAAAATTTAGCACTCATGGGCGTAGAGGCTATATGTCTGGCGGACGATGATACAGTTGAGCGTCGGAATCTCGGAGTCAACTTTTTCATACGTTCAGCAGATGTGGGAGTCAAATGCGTAAGTGAGGCCTGCCTACCACAGTTGCAGGAACTCAATGGAAATGTAAATATTACCATACATAGAGGTCCCATCACCGAGGTGAGTATAACATCCATTGTATTGATATAGATGTGATACAGGCACTTGTCACAAGACATGATGTTGCGATCTGCTGTGACCAGACCTTTGAAATGATAAACAATGTCAGCCGTGTTTGCCGTAAAAATCAATTGAATAAACGTGTCGGATTTATTGCTGCTGATACGTTTGGGATGGTTGCGGCTGTATTCGTAGACTTCGGTCACGGATTTGTCTGTGTCGACCCATCCGGTAAAGATATCACCACGGCTATAGTCTCCGGGATATCCAATGTAAGTAACATGTATAATGGGTATATGTAATAATAGGAAGAGAAAGGTGTAGTATATATCCACGCTGAAGGTAGCATGCCATTCCAGACCGGTGATGTGGTAACATTTTCAGAGGTCCAAGGGATGGAGGAACTCAATTCCATGGATCCTATTGAAATAACAGTAAAAGATAAGGAATCATTTACAATCTGTGATACCAGGAAATTCAAACCATACACCACAGGCGGAATAGTCAAGGAAATACGTAGACCTAAGACTATCGACTTTATCAGCTTCGAAGAGGCAGTAGAAAATCCATCAACCACAAATTGCATGATGACCATGGACTACAGCCTTAATCCACCATTGCTTTCAGTCAGCGGAACAGCTCCATTGGATTAGTATGGCTTATCGCACTTGTGGCCAGGATTCTAACTCGGTCCTGGTAACTGCTAATAACCTCAATTCCAAAGCACGATCATGCGCTGTTGATCAAATTGACGAAAAGGTGCTGTGCAGTTTCGTCAAACATGCCCATCTTAAAATATCGCCACTTTGTTCCTTTGTAGGTGGTGTTGTTGCCCATGAAGTTATCAAGTTCACCGGAAAATACCACCCTATTAACCAGTGGCTATACTGCGACTTCACATTACCCACGGAAATAACGTCAGGGAATAATAGCGATGTTGGATTCGATTCGAGGTACAGTGACCATATTGCTGTTTGGGGACGAGAAGTACAAAGCAAGATACAAAGTGCAAAGATCTTTACGGTATGTTTATTAATTAAATAATGCTATTGACTTTTAGGTTGGAGCTGGTGCTCTTGGATGTGAATTGATGAAACATTTCGCACTACTCGGATGTGGTACCCAAAATGGAGGTTTAATCACTCTGACTGATAACGACCATATCGAAGTGTCTAACATCAGTAGGCAATTTTTGTTTAGGAAGGTATGTTTTTTTGTTAAAGTTAAAGTTCACTGATTCATAGAAACATGTCGGAATGTCTAAATCAAAGGTTGCTGCAATGGCTGCTAAAGAAGTCAATGAACATATGAAAATAGATGCATTGGAGATTTGTGTCGGACCGGAGAGTGAGGACTACTTTACAGATGAATTTTGGGACGAACTGACTGTTGTGGTGAACGCTTTGGACAATGTAAAGGCTCGTATGTATATAGATGGCCGATGTGTATGGTATGAGAAGCCGCTTTTAGAATCGGGTACATTGGGCACTATGGGCAACGTACAAGTCATCATCCCACATATGACACAGTGTTATAGTGAGAGTCAAGACCCGCAAGAAACGTCAATACCGTTGTGTACACTCAAACATTTCCCATATCAGGTTGATCATACAATCCAATGGGCAAGGGACCTTTTTGAGGGTCTATTCACACAGCTTGCGCATGATCTGAAGAAGCTCCAGGAGGCGTCACATGGTAAGTTTCAGCAAATGGCCAACTTTGATAATTGACTTTAAATAGATGCGGACGATATATCGGATGACAAGATAAAATTGATTTCACAGCTTTTAAAAATTAATCCCAATAATGCCAAGACGGAGTTGCTGCGTATATCTTCAGAGCTCATCAACAGGTATTTCATCAACGACATCAAGCAGCTGTTGTATTCTTTCCCTAAAGATCACAAGACATCAGATGGTCAAAGGTTCTGGAGCCCACCAAAAAGGATGCCAAAACCATTAATATTCGACCCTAGTAGTAGATATGTCAGCATGTTCCTGGTAGCCACCTGTAACATATTGGCTGAGGTGATAGTAGGTTACCAGTGTGATTGTATACATTTTTTGCAGGGTTTAAAGTTACGTTTTGATAACAAGGACGTGGAATGTTTGCCGCCATTGCGGTTTGAGGAATTCAAACCCACTATTTTAAGGCTATCTAAGGATAACGTGAATGTTGAAATTGAAAAACCCGCTGGTGCTGACAAACAACGATTCCAGTTAATTGACGATATCAGTAAAAGCAAAGTTCAATTTAACTCTATAGACTTTGAAAAGGATGACGACGCAAACTTCCACATCGAATTTATATGGGCCACTGCTAACATGCGATGTGAGAACTATGATATCGAACAATGTGATCGAATGAAGGCGAAATTGATATCAGGTAGAATTATACCTGCTATCGCTACAACGACCTCAATGATCGTTGGATTGGTGATGCTTGAGTTTGTGAAAACGATATGTTACAAGAAATTAAAAATGGATCATTTCAGGAACTCGTTTTGCTGCCTGGCAACACCAGTATGGTTACAATCAGAGCCTTTACCACCCACTCCGACAACTGATAAGGAGTATGATCCTGTAGTAGGCGGTCGTGTTCGAGCTTTACCACCTAACTTTACTGTATGGGACAAAGTACGACTGAATATACCAAACGGTACGGTGAACAATATTCTTCAGGCTATTCGTGATACTTTTAATGTCGAGGCTATCATTATCAGTGCGGGTAATACGTGCATATACAATTCCTATATGCCCGCACACAACCGCGAGCGTCGTACTCAACGAATTACCGAAGTAAGTCGTACACATTGGTCGTAATAATAGTGCAGCTTTTGGAAAAGCTTACGAAAAAACCTCTTATGCCATCATGCTCGTATCTGGTTATAGAAGCCAGCTGTACTGATGACGACGATACTGATGTGGTCATCCCTACGATAAAATTCGGGTTCAAGTAGTCTTAACTAGATCGTAATATTATACATAATGCCCATTGTATACGATGGATTACTATAGCATGCTATTGAGCCATGAATTTTTACCGGAGAATACCACAGAATACCTCGTAGATGCTAACCCAGAGTTCCGTAAAAGGGCACGTAACGCCATATCGCAGGCCGTAAGAAAGTTCATAAGTGATACTCAAGACAGCGAAGATGTTGATGAACGTTGTGGTGAAGCCGTGCAACGGTTCGTCAACATCATGCGTACGCAATATATGGATAACGCAATTCCGGACTATCGAATAGGAGGACTTATAGGTATTGCCTCAGCCGCCATAGCCCTTGATGTAGGTGACAAAAGTTACATGTATGTTATTTTAATCAGGATCACCTCGATGACCACGCTGATGCGTTAATCAGACTAGTACTTCCATATTTTACAGACCAGGATCCTAGTGTAAGATACTATGCTTGTGAGGTAAAATAAAAGAAAGGGTATCCACCATTGCTTTCAGTCATTATATAATATCGCAAAAAAGGCTCATGATGGCGTTGTTAGATGTTTCAGTGATATCTTCGACGGTATTTGTAAAGTAAGCAAATAACACACTTTTGCTTTAACACTATTTATACAGCTCTCCTGCGACGAAGACGAGGATGTTAGACAAAGTTCACAGTTCATGAACCGACTAATGCGTGAAATTATACTAAATGACAAGTACAAGGCAGTTGATTTGGTTGTCGAACTTATCGCAAGCCGCATGTATGTGACAAACTCATACGTCCGCATATTATTAGTATGTCTCACAATCATCCAGCATGTCATTACACTCAGATATCATGGATTACTGCACTCAATGCGTTACCATGTAAGTTTACATTTGGTAATAATCACAAGAAACAGATGTCAATATGCTCGAACATGTTCCCAAAGTATACCTCGGACTCTTCAATATGCTAGTAGACAACAACAAGTTAGTTGTGAAGGACAAAAGTGATAGTTTTTTAGGGATGTGAGAGGGGCAGCGGAACTCTGCCTTGCTGAGTTCCTGGCACTTTTCAAGAAGACGTTTGCGACAAAGACCGAAATAATAAGTGACGAGTTTTTCAATGTCATACTCATCAATATGACTCGCAACGAATATGTTATCAAAAGGATGAATATTGTATGGGTACGAGAACTTGCCTGCTTGCAGCCGCATGTCATTTATTTTGTATGTTTTCACACTCATAGATTATATACATCACAATGTAGAACGGATTTCATCTATTACTCAAATCGGTAATAGTATCCATAGCCGATCAAAACGGAGGTGGGTCAAGACTAAGTGGATTCCATATCAGACCAGATGTCAGTACTTGCGCACAAGAGGCAAACAAGCAGCTTTTTCTCATGACAAAAGAACGAAAAACCATCACCAATGTCGAAAATATTACAAAAGAATTAGTCACAATATTAAACTGCCATGTTAACCACGTTGTTATGCTGACAGCATTACAGTGGCTGATCCTGCTGCTGGAACTCAAGTGAGTTTCAAAACAAGATTACAACAATATAAATTCAGGCCTAAAGTCATGAAGGATACCGTACCAGTAGTGACCAAAGCTGTAGTATCATGCTTTAAGCAATGCGACTCCGAGGTAAATTTAACATCACCAACCTTTTCATGTATCATAGCTCATTATGGAAGCGACAATAAAAGCAATAATTCTAGTATTAGAATTGGGCACTGAACATTTCGACCTGGTATCGCAACAATTATTGGAGCTTTTTAAGACTGATGATGCATTGCTGGTGCGTACCAACAAATAGTAGTCATATAAGCTCTAGGAGGACAGAGGGAACCGTATCATCATCAATGTGTGCAAAAACATCGGGTTCGAAAATTTCTATAGCATCACAGCAAGTTGTCTTGCAAAGGAAAATGTAGGTTCATGACACATGCAACCAATAAGGAAGTAGGATCACAACTTCCTACAACGTATCGTCCACACACTCAACTGGACACTACTGACATCAGAAGTAAGTTGGCAAATGCTAATCTAATAAGGTTTAAGGACGCCAGGGAAATGAGAGCGTTCCTACTTACCGAGAATGGTGATAATCTGGGGACGCAACTACAGATGTGTTGGTTAGTAAAAAGCATAGGTGTCTAATGATGTATAGGGATCATAATCTTGCGGCAGCATTGGCCCTAGCACTATGGCGCGAAAAATATGAATTTGCTAACAATATTGTGCAACGAATGTAAGGCTGCTTGTATATTTTTAAAATTATGTTTATAGAGCGGATTCGAATTTTGGTATCGAATTTTGGCTATGGATAGACAGTATCGTGCAATTGTTAGATTCTCACGTTTTTATGAAAATGAGATTGCATCTACTACAACCAACTCGTTACCGCGAACTTCTACAAGCTCTGCTTGGTATGTTATGTCCATTCGACGCTTACCATAAACAGGACTCTCTATGATACTGCCTCAAAGCGAAACGAATAAGCAGCTCATGCGACGGCTTAGCATATCGCAGTTTACACAAATAGAGGAACAGTTAATCATGATGATGAACATAAGACGATAAATTAATCATTTACCATTACGCTTCTCACACAAACGATAGCCAGATATACAATTCTCAATAGCCACTGAAGAAAAACCAAAACATTGGTGTAGCTCCGCCATTGAAAGGAACCATGGAGGTGCGCCACATGGCCCAAACTGGTGAACCATCGATTTCCCTAGGAAACAGGTATTACCAATACGCGTAACAATGCTTCGCAGGATGAAACGTAGCCCTAATGGCGGATATGCCATAGGCCTTGTAAATAGTAATGGAAAAAGCCAAGTAAACAACAGAACCCATCGAACATATATGAATACGAGGAAGAAACATAGTACATCTCGAATTCTGCATTGTACTGAAATGACTAAATCGGGTGAAGTTAACTCTATATCATCTATCAAATATAACTGATTTTGCATATGAGGCTGGTTTATGTGATCCTCTGTAGGGATACAATACTCAACCGCCTTGCCAGAAACAACTGCAGCATGACACATTATCCATTTAGTGGGCAACGGATATGAGCATGTTGATGAGTTTAATATTCGTGTATGAGCATGACTTCGGTCCATAAAGCAGATTTGGATCCCAGCAGCCGACGAATGTTGCGATCTATCATGTTGCGACAGCAGAAGTCCCGAATCTTCGATTTCCAAAAAATAGACACCTTTGTACTCTAATATAGAATTGTCTGTAATTTCGAATTCACGTGATAAATCGAAATAGTTGGGGGCTTGAAACGACAATGTTTTGTACTCTGTCACGTTTCTAACCTGTCTGCGACGGCAGTTGCCATAGGTGTTCAGGAAATGGAGTCGAATGATTCCACGCCAATCATATACAGTAAATATCCTGACACCATTGGCGAATAAGTTAGCTGCGTTGGTCAATAAGTCGCGTTCTATGCTGTCCACCGAGTTAAAACGCAAAAAGTCATCGCTAAGCAGGGATACCACGTGATACAATTTTTGACCATCAGCTACTGATGGTGATGAAAAGCCCATAGTAACCCTAATAGCCTTAATGATTCCAGTTCACGCCGTGGAGAGCGCTCCCCCGGAAAGGGGAGAATTATAGAGACTGACCGGGTGCTGCAGCGCTGCGAGGAAAAAATTTGCAGCACTACAGCAGCGCAGAAATTTTGACAATAATATAATAATGTAGCTTGACCAAATTTTCACGACGTTTCGTAGCAAAAAAATTCCAAATAACATAGATTACGATGACATCGCGCAACAGTCACACGGAGCCCAAAAGAGCCGACACACATAACGTTAAAACTAACACACTACACTAAAGTGTTGTGAAAATAGGATACAGCAGCATAGCAGCCTTATGGGTGTAGCTATATGACATAACCATAACCTAGGGTCTGCCTGATCGCACGACGACCGTGGTGGAACTTAGAGAGAACTACAGTAACATATCGGTGACTCTATATTGACGATAAATCTTGCAAATGAGATGATAATGGCACTTTCCGTTGGCATATAATGCCCTCAGAAGGCGTTTAGACTGTTTTAGCCGAGGTGCTCTGTTCGACACGATTACCCAGAACCGCGATGTTATGTCTACAGGTGACTGCAACTACTGTCGAATAGTAGACCAACGGTAGTAACTAATGAAGTACTATTTCTTCGCAAACTTTTGTTAGTTCCCGAGAATGCCATCTGCCACTTTCCGGAAAATATGACACCCACCTCAAGATGGTGTGGCGTGTACAGACTCGAGGCAACGAGTTCTTAATGAGCCAACGCACACAGATAGAAATAATGGCTCTCATGACGATGTATAACTTTCGGCAATATCGCTGAAATACAATGAAGTTCTGCGATTCTAACTAACGGTTGGCGAGATGCCACTGGACACTGTTGAAACTTGCAGCCCCCTTTTCCAGAAGCAAGCAGCCACACAATGGAACTCTATCACTAACTATTTATCCGCAAATCAATCTACCAAAAATCTCAAAGCGATTACTTTGATATTATATCATTGTTACAACATTTTCAATATCGAGAACAACGATACACCTTGAAAAATGGCGATACTGATGGACCTACTCGGCGAGGACGAAAACTGGGATGATACCAGAAGGATTGATCGGTGGGCTCCTTTGGCCACGGATCTGCCAAATGTTCATAGGGTAACACCAGCACAAAAATTGATGATAGTACTGTTGATCAGACTTCAGAGTGTAAATGAGGTCTGGGCAGCGTACGGGAACAATTTCGCTGTCCATTACAGGAATCTGTTGTATGAAAACAGGGGAAACCGTCGTCATGCGTACATTGCCATTTTCATACGATTGGCTGCATTTTACAAACTGCACGTCACAGCAACCATTACAGACGCGCATTTAATGAGCTTGCCAGATGAATTACTCACAAGAATAATTCATGAACCGTTTGAACAGTTGGAGAGGCTAAGAAGTCAAAAAGAAACGGGTTATATACCAATGCAAGAATACGATATAACGCTTGGATTCAATATTGAAAAAGTAGCACAATTGGGTAACTACATAAGAAAAGTCTGCTTGATATTATGCTATTTCAGACAGGCCGTTGACAATGAAATACCGATGAGGATTATAAGGAGTATGGATGATACGAACGGAAATAAACACATCACATGGTGAAAGGCAGAGTGCAATGTTTACACTTTATCAAGTGTATAAATCAACGGAAAAAATGCTAGGATTTTCATAGAAAAACGATGTATCGGGGCGTAGTAGAAGAAAAAAAATCTATAGAGATCGATTTATCTCCAACCAATAATCCGGGCTTGAACGACCAACGAAGCTATAAGACGAACGCCAGCCGATAGTCATATGAAGGAAGTATCCGTAAGTTTATACTGATAAATAATTGTCATGTATGAAATGCAGAGATATGATCCTATGAAATACCTAGATAACTGCTATAGTGAATTTTGGAAACGAGATATATAAGGTAACAAGATAACAATAAACAACTATCATGTAACAAGAAATAATATTCACTAATAGCACATATATTTCATGAAATATTAAGTGACCGGGTTAACGTATGCGGTTTGACATATTGGGTCGAGCCACCTGCTAGTTCGGAATAACCCGTGAATAACCCGACTGTCTTCCATTGTCGTTAAAACTGACCATTTAGTGCTATGTGTACGGGTTCAAGTTATCTAGGTTACTTATATGCCATGCCCACCGTAGGGCTTATTGTATTATGAACGCTAGGCTATTCGTGCCTTCTTTTGTGACCCATATTATCGCTACATCATTAAGACGGTCATATAACAGCTCCAGAATGCAAGGTACTAACTTAACAACAATGGTAGATCCCAGCAAAGGGCCTTCGGCCTACACATTCATCGATATAGGAGCTAACCTTGTAGACGAAATGTACAAGGGACTTTATAACGGAAAGCCAAGGCATATTCCAGACCTCCCGAAGTAAGCTATTCATCTTAGATATCTCTCTTGTATTTACGTTGCTACAGAGTGATAGAACGGGCCCAAAACATAGGAGTCAAGAAAATGGTACTTACGGCCGGGACCCTAGGGGAGGTACACGAAGCTCTGGATATATGTAAGGAATACGGTACGTTCTCATACAGAATTAGAACAATAATTTGTCAAGATAAAGCCGGTATAGCTTTGTATACAACGGCAGGTGTCCATCCGACCATGTGCAACGAGTTCATCAATAACAAATTTAACAAGACACCTCAACAATATATAGAGGCTCTAGACGAACTCATCACGACAAATAAAGATCGTATTGTAGCTATAGGTGAACTGGGTCTCGATTATGATCGGCTACCTTGGTGTGATAAGGAGATACAGAAAAAGTAGGTCAACAACAACTTTGATGTAATATATGTCTAGATATTTCGAAATGCAACTCGATCTTGCTGCTAAACACAAACTACCTCTATTTTTGCATATGAGAAATGCTACAGATGATACTATGGGTAGGTTGCTGAATGCACAAATTTGAACAAAAACATTCCCCGAAAATAGTTCATCGCATATATACCCTATCATATATTGATGCAGATATACTGATACGTAACAAAGAAAAATGGATAGAAGGAGGGGCTGTGTGCCATAGCTTCACTAGCGATGAAGCATCATTGCAGAGAGTCATTGATTTGGGGATTTATGTAGGTATCAACGGTTGTTCTTTGAAAACAACCGAAAATTTGGGTGTACTCAAAAAGGTACCACTCGACAAAATCATGCTAGAAACAGGTTAGTAAAAAGGATAAGGACACAACACACTCAGACTGCCCATGGTGTGGTATTAAACCAACACATGCCAGTATCCAATATGTGAAAACTACGTTCCCGGTAGTAAAGAAAGCAGAAAGAATGACGGGTGATACAATATTTAACCAACGATCGGAACCGTGTCTTATCATGTAGGTAGCGGCTATAAAAAATTAACATCAACGTGTAGACAAGTCGCAGAGGTTGTGCATCAGATAGTTGCGCCAGATATGGATTTTACACAATTTTGCGATACGTAAGTTGGCATTTAAATGCTCACAATAGTACACAGAATCTACAATAACACGGTGGCGCTTTTTAAAGGAATCGCATAGAATTAACCAGCTAGCCAATTTGGGAACAACTGTAGTGCCGATATATAAATTTTAATCGCCACCTGTTATACTTTTTTAACCCTTAAAATTTTTTAAATAAATGGAACACACTGTCAGTTTGACAGAACGCAAGACAGCAGTGTAGTGGCGACGGTGTGCCACTGTGGTAAATGCGATGTTGCACTCGCGCCATGTGTAACACATTACATTTTAAATCTACATGGTAGCATGCCACAACAAAAAACATGAATGTGTGAACTTTTATTATACAGGATAGATCACCTTCATTGACTCAAGCCCTCTCAAAAAATGGCGAAAACATCCACGGAGAGGAGCAGAATTGACGTAATAGTACGCAAGAGACCACTTAGCGAAGTTGAAAAAGCTAGAGGAGATATCGATGTGGTCCTGTGCAACGATTCAACGGCAATAATTGAGGAATTAAAGTGAGTTGATGTGCTAGTATAATTACAAAATTTCAGGCTCAGAATAGATGGATCCACCTACATAGATCGATATGAATTTCGCGTTGATCGATTTTACGATGAACACGCCGATAATCAGGTAATATATGAAGAATATGTGAAACCGCTAGTTGAGTTTGCATTCGAACAACAAAAAACATGCTCATGCTTTACATATGGCCAAACTGGCAGTGGTAAGACTTTTACAATGATAGGCTCGCGCAAATTAAAATTCTCTGATCAACCGTATATGCGTAAGTCTATAAAAGATGTATTTAGACACCAATTCAGCCGGTATTTATGAGTATGCTGCCAACGATATTTACCGAATGCTGCAACAACCGGAATATGCAGACAGGTTAGAAGTTGTAATCAGCTTCTACGAAATATACTGCGGTAAACTATATGACCTACTGCAAGATAGGTACGTCACACAACAACAGAATACAACCTTTTCAGGAAATTGTTGGAGGCACTAGATAACGGGAAACGGGAAGTCATAATTAAGGATTTGACGGTGCGACAAGTGACCTGCAAAGAAGATTTGATAGCACATATGCTCAAAGGACTGGCTTTAAGGAAGATAGGACAAAATTCGCAAAATGATCAGTCATCACGATCACATGCACTCTTGAGGATCGAACTACGCGATATAGAAACTATGCAGAATTGTGGTATGTACTCATAATAGATAAATCATATCCATATATAGGTCGTATAGCATTTATCGATCTCGCTGGAAGTGAAAGGGGTGCAGATTGCATGAACCAACCTAAACAAACACAAATGGACGGAGCGGGAATCAACAGGTCGTTATTGGCTTTAAAAGAATGCATCAGAGCTATGGATTTAGAGAAAACACATATACCATTTAGGGATAGTGAACTTACAAAGGTATTGAGGGATATTTTTGTAGGAGGTAGTAGGAACCTCATGATTGCAAATATATGCCCAAGCAATGTTAGCTGTGAGCAGACATTAAACACTTTAAGATATGCTTCAAGGGTCAAAAACTTTAGGCAAACGCAATCTAACGGTAGCGGCGGCGATACAGAAATGGAGCATATCAATGCCTTCAAAACTCAAGCAAGCATACCTATGTCTAACGGTACAAGGGTTTTAAGGTCACAATTGGGTACTCCACAGACCACAAAGTCGATGTCTATTACGCCTAGATTCAAGAATACATCAGTGCCTACTACAAAATCGCCGATAACGCAAAAGGTAAGCAAGTCAAGGACAACGGGTGTGCCTTTAAGCAGTAGAAGTGCTGTAACACGAAGAATGTGCGATAGTGTGTCACACACTGAAACAGTAATGTCAGCAAGGGAGCCTGGTGTGCAGCTATACGATCGATCTAAAGGATCCAGGTTACCAAAACCATATGAACGCATTGCTCCGTTCTTAACATCGCAATACCAAAATAAACAAACAGTACAAGAGGTCTTGGATGATATAACGTTGGACCCTACAAACGAAAGTTTGTACAACGTAATATGCGGATCGTTGACATCAGATGCTGATACAGCCGATAGCGACTCACCGTTAACACAGTGGAAGCTAGAGAAGTCGTTAGACACTTTGAAAAGGGCTGAAGAAATTAATAACCATATTGCCTTGAAAATTATGGCACTCAATGGTGATCCGCAAAGGGCGGATTATTTAGAATTTTTGAGAAATAAAATCAAAATGCAAGTGAAGCCGTTGTTGTTCCTCAAACAAGCAATTGAGGACCATAACAACCTGATGCAGGTTGACACAACAACTGACAGCGTATGACTTTAATATGTGATAAACGGACTTTAATGTGCATTTTTGTGTTAATTTTATTCTACTGTGTATAACTTTTCCATCACTACTACTGTAACATTGATCTAAGCAGAGATGAAAATCGATATACTGTAGCGAATTTTGGATCCATTAAAGCTTAATGATGGCATTTGCAACCTTTAAATAGCAGTAATAATGTCAGAGAGCTCAGAAGTGAAAAGACGTTTACAGGTAAGGGCAATACCCCGCGGGTGGCGATGTGTGTTTTAAACCACATTAGATACCAAATATTACAATAAAAAATTGTGTCATTAAGCGTGTAACGCAACATCTTTTACAGCAAAATCTTATATCCATCGGAAGTAACATAAACGAGGAAAACGTATGAGTTATTGGGTGACGGTAAAAGATGAATGAACTTGCACTGTTGCCGGCATAATACTTACGTCTTTGAAATTTGAATTTAGTTTTCATTTAGCTTTTAATTTTGATTTAGCATTTAGTTTTGATTTAGAATTTAGCACATCATAGAGTTTTTCTAAAACTCTGTGACTCGAACATATAGAATCCTGTGATTCTTTTGCACCATTATATATCGCTGATTTAATACTCACTGGTAATCAGATTTTCATCAACCATATCTTATTAATCAGTACTTATTATAAACGAGTTGCTCAGACTGTAACATTCAAAATCACGCAAAGATGGGTGGATGCAATATCGCCAAATTCATGATTGCCTTCGTGGCCGCCGCCTCTCTCATGGGCGGCATTTCATCAGCTGCGGATGTAGATAGGGAACTGAAATTAGAAGGTAGAAGGCCAGTTGATCTAAGAGTACCATCCATGGCAAGCCAGTAGAAAGTAACATGGCTTTGAAAAAAGCTCTCTCCCTTCAAGACAGATCGGCAGCTATAAGACGTGGAAGGGAACGTTTCCAAAGGGTTATAGAGAGAGTTAGCCATTTTGAACCAAAGGAGGATGACTTGAAACAATATGAAGAATTGTTCAAGCGACTTCACCGAATAAATGACGTCAACACACCAAAAATTATTCTACAGTACCTGGGTGAATTACAAGCAGGACCAATTTCTGATGTGCTTATAGAAGGTATTATGAGTTACATTACTGCATTCATAATGGCGAATAACTTTAAAGAACTTCGACCCACCTTCTCAGGTAGAAAAAAGCTCTTTTAACATCGTCAAAAACTATTGACGTATGTTAAAGAAGCGTTGACGACGCCATCGACCCTTGCGTTCAAATAAACAACGAGATATTTGTGGTACAAATATTTTTCAAATGTAGCTTACACTTATTTTTAAACTGCTGCTATAATGTACTACTCCCTTAATCTGGTGAAACATATATTAATTTCATTGTATAACAAAACATTAAAGTCTGAAGCGTACAGTCCTTTGTCCACTTTTGAAAGTTACCTGCTCGTGTCCGATATTTACAACGGAAAGTGCTCATTTTTAGCAATACTCTGCCACCTGAATCATTAGAAGGCGCGTTGATAACAAGTACATGATTTTATTGATTCTACAGTAAAACGATCTATGTTTTTATTCCAATTGTTTGGCATATATGTGCATTGCTTCGTAACCTAATCTCGTGAGAGGATAACAGTAGAAATAGTTCCATGAAAACAATGAGATCTAATCTACGACCAAGGGAGTGGCTTGGTAAAGGTTTGCCATAGTACACAAATGTCTCATTAATATATAAGCCTTACGCAGTCTTCATCGCGGTTTGAAATCATAAGGTTAGCGTTGTCGGCGGTTATGGTGTAATTCAGAATGTAGGTAGGGTGTCTAGGAGATAAGACTACCGGTAAGGATGAAGCATAACGAATGCAGCGTCAAGAATATTTTATTATTGATCGATAAAGATCATAAGTACGATTACACGTTCATATATAAGCTATGTTGTGGATAAATGGTAATGATGAAATTGTACAATATTAAGTGTTGTTTATAGCCATTGATGGCTGGGACTAAATAAAATCTCACCATAGGCCATCAACGTATATAATGGCATTACATAGTTACAGTTAAATATGACATGCATATAATTCGGTTGAGTTAAAGACCTCCAGGCGCGCATGGATTCTTGGGTGTGAAAGATATAGGCGATTGCCTTTTAATGGATATATAGCGTCATAAATGACCTTACACATCAATGTATTTTAGGGATATTTGGCTAAAAATGTCAGATATATTCAAGATTTAAAATATGTGACAGATATATTCCCGATTTCTCGGCTGATATCTACTGCTAAAAGCGAGTTATGGTTAGTCAAGCATACAGTCTCAATAAACAAAACATAGAGATTATGCCGAAAGAATAACACGCATTTCTATAGAAGAAAACAGGCGGTGTTCCGAATATGCTGGACTCCGTGTTTTCCAGAGTCGCGATTTCCTGCTGGCCGTTATCACCCTCATCGGCACCGATATCCTGGGCACTGACACACATGTAAAGCTGGGAATAACAGCATCACAGACTACAGATGTCAACCTACCGTGTGGCGCTGCTCATACAACCGAAAAGGATGGTAATACTACGTGCAAAGCTCGTAAACTTGGAAAGCGACGTTTGTAACGATTGCTTGATCTCATGAGTCGTCAGATGGCGCGAAACGCTGCCTCTGAACAATATAAACCTCTATTCCAACTGCTCAGCTTCAGAGGTCCTATTGACAAACCTGACGATATTATTGAGGAGCTTGGTACATTACCACGTTGTAGAATCCCTTATTTCACTGCATGTATGAGCACTGAGTATCTTTCCATGGTGTCAGCTAACAAAAGTTCTAGCCATCTTGGAGGGGGAAACAAATACGACGGTCATCGTAGCGTGCTATGGTATTACGTTCTGAAGGCATTTACAAGATCATGCATGACTCAGTTAACTTAACAAACATCTGACATGTATGCTAGCAACATTAATTTGGTTACATAATGCGGTCTCAAATTCTCCTTGCGTGTGTACGCTACACTACTCACCGATGTTAATTCAGCCTACACATCTTAATTTCAACTTTACTTACGGAATAGCCAGATCACGGGGATCTCACTTGTGCAGAGCAGGCCTGTCATGTGTGCGGTGTTGTGTATCACCCAAAATGCTTATAGGAAAGTAAATAAAATTACACTGTCACATAGGTTACATCGAATCCCGTCGACAACTCTGTTTTAAAATATGAAGCGAGTTGATGGTTATCTTGAAATTAAGCGGCCACCCGATTAAGTAACCCTTTGCGACTACTTTCCAGGTGGCTTCCTTATATTGCCAACTGTATTTTTGGAGGCACCCTTCAGATTGGCAGACAGACGTCTCCATAAATCTTCGATGTATTTGATGGCAAAGTCCAGCAAACCTAAACGATACATACAGTAGGTGTAAGGGATTAGAAGGAATATAATAGCATAAAGCGGATATGTGGGACTGTAACGCTTTTTATCCGAGCATTTAATCAAGGGAATTGCTACTAAGCATAGGACAATTAAAATTCCGAGAGTGCCAAATGCAACTTCGATGACAGTGAAGTGCGGTCCGAAGAAGCCCATGTAGCAAGACAGCGATAGCAACACGATAATGAAAAACAAGGTGAAGAAGAAGAAGAAGAAGAATACGTGCGTTAAATCATCTAATTTATACTATATGGCGTGCGGAGATTCATACAGTGCTTGGATATATTCTTTTCCACCATCTTGTGACTGAGCTGGTAGAGCGAAGTATGAAGGCAAGAAGGGCCTTTAGACCCATTATACAGACGAGTGGCATCGTCAAAGACACAACTAACGATACGCTAAGTGTGATGAATATTATATGGCACACAGTGAATGGCATCCTAGAATCCCATTGTCGGCAGGCAGCGAAAATGAATGCTACGAGAAATATGGAGCAAAAGGAGAGGAAAACCCATTTTGCAAAGAACGCATTTTCTTCTTCCCACTGTGTGCATCCAAAAATTGCCAACACAAACAATACCAGACCGCCTATGAACAGCAATATGCCGAGGCAGAGGCACAACTTCTGGCACAGCGTTACAGGTCCATCCGAGTGATGAAAGTAGCAACCGCACACGGTAAATGCGATTAAGAAAATGCAACAAAGGACAGACGAAGCGTATGTGATTACAACAGAATGAGGCTTATTAAAATTACTAGGGAATAACGATGCGACCATTGCGATAATGAGGCAAATCAGTGATATTATCCCCAACGCCGCGTGTATTTCTTGTCTATTAGACATACAACCAAGCATTTCTACTAGAGATTGACTTCCTATGTCCTTCGCATCAGCGGCTTTAACAATTTGCATCAAGTACCCGAGCAGCAATAGGGCCACCGGTCGGATGGGCATCCTATTACCATTGTTGACTAAATCCATCTTGGCTTTAAAATACGATGGATTTATTTGTTGAATTAGGCACTGTCTATTGAAATCTATGCGCTGAGATGCGGGAGATAGCGAGCTTTAAAATTGTATGGACCCCTTGATCTTACCAGTGTATAACACTCTTAAAATTGAAGACAAGGCAGAAGTGTTGATGATTGCCACTGTCTAATAGTATTTTATAATCTGTATGTGCAGGGAATAGTGGTCTCAGTATCAAAACCGAACCTATACCGTGATACTAAGTTACAATTCTCTTTGCCGTTGTTTCTACAGGTTCTAGGCGCACCCGGAGCTACGCTGTCTGAGGGATCTTCAACTCTATTCCCCATAGATCTGAGGTGTTTATGCCATTATAAGTTGGAGAGGATGAGGGAATGACAACGAAGGTCCGTCTGAGTGCGCTACGTTGCCATCCAGTAGGTGGATGGTGATTGATGCCCTCCCCGTATGGCATGCCGCCTTGTTATCACGTTCGTGGCTATATCGGCATCATTGCGATCGATAAAGCTTCGCCAAGGTGGTCATTTGTTGCCAATTTTAACCTCAATAATTGTGACTGGGCATGATGCCAAAGGTCCGCTAATTATAGGTGCCATGGACACCAACTGCCACAAATATTATATTGCATTCAACATATTCGAGGTATGAATGTGTTAAATATGTGAACGTTACACTTGTATAATATGCTAATCGTCTATTTTTCTAGTAACCGTTGTCACAACCTTGTGGTTGAAACAGTTACTAAGTTCGCAGTGAAAACACCAATGTGTGATGTTCACCTCCATATAAACCGATGTAGTAGCCCTAATTTCGTTTTTCGTATCATTATAGAGTATATGTGACGTAACCTAGTTCTGTTGGCCAATCTTCGGTAGCGGCAGACTCAGGTTGAACCACCTTCGCAGGGAAATCTATGATAGCTGATATTGATCAAATTTGAGATCCAACTAGATGTGTTACTTTGGCTATTCGCGTCATTTTAGGAATACTGCTAAATTATCGTATGAGAAACAATTCTGGCAGATGGCCACCAAAGTGTATTCATTTACATCGCCTAGTTGACATACCAGGCGTATGTCAATGTCGTACGGAAACTTAGAGATATTCTTAGAAGAACAACGAATTGATTTATACTTTGAATATTAAATAGCGATAGTTCACCTGCATCTCAGGACGACGTCACCCACGTCCCCGAGTGACTTGGTGGACAACATATAAAGGCTATCCGTAGGAAGTTAGAGCTATTATTGCAGAAAAAAGATGTTATATGAAAACGCTCACAGAATAAACTCCAGGTCTAACGACGGTTTGGTTATATAGCAACGTGATGTTAACACATTAGCAATTGCCATTAATGACGATGAGAGGAGCTGCTTATTCAATCTTTGAGAAATACCTATAGCGATCTTCACACATCACAATTACAAATCATCTACTATAGTGGCACGTGAATGTATTATGTAGGTAGCATCAATAGCCTTTGAGATCATGCCTCTCTGCAAGCATAAAAATAGTATCTTGCCTAGGTGAACTTCAAGCGATGTGCTAAGTTACTTAAAATCAAACACAACAATTATTTAGTGGGTTTTGCTGTTTTACGAGAGCGACAACATGTTATCAGAGAGTAATAAGGTTTGATGGGCAGTGCATGGCATCGATCATAACGTCGGTGTATTCTTGGTCACTCTCACTTGATGGGACAACGTTGATGTTGTATAACATGTTAATACATGGTTGTAACCATTCATAACCAAGATGGAAATATTTGACACCATTTTCACCGGACTGACGCAGGTATAGCATTTGAAAATTAACAGTCCCTGTTGCATCCGCTTTATCAATGTTAACAACGACATATTGCCATCCATGGGTTATATAATCAAACACTTCGACATGTGTAATGCATTCATCATCACGAACTACTCGGTATAACTCGAGGCTTTCTTTCGAATTCGTGACCCTAACCCACTTATATATTTGGCCTTCTATTGGCACAAGGCTATACTGGGTGTATAACCAATCACCCCTTTTTAGATTTGCTAAAACTATAATCCCTTCATTATATGTTTCGATCTTAGAAATGTCTATGTTTATATAAGTAGAGTGATGCAAAAAAAGCGGATTGGGGCCATCGTAGATTATTCGAGGCCAAATGACTATATTTTTTGGTTTAAAAATGCCATCTTCGATTGGTGGTATACGCAAAAGGCACTTTGAGTAACTGACGCCATGCTGGAACCATATAGTAATATCATTGCTTTCAGGTACAAGAAGGAGTTTAGCGCAATGGGAACTTAGCGACGATGGAGGTAGATTTTTATCGTGAAATACCGTGTCGATGTTTAAAATGGGTGATATATGGAATCGGTCAAAACGAACTACTAATCGTCCGGCTGGGTGAGTCACTTCGCCGCCCCGCGGGCGCTTAATAAGGTACCATTCGTACTGCGTATACTGATCATTCGTTTCAGCATAAGCTATAAATGGATGACACTTCTGCTTCGTGATGTCTAGACGTAAATATACAGCGCTTTTTTGGAAAATATTTTTCACGTGACGGTTTGTATGAGCGCATTGGTCTCCTATTACGTTGCAATGGTATGTATTTAAAAATTCACCATTGTCACCCGTAAAAGTGCTTGTTGCAATAATCCTACTGTTACCACGTCGATAATCTTGAATATAAACATCGTATATAGGGCCTATGTGTGCTCCGTGCGCGTTCAATATCTGGCGCCCGTAGGACACCGCTGTGATTCGATCATCGCTTGAATGGATCATCCTATATGCCCCTCCATCGGCGAACGAACCCTCGAAAACATCAACACATGGTGGTAACTCCGGCTGGCTGACGTCAACCATTAGGCTTTCTATGGAATCTAATGCAGTGACTAATACCACAGCAGAAAACGTGGCCTTCGTGACCCTGGAACGAAATGTCATTTTTATTATCAGTATTCTGAAATAATGATTATACGTTTTACTAACTGAACTTCTGTTGAAGGATAGCGCATGTTAACATAATTTTTCTAATGTTACATTTATTATGGCTAGCGAAGAAAATTACGGTTACATTAACCGCATTAATCTTGTGTGCCAGAAGTAATCGCTCATAAATAATATTTTGACGTAGCGCTAGAGCAATAGAATCAAAGATATCCAACAGAAAATTTTTTATATGCTGATCTGCTAGATTAGCGATACCGATCATATACGTTTGTGACACAATGCATCACCTTGGGAGTGATTACGGCCCAAGTGCTGATAACAGAAATTACTGCTATATGTTAAACGATTGATAAATTTCACAAAACATTTTTTGCAAAACACATCTATTCTATCGCAGAATAGGTTGGCAAAAGCATAGCATCAAAAACAATAAACAATGAGATATAGATCAGTTTTGACGTTATTACAACATAATATTACAGTCTCGTTGAAATACAACCATCGTTGAATTAATCAAATGTTCGGGATTCCACTTCGGGTACTTCAGCGCCATCACCAACCATATTATTTGCATTGGGTATGTTGTTGCTGGTATCGCGCTTGATTAACCGCTGAAAGAGTGATATGGTATATTCATGAAGACCCAGGCGGTATGCGTAGTAGGCAAACGGTACAACTAGGCAAAACGCATATGCAACCAAGAAATAAACAGGGATGTCTACTTCATCTGACTCACCCGGAATGTTATCTATTTTTATAACAACAAGAGCACAGATGAATATCATTATACCTATAACTACAAAAGCTATCTCATACGGTGTATAATACTTCGAGAAAGGTTGATAGTGGTGCA